TCTCGCGCCTGCGCGCAACGCCCCGGGAGTGCGAGAGAGAGGGGGCGACACGCTGCCCGGCTCGGAATCAGCCCGCGTCGCCTCCGTGCGCGTGAAATTAATGCCCGCACGTTCCACTGCGACGCCCCTCTGCCGCGCTGCCGCCGACACGCAGGCCGGGAGTCGTTTTCGTCGCTCTGTCTCTCTCTCTCTTGTGGGACGACGCGTATGGGTGCGGGAGAGACAGAGCGACGAAAACTACTCTCGGAGTCAGTCTAGTCTGCAGGGCGCACCACGCCGCCTACGTGCCGCGCCGCCGCCTTCGAATCTCACCGAATCCAGGATTCCGTGTCGCTTGATGGCAGATCCGCGGCAGTGCGCGCTTCGCGACGCCGGGGCGCCCCGCGACCTGCGAAACCTGAGAAACCTAAGAAACCTGACAAACCTGACAAACCTGCGAAACCTGACAAACCTGCGCAACCTGAGAAACCTGAGACACCTGAGAAACCTGTGAAAGCCGCGGTGGCCGTGACGCCGAACCGGGTTTGGGCTGCAGCGCTGCGCTCCGCTCGAGCTGGTCCGCCTGCGAGGTAGGCCAGCGCGACTGCCGCTCGACCCGCGCGTCGCGCAGGCTGGCCTACCCTGGCGTTGACAGGCGCTAATGGGACGTGTCTCGCCGTCGGCCCGCTCGGCTTGTCTCTCCGACACTGCCTCTGAGCGTCGATCTTGCCCAGATTAGTCCGTCCACCTTCGACGCAACGCACGCAACGGTACTGACAGTGGCGCGACGTCGTGGCCCAGTGCGGCGGAGGCAGGACACAGCCAGGGCACAGCGGCCTCGTACCCAATTCCTGCCTCCATCCTTCTCGGAAGCGTCGCGCCGCAGCTGGCCGACACGCAGTGTACCAGTCCATTCTTCGCAGACGGTAGATGAGACGGTCCGGACGTAACGATCCTTTCAGAGCGAACTGGACAGTGGACTGGACGGACGGGCCGATACCGATACCAGGTCGGCGTCGGCACGTCGCCACCGGGACTCACTTCCTAGCTCCACGACGTTCTGCAGGCAGACTCCGAGAGTCGTTTCCATCGCTCCGTCTCTTTCGCACTCTTGGGGTGTCCCGTATTGGCGCGCGAGAAACTACTTCGGAATCAGTCTGCTGCACCGCGTGCCGCCGTCTGTCACCGCCAGGCCCGGCCAGGTCTATACGGGACGTGTATTCCCGTCCACTCCACTCTCATCACTGCCCACTGCCCGTCGCTCCACTGCCGCCACTAGTTCACCGGCACAGCGCGACGCGACGCGGAGCCTGCCGACCGATTCGCTCCGTCTCTCTCGCACCCCTGCAGGCCGTGCGGGCCGCCCCACGAGTGCGACAGAGACAGAGCGACGGGATCGCTGGGCGGGGCAGGAAGCTTAGCGGGAGTCCGGCCGGTCCCGTAGCGCCGCGTAGCGCACCACTTCTGGCCGGCTCAGTCTCGTACGGATGTCATTACCGAGGGCGGCTCTTCTTTCCGGGGACCGCATTGAATGAATGCAGGTCTCGCCTGGGCCTGCCTCCACAGTGTGCCGCACTGTGCCACAGTGTGCCGGGAGACCCGTTTAGGCCGACGGCAGGCTCGACCGCGGCCCGTCGGCCCTTCGGCGCGCCCATGTCCCTTCAATGGGACTCGAACCAAACACGGGCCGGAGACGGAGCTGATGGATTACCATTGGAGCGACGAGTCCATCTGTACCATCGGCATACTGTTTGATGCGAGTTCCATTCGAGGGACATGGGCCCGCCAGGGTTGTGTCCACACAGACTGCTGGCTCTCAGCAGTCTGAGTCCGAGCAGTGCTGCCGGCGCGCCGTCTCTCCCGCGCCCCTACGGAACGCCCCGTGGGTGCGACGGAGACGGCAGCGTGCGAGGCGCGGCAGGCTTCTAATTAGAAGGAAATGGGGATCGGAGGCCAGGACGGCCGCCAGGCCGCCAGGCCCCGGGGCAAGGGTCCCGGGGGAATGGATGCTGGATGCAGCCAATGCAGCCATGCTTTGCCGGTGCCATTGCGGGCTGTTACGGTACAGTTACAGTTCTGGGCGGTACGAAGAGACGGCACCGAGGGCGGGGCGGGGCGGGGCGGGGCGGGGCGGGTCATTTCATCTCGTCGGCGTCCCTTCCCTTCCAGCACAACGACTGGCCCACTTCGGAGTCCGTCGCTCGAGGCCGTGCACTGCGGCCGTGCTGGAGGCCCTGGGGGCTGCGGGGGGCACCGGGGGGAGGCCTCATTGACGAGCCGGACAGAGCCGAGCCGAGCCGGGCCGAGCCGAGTCGGGGGTACGTGAAACCATCTGGGAGACGCACGCGCCGGCAGGCCGACGGCAGCCCGAGGCGCCTCGGGGCAGAGACGGGCATAGAGGGGCGTGGCTGCGAGCGTCTGCGTCCTGGACCCCTCCAGGGGCCCCAGGGGCCCCAGGGGCCCCAGCCGGGGAAGCTGCCTGATGGTGAATGCAAGTGCGGTGGTCTTTTTCATTTCGACGACAGGCCTCGTCACGGCGATAATTGCACCGCTTGAACCCCCCTTCCCCTTTCCGCTCCCCTCTTCTCCTCCCCCGTTTTTGCGCGAGACCGCTTCCATAGCTGAGAATCAAGTACCCGTGTCGCGAGCGAGTGTCTGCTGCCGCGGGCGGGGCGTCCCGGCAGCGCCGGCCGCGCAGCTGGATCCACAGCAACAGTGCGCGGTGCTGGCTGTGCTGGCTGTGCGCTGCCAGGCCGGCGGACTGGCGTGTCGGCGGCTCGCGGCGCTGACGCACGGGTAGCTAACTACTACTTGCTGCCTGCCTGCTGCACGGCGCCCGAGTTTACTTTCGAAAAGCAAGCGGCCCTCCCGCGCCTCCCGCGCCGCTACAACCAGCACATGAGCAGCCTACGCGCAGCCTGGCGCAGCCTAGCCGAGTCCAGCGGCCACGAGACTCAGCCCAGTAGTCTGGCGTCCAGGAGTCCACATTTCCCATAGCTCGGCCAGTTATTAGCAGTGTGTGTGTGTGTGTGTGTGTGTGTGTGTGTGTGTGTGTGGCCGGCTATGCGAACACCGTGTATACAAGTACTTCACCTCCGCGTGTACCGCCCAAAGTTTGCCACTCGTGAGGCTTCTGGCAATACGGCAATGGAAGTTTACCCTGCTCTACAGCAATGTTCGGGAGAGCGCCGGCCTCGTTAAGACGAGCGCTTAGGGTGGGAAGGTGCTGGGAAGGAGGGGGGATATTCCGTCGGACAAAAATTTGCTTTCGTAATTAACGGGCAGCTGGCGGAGGGGGCGGTGGGCGGCGCGCAGCAAACGAGCAAGCCGGTGTCGAACACGCCGAGCACGCCCCCGAGCTTCCGTTCTCGGCCGGAATGATGCAATCGGAACCCCGCGCCGCGCCTTCGGAGGAATTTGCTCCCGGAGAAAGATGGGCGGCGCGCAAATGAAGTGGCGATGAGTCTGGCAGTCAGTCAGCGAGTGGGTGGGTGCTCCCTGTCTCCGCGCGCGGTGCGCGGTGCGGTACACCTGACAGCGTGCTGCTTACGGGCTAATTACAACCTCAGCAGGGTTATCTGTCTCCACTTACTTGCCTGCCTCGCCTGCCTCGCTTCTCGCTAGCTCGGTGGTGCGGAACAGTTCTCAAACTTCTTGAATGTGGAGCCCCCCACCCCCACCCCTTGGCCCCCGGTGGGGCGCGCGTCCCTGCTTATTGCACCGTCAGCCCGTTTCCTAGTGACGTCATCGGCGCGAGGAAAGCCAAACTCTTTCTCCCGCGACACTTTTGGCGGGACTTTTGTTAAATGGCGACACCGCTGTGGCGGGGCGGCGGGGGCAGGCGGGCCGGGCGGGGTCCCTGGAGGGGCACTCCGCCGCATCCTGCCCTCCTGCCGCCGCCTCGACTGCCCTGGGCGGCCCTGGGCCCCTGGGCCCCGAGGTGCAAAGCAGGATGCGGGGAGGACCGGGAGACAGGGCCCCGTGGGAAGGCGCGGCGCGGCTGCGGCTTCGCGGGTCCTTTTGGCCGTGGCGGAAAAGTCCGTCGGCATGATAGGCTTTTGGCGGCCGAAGGCGGAAAGCACGGAAGGCGCGAATGAGGCGGGAAATGGGGAAGGGGTGCGAGGCTATCGGCGAGGCCTGCCAATAAGTAGGGCAAGGAGTCATCGCGGCGCTGCGGCCATGCCGCCGCCATGCCGCCGCAACGCACACATGTCCGGAGGGAAGTGAAAACGAGCAATGGCATCGGGGATCGATTTCTCGCACCTGGAGGGCGGCACCGCAATCTCATTCCGTCTCTCTCGCACTCACGGGGCGTGCCGTGTGGGTGCGAGAGAGACGGCAATGAGCCTGGCGCCGCTCCGTGGGATAGTGAAGGAGCGGTGTGTCCCGATACGTAGATCGGTCGGTCATTTACTCTGAGGCGTTGGGCCGCTGGGCTCGGCCTGGTCGGCCGTCAACGCGGCGGGCTGCATCTCCTTGGCCAGGCGGGGCCGCCGGCCCGGGCCGCGCGAGGGGCGTGGCTGGCTGGCTGGCCGACGGGGACCGCACGCAGGCTATAAGTCTTCCGAACAGAAGCCGGCGCTGATGCGCGCCGCGAGGGCCACCCTGCGCTGCGGGCCACCCGGCACACTGCCGCCGTGCCGTCGACGAGCTGCCCGCGTGTCGGAATAAGGTCATTTATTTTTGTGACACTCGCTTTCAAAATTCCCCGTGGCGCCGTCCGTCGCTCCGCTCCCCTCCCCCCCCCTGCCACACGCCAGGTGACGTGATCGCCCTGCCTTGTGTGTTCCAGATTCTGCATTCCGTGTCCGGCGGTCCGGCGCCGAGCACGCGCGCCCTTCTTCGCGGAACCGGCTGCGCGGCGTGTCGTTGCGCGGCGGCACGGCGGCACGGCGATGCGGACATGATGGGACAGCATTAGGTGCCGCAGTAGGCCATGCCGGCCGTGCCCGTGTCCCTGCCCGAGGCCGCGGCCCGCGCGGCGCCCCTGCGGACGTAGCGCCAGCGCAGCCATCACCATCATGGTCAAGTGCGAGTCCGACCCCGACGGCGGCGGCGTCCCCGGCGGCACGGCCGCCATGCTGCTGGACGCGGGGGGCGGCTTCCGCCTCGACTCGGACGGCGGCCACGAGGCGGACGCCCTGGAGGCGCTCACCTGCACCTCGACGTCGGCCTCCTCCTACTCCATCTACAAGCAGCGCATCGACTCCATGTTCGACGAGACGCGCTCCCTGCTGTCCGGCTACGGCTACGTGAGCACGGCCGCCGCCACCGCCAACACCGCGGTGCCGGCGCCGCCACCGCTGCCCACCAGGTGGGTGCAGCCTGCAGCCGAGGGCCATTCGCATGCGCAACGCGTTCGCCCCACTGCTCGAGCTGCTTTTCATCAACAATCACTTGCCTATTTGTTTCGTTATCAATTTCGCGGTTTACGCGGGCAGTTAAGGGGCGCGGACTGGTCTGTCTCGTCTCGACTAGTCCTGCTTCGAGTCTCGGACTTCATCATTGAGATGAGTGCCCCGCCCCGCGCCGCCCCGCCCCGCCCTGCTGATTGATAGCTGGAGGCTCGCGGTTCGCGGCCCGCGGCCCGCGCTCGCAGGCTCGCCGAAGGAAACCTGTCAGCGCGGCGATTCGGCATTAGGCCGTGATGAGAACCGGAACGACGTGGGGCTGCACCGCGTCGCGTCCGCTCCTTGGTCCGCTCGGTCCGTTCAATTAGCTCCCTGCCGTCGGCTCGGCTCGGCTCGGCTCGGCTCGGCTCGGCGGTCCGTGTCGGTCGGACCCCGCCCCGCCCGGTCCGAACCGTCCGAACGCTACGGAGCGCTGTCGGTGGCCACAATGATGAATCTGTGCATACTGAGCAGGAATGCACCCGCGGAGGATTGTGTGAGCAGTGCGTGCCACTTTCGGATCGGCCGTGAGCACCGTGAGCAGCGTGAGCGTGAGGGAGAGACTGCTAGGCTCCAATTGTGCAGTGTCGGAGTCGGAGGGAGAAAGTCCTCGGCTGCCTGCTGCTGCGCTGCCACCTGCTGCTCATGTCAAACGACGGGGGGTCGTCGTCGCTAATTCGTCGAGCCGCGGACTGATTCCGAGAGTCGTTTTGGTCGCTCTGTCTCTCTCGCGCCTGTGGGGGTCGCCCCATGAGTGCGAGAGAGACAGAGCGACGGCTGGGGGAAGAGCGCTGCCGCGGCTGCCGCTGACGGACTGACGGCGGGCCTCGGCCTGGGACTCCGTAGGACTCCGTGACCGACTGGCGGCTTCGCTGGCTTCGCTCACACCATCCTTGTTGCAGGCTGGAGGCCGCGGCGCGGACAGAGGCGGAGCGGCGCTCGAGGAAGAACGCCAACGCGGTGCAGGCCCGCATCGAGAAGATGTTCGCCGAGATGTCCACCGGCGGCTCGCGCAGCGGTAAGCTTCCCTCGGACAGGCCCGGCCGTTTCATGTCCATAGGGGAAACTTCTTCAAATTAATATGTACACTGAACTGTACCTGTTGCAGGCCTGGTGGAGCAACGCTTCTCCGTGGACTACCTCGGGTCCGTGCCGCTCGTGGACAAGGTGACCACGCTGCAGGGACTGCAGGGCCCGCTCAAGGACCTTTACTTCGGCTACCGGCGCGCACGGCGCGGCTCGCAGGCTGGCGCCGAGCCTGCCACCGCCGAGGCCAAGCAGTGCGGGCAGCAGCCGCTGTGGACGCCCGGCTTCCTGGAGATCTCCGGCAACGGGCTCCGCGTGCACCACGCCCTCCCCGACGACCAGCAGGCCGGCAGCCTGGGCCAGCTGGAGCAGCTCAACCCGTTCCCCAGGATCGCCGTGTGGGCCGCCGTGCAGTTCGTGTGCCGCGAGCGCGCCGCCACGGCCCAGGCCATGGAGTGCGCCTTCCTGCCGCTGATCCCGGACCCCGCCCACGGCGGCGTGGACAAGGACGCCCTCTTCCGCGACCTGAGCGGCGCCGAGGAGCGCGTCATCCGCTCCATGCGCAGCATCCTGCGGCCCGGGGCCGACGCCGCCGACAACGAGGACGGCCACCGCGCGCCCATGTTCGCCGTGGTGATGCGCGGCAAGGACAAGGCGGGCGCCTCGCGGCAACTCGAGTGCCATGGCTTCGTGTGCGCGTCGTCGGAGGACGCCATCATCATGGCCGCCAACCTGTACCAGGCGCTCATGGCCAGCATGCGGACGGCCGCGGCGGCACACGCCAGCAGCACCGCGGCAGAGGGCGCGGCGGCGGGCATCGCCGCGGCGGTGGCGTCGTCCGCCATGGACGCACCACCCAGCGGCGGCAGCAACAGCGGCAGCGCGCCGCGCCTCCTTGGGGGTCGCGAAGCGAGGATGCACCACGAGAACGGCATCGGGCGGCTGAGCATCGCGGGCAGCGTGTGCGGCGACGGCCCGGCCGCGGACTCGGGTTCGGGGCTGGGCTCCATCACGGCCTCGCTGTCCGGCGCGGGGACGTCGGCGGAGAGCAGCTGCAGCAACGTGGACAGGACTCCCGAGGACGCGGCGAGCTTGGCTGCCCTGCAGGCCACCAAGCAGGCTGCGAGGCAGCCCGTCAAGCAGCCCGTCAAGCAGCCCATCAAGCAAGGCGCCCAGCCCAAGAGGGGCTCGCCACCCCCACTGCCCAAGGTGCCTCCCCCGGTGCCGAAGCGACCGCCGAGGAAGAAGAAGACCTCGGGATCCTCCACGGACGGCGAGGACCTCATCGTCCTGGAGGACACCAGCGAGCTGCCTCGCAACGGCAAGGCCACCGTGTCCTCCATCCGAGGCAGCTACCTGCCCAGGGCGGGGGGTGGCGATCGCAGCGGGGGCGGCCCGGGCCGCTCGGCCGGCATGCGGCGGTCTCAGTCGGGCCTCATTCCCACCCCGGAAGTGGGCTGCGGCACTGGCTCGAGCGCGCCGGGGGACATCCTGACCAAGGTGGCCATCCCCCGCAGCCACAGCTTCCTCAACGCCAACGGGCCGCTGACGCGCTACAGCCGCCGGCCGCCCAGCCACACGCGGCCGCCGGGTACCGTGGACCCGACCGCAGGCTCGGCCGCCCTCCACGGCGGAGGCGGCATGGGTCGCGCGGGGGGCGGTGGAGGTGGCAGCCCTCTCGGCTTCAACGAGCTGTTCACCGAGTTTCGCCAGCAGGAGGGCCTCGACAGCCTGGACGACATCCTGGGCGCTATCATCGACGCCGAGGGCATGTCCTTCAACGACCTCAAGCCCATCTACAAGGAGTTCCTGCTCAAGCTGGCGCTGACGCTGACCAAGGACGAGCTGTACCACCGCAGCAAGGCCATCATGCGGCGGCAGCGCAAGAAGCAGCTCCTGGGCGCGGGCCGCTCCAGCCGGCGCAGGGGCATCGCCTACACGGCCGTGTACATCAAGAAGGCCGTGCGCCGCTCCATCAACAAGCTGCGGCCCAGCAAGCGCCTCGGCCTCGGCAAGCTGCTCTTCAGCGACAAGGCCAAGGCCGCGGCGCCCAAGGCCAAGGTCATCGCGCACAAGAGCAAGTGCAAGAAGAGGGCCAAGCCCGTGGCCGTCGTGTCGTCCTCGTCCATCTCGTCGTACCCGTCGTCCAACTTCCGCATGAGTCGCCGGCCCAGCATCAGCGTGAGCCAGGCGGCCAACGCGGCGTGCAACGTCAACGTCAACGTGAGCATCAACAACCGCGCCGCCAGCAACGTCACCAACGTGACCGGCAACAAGGCGCGTTTGCCGCGACGCCGCAGCAGCAGGAGGAGCAGCCGGCACCACCAGTCCGCGCTGCCGCCGCCCGTCACCAGCACCTCGGAGGACAGCGACTTCTTCACCATGATCCGCTGCGACTCGGCGCGCGGCGGCCGGCCGGGGGCGGCCACGGCGTGGGGCACCAAGGGCGGCGCTGGCACGGCCGGCGGTACGGGTGGCGGTATGAACCGATCGTCCAGCGGCTACGTGTCCTGCTCGGACTGCAGCTACGACAGCGAGTCCTGCACGTGCCTGTCCGCGGAGCGCTGCTACTGCTCGCTGTCCAAGTACCGGCCGCACCCCGGCGCGCTGCCCGGCAAGCTCCCCAACGGGCTGGCCAACGGCCTGGCCAACGGCTTCAGCGACCGTCTGAGCTCCCTGCCGCCGACGGCACTCTCGGGGCAGCCTCACGTCTGCGGCTGCGACACGGACTCGTGCCAGGGCAGCGACAAGTGCTACTGCACCCAGCGCACCCACAAGGGCGACCCGCTGCCGTCCCTCGCGCCGTCCGCGGCGTGCTCGAGGCGCAGCGCGCGCGGCCACGGTCACCAGGGCCACGCGCACCAAGGCCACGGCCACCAGGGCCACGGGCCGCGACAGCGACAGCGGCGAGGCTCCAGCGCGTCGGCCGTGCACATGACCACCGCCACCGCCACGCCGCCACCCGCCAACATCTTCGAGCAGCTGCGACAACAAGGATTCGCCGCGTCCGACTCGAGCCTGTCGCGCGCCGAGTCCCCGATGACGGCCTGGTGCAAGAACGAGTCCCGCGTGTCCCACGGCGCGCGCCACCGCGGCAGCAGCGGCGGAAACGCGGGGGGCGAGCGACGACGACAGCGCGCGGCCTCGTCCGCGGGGAGCATGCGGTCGTCCAGGAGCCTCGAGTTCCTGCAAGGCCCACTGCTCGGGCACCTGCAGGGCCAGCACCTACTGCCGCAGCAGCAGTACCCCGGGCCGCAGGGCTCCATCTGGGACCGGCCCGGCGGAAAGCCACCCAAGGGCAAGGGCAAGGCCTCCAAGGCCTCCAAGGCCTCCAAGCAGTCCCCCAGCAAGGCCGTGTTGGATGGCTTCGGCTCGGCGCGCAGTCGCTGCCCCAGCAGGATGGACATGTACCGCTCCAGCTCGCGGTCCTGCTCGTACGTGGCAGCCGCCGTGCTGGAGCCCCTAGGCCTCGGACACAGCATGGGCTCTGGGCGGCACGGCCGGTCTCGTTCCGGTTCCACGTCTGGCCTCGGCCTCGGCCCCCACCAGAGCAGAGCCGCGTCGCGCGCAGGCAGCAGGCCATGCAGTAGGCCGTGCAGCAGGCCGTCCAGCCGCGCGGGCAGTCACTCCGGCAGCTGGGTGTGCGAGGACGAGGACGCCGACGAGCCCGTGGACGAGACCGTGGACGAGGACGACGTTCATCTTCTGCTGGGCGATGCGTCGTCATCCTCTCGGCGCCAGTCCTCTCGCTTGCAGGCGCGCCAGGCTCGGCAGCAGCGGAAGGTGCTGGTCGTGTCGGCCCGCGACCCCACCGGCCGCGTCATCTACATGGGGTCGTCGGCGTCGGCCTCGGCCAACGGTGCCAGCAGGGCGCGGCAGGACAGGCAGGACGCTGCGCAGGGCCTCGGCCAAGCCGTCAAGGCCGGCCAGTTCTTCCCCCGGGCGTCGCTGTCGCACGGTTCGTCCAGCCGTCGGCAGTCGCGGGGCAGCATGTCTCGGAACGGTCTGGACCTCGGCATAGGGCTCGGCGTGGGGCACGCCGCGCTCACGGCCAAAACGTCGGACCGGTCGGACTCGTACCCGGACCGCCCCAACGGCAGCATCACCAGCATGGCCGTGACCGGCGAGGCCCTGTCCGTCAAGAAGTCAGCCGAGATCGCCGCCCTCTTCACGGGCGTCAAAGTGAGCCAGACCACGGACATCGTGGCCACGGCGCGCAGCACGGACTGCACCGTCACGGACAGCAGGGACAGCAGCACGACGACGGGCGACGGCGACGGCGAGGACATGGTGTACAGCTCGCTGGACGGCCGCGGACAGGGCCAGGGCGGCCCAGGCGGTCAGGCACAACGCGCGCGCCCGGGCATGTACCTGAGCCACACCGTCAGTGTCGGCAGCAGCCTGGAGAACAGTCTGGGCTACCTGCCGTAGTCGGTACCTACGTATCTGGGTTCTTAGGGTAGGTAGTCTCGGGGAACCGACATCATTCAAGTCAGCCCCAAGAAAGGGGCGAAAGTGTTCACGAAAACTTAAGAGTAAAAGTGTCTTGTGATTTGTAAAAAAATTATGCTGTAGCACTCAGGTGGGGTGTACTTCAATCAACTAACAAATTGGTATTTTTCTCGCAACACAAAATTGTTGTTAAGTGATATGCGGTAATGTTATTATGATATTTTTATAATTTATTTTCTATAGTTTTTATACTGTGATGGGTGTGACTGATAAAAGTATATTACAACGTTTGAATAGAGGACTTAGTAAGTTGCCCTGTGTGGATTTTAATTTTAATCGTATGTATAATGCCATTACATGTTCTTTAAATAAAATCCTCATCGTGAGAACAATGTGTATAGCTGTTCAGATACTTGTCTTTTTAATCTTCCTTCCAACGTCCCTTCATTCCTTGCTGCAAGGGTTCAGAGTCAAATATGTGGTCTACCTTCCGGGCAATTGGTAGTAATGCAGTAATAGTGATCTGCTGATCCCTTGCCTTGTGTGACTCATTTTAATAATTGGGAATTGATACTTCTTAAAATGATAGAGCCAATAAATAAAGTTTTCATTTTTTATTATAACAGATTTTCTTTTAAACAATACATTTTAAGCCTTGGAGTCTGATTTCTTCTTCTTCTTCTTCTTGAAATTGGTTTTCTTCTGTGAAGATCCATTGCTGTGCCCTTCTTGAATTTTCTCAGTCTTTTTAGATGAGTTATTACCTGACACTTTCCGTTTCTTCTTACTTCCACCAGAAATAGATTCTTCTGCCTTCCTCTTCTTGATCACCTTTGGCTTCTCAGGTAGAGGAGGTAGACCTTTCTTTCTCCTTTTACCATTTTCAATTTTTCGCCTGAAATAAAACTTAAAGTTAAAAAGAGAATATTGTAACATACAAGAAGATATTCAATTAAATAAATACATACTGTAAGTTCTCCTGTTTCTGTTTCTCTCTCAAGGGAACTGTAGATATACTTTCACGCTCAGGTGCATGGTTCTCGCGCTCTCGACGCACTTTTTTAGTCACTTTTTTCATTTCAAGCATGTAAGCAGGGACATCACAACCAGAATCTTTCATCACAGTGGCAATGCTGTTTGAGAGACAAAAGATACATTATTAGCAAACAACAAAAATACAGACAGAACCATTCACATCCAAAAGTACGTTGACTTTTACCTTCTCAAAATAGCAGAATCTGATACAGTGAAAAAAGTGACAGCTCTCCCTTCTCTCCCTGCACGGCCAGTTCTACCTGAAAAGAAATTCCCAACATGTTAGATCTCAGATATGAGAAATGTGAAGGAGTAAAGGTGTACAGAAACAAGATCGATATTGAAAGAAATCATCTTACCTATTCTGTGAATATATGATACAGCAGAAGGAGGGAAATCATAGTTTATAACCAAATTAACTCCTTTGAAATCAATACCTCTCCCCATAAGCTCTGTACATATAAGGACCCATATCTTCCCTTCCCTAAAACTTCTTACTACGTTGTCTCTCTGCAACAAGGAAAAGAAAATCCAGTCACGCACATACAGAAGATATCAAAACACAATCATAGGAAAATCATACCTGAAGTTGGGTGCGCTCTGAATGAATAACATCAACATTAATTCCATCATAAAGAAGCTCAGAGAATAACTCCTTTGCTCTGTCCTTAGACTGGACAAATACAAGCACAGGTGGCTGTAAACCCTGTATAACATAGAGAGCATGTCATGCAAACAGAAGAGGCACTAAAAATGCTCACACATGTGACATTTTAAGTCAGTTCCTACCTTACTGATCATTTCTCGCATAGCTATCAGTTTCCCTTGTTCACCTCCAACAAACACTAGTTCCTGCTTCACTTTATCTGTTGTTGTATTCCTAATTGGTGCAAAAGACAAAGTTCAATAAAAGGTAAATACTAGACAAAACTACAAGTTTTCAAACTTTAAGGACATACCTGTGGCCCACAGTGACAGCAATTAACCCTTTGAGGTTTTGCTTGCACCATTTTGCTACATGAGCTCCATGAGTAGCACTAAACATACCCCTCTTTATGTTCTTGGATTCACAAGCCTGATAAATAGCTGCTAGTTGATCTCGAAAACCCCTTGGGCCTGCTTCAAACAATTTGTCAGACTCATCAACAATAAGCCACTGTACACTGAAAATAATAGGAAATTAATACACTATCATGAGAAAAATTCATATTTACAGAGTAAAACCATTTTTTTTTTTTTTTAAGTACCTCTTTAATGATATAATGGCTGGTTCCTGATTCAGGAGAAAAAGAAGCCTATTGGGGGTGGTGATAAGAATATCTGGAAATTAGATTAAAAGTAAAATTAGATAGCTAAACAGAGGACAGTTTTCTTTTTGTATTTCCTCAAATATCACATCTACACTCACCAAATTTATTTGTCTTTGCAAGGTTTAGCTTGGCATTGGTTAAATTTACTTTACTAATTATGTGTACATTGAGTCCAGTATTTTCTGCAAGTCGCTGACATTCTCTAAAGTGGGGTAGGACAACAATGAAAATGGGAAATTATACTTCTTGACAAGTCTAAGGCTGACTAAAAATATCAAAATGAAAGTAAGTTCCATGTGTTACCTATGAGTTTGTTTGGCCAATTCTCTTGTTGGACTAACAATCACAGCACGGATACCATCCCTTCTTAATCCTCTCAAATTGTGAAGTAATGGCAACAAAAATGCAGCCGTCTTACCAGATCCAGTAGGAGCACAGGCTAGTATTTGTCGGTTCTAAAATGTTGAATATTAAAATAAATTAGACTACAAAGAAGGTGTGTAAATGGTCATATTGTAATAAAAGCCCTTTACCTTCAGCATGACAGGCCATGTTTGAGACTGAATTGGTGTAGGTTCAGTGTACCCTGATTTGCGAAGGTTGTTAATCAGATTGGAGGATACACCATAAATTGTTTGCAAATCGTCAAATGATTCAATTGGGGCAGGAACACCATCGCCACTAATAGATAATCGGAGCTTCTTCCGAATAGCATTAATTCTTTCTTCTTCTTGAGCTTTCAACTTCTCTTCAGGAGATAACTTTTTCTTATGCAGTTTTTTTTCCTTTTTAACAGTGATAAGTTTACCACTTTGGTCAGAAGACATATCTCCAAGAAGAGTAAGAGGCTTATCATTGTCTTGTATCACTTTAACTTCATCTTCCAAATCAAGTTCACTTCCATTATGTCGTCTGTTTTTCCGAGGCATTTCTTGCTGACTCTCGTTGGGACTGTCATCGTCATCGTCATCGTTGTCATCATCGTCGTCATCACTGTCATCATATTCCCCATGACTGTCATCCTCATCACTGCCTGAATCCAAACTTTTCTTTGGATCTGCATCATCATCATCATCAGAGCCAGCATCACTCCCTGCTTTCATCCATTCTTCTGCAGCATTGAATACCTCCTCTTTTTTCACTTGAACTGGACCAAGCGGTTTCTAGAAAACACAGCAAAATGTTAGGGATGTTATACTGGCATTAATAAATTACATTCAATTGATGGGACAAAATGAAACGAAACTGAAGAATTAAATTAGAGTGTGTTTTGACAGAGATAAAAGCCATGTTCAAAAAATTAATGCAAACTAAACAGTCACAAGAAGGAAAACATAACCCTCTCGAACACGTTAGATGTGCAGCAGACAGGACTGTACACTGACCTCTGCATGGGCTACAGACGGTCCGAATTTTTTTCTGTTAAATCTGACTCCGTTGGATAGTTTCTTAAATAGATCGTGAGCATCCATATTTGCGTCGTTTCATAAATTTACAAATATATATGTATGCTTAAAATCACAACACATGCAAGGAGGGGAGAAGAAGTGGGGAGTAAGAAAAGTCACGCAGCATGTCCAGGCAAGGAGATGGGAGTAAAAAACCTCTTGTAATGAGATTAATTTTTATTTATTTTAAGACAACACCATTCATTTCAGACGAAATGCTGAAAAAACTGGACAAGTGAAAATTTAATGTGGTACACATTTTTAGCGGGCATACCTAAAAATGAGATCATCTATACATCCCCTTCAGAAAAGCTATGTTGGCAAACCTGCTACCTGCCATTGGCGCCACACTACAAATATTGAAACGACCTCTCCCGGTGAGGTCAGAGTGGTGCGAGGTGCATTGATGCGGTACGTGCAGTGCCACTGACTTAAATGTTAATCGGACGCGAAAGGGGAAGGAGACTTTGTGTGGAAGGCGTTTAGTCGGTAAGGCGAGTGCGTTCCGAAAGGGCGCGCGGCGCCTGCGCACTGTACTGCGGCACTGCCTCCAGGTTGCAGTGCAGGGCGCAGGGGGTGGAGGGAGTGAGGGGGGGATCGATAGCCGCCTCTAGGAAGTCGACGACCCCTTGGGCCTTGCAGGCCCTTGTGGCATGAGGCACCCGCAGTGCCCCTGGGCTCAGAAAAGCATTCTCAGTTGCCGCACAGTGTAAAACACGCGCACGGGGATCATTTCCTAACGTAAAGATCTGTACTGCGGTTGATCATTTCTGCTGTTGGGCCTTCCCCGAAGCAGCGTCCAAAGGGGGTGGGGGTACCCCAGCTGGCGACCCCGGCGGTCCAGGGGGCCGTGCGCCCCACCACAGATCCATACCTAAACAAAACGCCCCAGTGCGGACGTGGCACCCCCTCAGGCAGGTCGCCCCTCGCAGCATCCGCAGCCCACTTCCCCGAGTGAGGGTTCGCGGCCGTGCTGCCCGCGCAGCGTTCCCCGGAGCCGAAAGTCGAGTCCACGTGGGAAACCGGGCCTGTGTCGTGAGCCCGGTCCAGCCTTCGAGGGTCCTGCAGCTCAACAAGCCACCAGAGAGAGAGAGAGAGATGGCCGGCGAGAAGGCGTCCAGGCGGCGCGGCACTCAAGGCTCGCTGCACCGCGACATGGCGTACGACGACAAGCTTCGCGCCCTCAACGAGGAGCTGCTGTCCTTCCACCAGTACTGCCAGCAGGCGGGCTTCACCGCCGAGGAGATGGAGGTGATCTGCGCCCCGCTGGTGGACGCGGTGCGGGCGGCGCGGCTCCGCTCCACGGCCAAGACGACGGCCTTGGTGCTCGTGGCGGTGGGCGTGATCGCGCTGCTGGCCGGCACCGTGTCCACCAGCCCCAGCCTGCACCTCACCGCGCTGGGCAGGCTGGTCATGATCAAGGTGCTGCCGTTCTGGGACTGGACCTCCATCTTCTACGAGTCGTGCCTGGTGGCCAACCCCTTCTTCGGGCCGCCGCCATTCGCCGAGGAGGATTGCATCGTGAGTGTCCCGGACAGTACGCGCGGTACGCGGTGATTCACTCCTGAGTTTACTTCTGGTTTTCATCATCTTGCGATTTAATTTCAGGCGTGTGAGTCACTGGAGCGCGTCGACCGTCTCGCTGGAGTGTCCTACGACCACCTCCTGGACAACTACCTGAGCAGGGACGCCCCCGCCATCGTGGTGGACGCCATGGAGAGCTGGCCGGTCATGGCCACGGACCACTTCTACTTCGACAACATCACTCAGGTGAGTAGAGAGGCCGAGAGTGGGAGAGTCCAAGTCGCGTCAGTTTTGACACCTGCGTGACTGCCTGGCCGTGCCCTACAGATCTACCTCGAGGACGACAAGCTGCTGGACACCGTGCCCTGCATCTTGACCAGCAACCTGCGCACCGGATCGTCGGACCTGCACTCCTTCCTCAAGCGCATCCGGAACCCGTCGGTCGAAAAGTGGTTCGTCCACTGGTGAGTGCGCGAGCGCCTGCGGAGTCCGGGATAGGCAGCCCGCCAAGCAGATCGTGCCTGGCGGGACTGCCTATGCTCGACTTCGCGGGCGCCATATCTGTGGCGGTAGAGTCCTGGCGAGGCTGCCGCACGAGCTACGGTTGCTCTTCTTCCCAATCGCATTTAGCGGGTATCCAATTTCATGAGCAACACTCACTACCATAAAACATGTGCAGGCAAAACTGCGACATCCACGCCGTGAAGGCGCTCCGGAGAATGTACCAGAGGCCCTACTTCCTCTCCAACTCGGTGTCCCCAGCGCACTTCAACTGGGTGCTCATGTCCTCCAACTACAACACCAGCGTTTACAAGAAGGTGAGCGCCACCCGACGGCATTGCGCTACTCTGAAGAGCCTGAGCTCTCCCAGGGGCTGGGGGCTGGGCCCGCTGCCAAGTCATATTTTTCATGTTTTCATCCGATGTGTTTTTCAGGTCGAGCCTGACTCGGGTTTGATCATGCTGGCTCAACTGCGAGGCTCCACAGCCTTTCGCCTAACACCTCACAAGACCTGCAACTCGTCGTGCTCTCAACTATTGGGAAATTTGCACGAGGGAGAAATGTGTAAGTTTGTTGCAAGTGGATTTCCTTTTCTTAGGACTAGGCACTACCTATTAAATACGCTCATGTTTCTTTATTTCAGTGGTCTTCACCAATTTCATCTGGTCATTTGAGTATTTCCCAGGCCGGAACTTAGATAATGTGGCAATTCTCACAGAGACAGTGTGGGGAGAAAATCTTTAACTTACCAATGTGCATAAATTTAGAATTAATCTTTCAGCTTATGAGTGAACGACTCAGCCTCACCGTGTTCATTCTTCAATAGTGTATAAAAGCCATGCATTTTATAAATTGCAACGGAAAAATAAAATGCATAATGAAATCTTTAGAAGATTTATTCGCAATCTTAAAAGTACATAACAATACATGCTATAAAAATATCAACAAGACATTGTTCCAATGAACACCAATCTTTAACAGTCTCAATACATAGTGTGAGCTTAAAGACAAGAGAGAACAACTCTAGACGAGTCTGTATCAATCATCATTTTAAAAATGAAGAAGCAAGTGGTTTGACACACACAAATAAATATTAAATTTCTCTTTAAAAATCAATTTTTATAGAAAACAGTTTCTTTTAGGACAAAAGAAAACAAACAGACAAGACAAGAAAACACAATTATACCATACAGCATTATTTGTACATACTATAAATCACAATCTTCTCAGAACATAAATCAATAGATAATGCCCCAATTCTTACCTATTCCTCTCAATAAAAATCAACACACAATGGCAAATACAGAGGAATGACAAAAATGCAGTATTATACATCCTTTTTTTCATTTCCAACATTTTTTTTTCCTTTTATAAATAGTGACAGGTGCACCATTTCAAAAAATTTCAGAAAGAAAATAATGTGTAACTTGATGATTGCAACTCATGGTCAGGCAAAACAAGTAACAACATAGGTAACTATCAAGCTCACATGCTGAGACTTCTTATAGCATGATGTGAAAACAAAAGAAGAGTATAGATATTTCATGAAGACTTCAAAACCATATCCAATGTGATAGAACATGAGATGATGAAATTATGTGACATTTTTATTTCATGAGAGCATGCACAACAGCCTTTGCATTGAGAGCCTTGAGATCTGTATAGGTTTGGCCGGTACCGACGAAAACAATTGGTTGTCCAGTGATGTAAGTCATGGAAATAGCTGCACCAACCTAGAAATTTTAACAAAGAAAAAAGATTAAGAAAGAAAGTTGCAAAAAAAATAATATCAAGGTAGGGTGGCAGCCCAAAGAAAATGAATGCAAACCTTGTCATCAATTGTGTCAAACTTAGTTAACACAATACCGTCAATGAGATGAGGATTCACAGCAGATGAATTATCTGCCATTGCTTGATTGAACTTAACCAACTGATCTACAGCTTCATTTCCAACCAGAGCCTCACCCACAAAGAGGACCAAATCAGGTTCATTGACTTTCACAAGCTGGAGAAAAAAAGTTGTAGGTAATAATGGAGGTACTGGAAAATTAAAGAATCTAGCCAATCTCATGGTGCAACATTACCTTAGCCAGAGCAATCATTAGTGGTCCATTATCTTGCATGCGACCAGCCGTGTCAATCAAAACCACATCCATTTTCGAATCCCGAGCAAAATTAATTGCTTCCAGGGCAATGCCAGCAGCATCCTTGCCTACAAAAGGAGAGCTATTAATTTAAAACCACAATGCAAAGTCACGGAATTATGTAATAATATTAATATTATTATAGGTGGTTGTCAATAATAATAATAATAATAATAATATTCTAATGTTATTTATGTATGAACTTCAAACGTACCATAACCCTTTTCATACAAATTGACCATTTGGCGCCCTCCATGTCGTTCAGGAGGGTGTAGGGCATTCAAATGACGAGTATGGGTGCGTAGCTGCTCAACAGCACCAGCTCTGAAGGTATCACAAGCAGCAATCAAAACTTGGAGGTTGTTTTCAATCAACCAGAAGCAAATCTAAAAGTAAACAAAAAATATGTAGTAAAAAAAGGTTGTTTAGTCTTTGTATCTTTGAAATAACTACAAGAAGTGAAACACAAACTTACCTTTGCTAGGTTGGTAGATTTTCCAACCCCATTCACACCACAGAAAGCCATGACAAAAGGCCGGCCCTGCTTGCGAGCTTCCAAAGCATCTCGCAAAATGTCAATACGACGACGAGGAGACAAAATTTGCACTAAAGACTCCGTCAAGGTGTTTTTTACAGTAGATGCAACAGTTTCAAAAGTACCAATTACCTAGAAGGAAAAAGTCAGACAGATATATCAAATTATAATATTTGTAAAGAAAACAATAAAAGGGTTTCCTAAGACATAATGCTCACTTTTCCTTCAAGTTTGGCAGCCACAGAGTCACATAACTTAACAGCAATATCAGCAGCAACATTTTTAGCGATCAGGTGATCTCGTAGCTTATCAAGGCAAGGCTGCATGGTTTCTTGGCTCAAGTTCTTACTGCCCACCAATCCCCTGTTTGAAAGAAGAGATAAAATTAGAATTGATTTAATTTATAATTTGACAAAAAACTGAAGTAAGTAAATAACTTACTTGAATATAGAGAAAACACCACCGCTTTTAGCAGCTGGTTTTGTTTGGGTGGCAACTTCCTCTTCATCCTCTTCTCCCTCATCATATTCATCAGAGTCACTTTCAACTTCAATATCTTTAATGCCACCAACCATACGGCCAACCATCTGCAACAGAAAGGTCAAATTGTTTGATAGCATTGACTTATTGGATCACCACAGTATTATAGATCAGGACTAAAACATGACTTCTGACTGGCACTCACATTGGATGCTGGAGTGAAATCAGATGTAGCATCCTCGGGTTTATCCTTGGAACGGTCAAGACTAGTCATATCTTTAGCATTGCCTCCTAATTCCCAAACTCGGGGTTTCTTGCCTTCTTTGCTTGGCTTAGGGCTCTTAGTGCTGCAATATGTTAAAAGGAAAAATTTAGCAACCAAACAAAAGTTAGAAGGAGCTCTCAAGAAGAGACAAAACAAAATATGCTTACCTTTCCTTCTTTTTTGGTCCAGCAGCCATTTTCTGAGCAAGCCGCAACCTGTTCTGAATCAGCACATCTTCAGAAATACCATTGCCATTTGAAGCGGGGGCAGTGGATGCAGGAGATGGGGGAGTTTCAATCTTCGGAGGCTCAGATATTTTCACTGCAAAGAATAAGCATTTTTTTCTACAGGCCCAGCAAACATCTTGATGACTTGTAAGCAAACTTGTTTTTTGTTTTGAATATGTTACCTTTTTTCTGCTTATTTTCCTTGTCTTCCCCTTTCCTTTCAATCATAGATGAGACAGTCTTCTTGGATTTCAAAGATTCTCCAAAGGAACGCATCTGTTTCGGTAACTTTGCTTGAGATCTTCCCCAGTCCTCCGCAGCTTGCAACACTCTCTGGAATGACTTGGTAAACTCGAAGCTCTACAGGTAGAAAACAATCCATGGTGATAATAAAAACTCTGCTTCCTGCAGCTTAAATGAAATGTACGTACATGTTAAATGATTGTTAATTGTTACCTGAAAATATCTTCCATTCTGCAAATCATCCTTATACTTGTCTCGAAACTCCAGATGGATGTCGGTCAAGAACTTGTCAACGTAAGCTAGCTGCAGAATTTTTTGGAAAGCGACCACAAAGACCAGCTCAAACTCATTGTCAAGCTTGTACTTTAATGTCAGAGCATTATGGTCAAAATTTTGATTTCCAGTACGTTCCTGTCAAAATGTAACAGATGACATTGAGTTAGGCAACATATGGGACATGAACGAAAACAAGGGCACTTTAAGTCAAATGTTGATAAGAAATAAATGTGTTCTAAAACGATAACGCCATGAAAAGGCAAAGGAAAAATCGCCAAATTAACATAAAGTGTTGCTCAGTCATCAATTCAGGTTAAGTCTCTCCCTGGACTTACCTGCAGAATAACAGTACGAATCAAGGCATTTACTGAAGGAGTAAATATGTCCTTCGTACTTTGAAAGCACCATAGCACAATTCCACCCTTGCTGAAAATTGTAAAAAGGTCCAACATTTTGAATCAAGCGAAAACACGAAGTTTCCTTGCAGTTTCAAACAGATGTTTACAAAGACTCGCAGAAAGCACGACAACACGTCACTCGGTACAATCGATTATCCCACCGGCACTTTCGAGACAATCGAAAGCGAAGTGAAAGGAGGGAGGAGCGGAAGCGGAAGCGGCGGTACAGTGTGGCGGCAAATTTCAAGTGATGCAAAGTGGATCGGCGCGGATCTTGTATCAACCTGTTTTGCCACCTATTCCCTGTATTACCGGACGCTTCTTGCTGTAATACTTTGGAATCCGTATTACTTTGTCCACGGTTTAGGTGATCGAGTCGGTTACCCTCGACGCACGACGTTACTGAATCGTGGCTGGCTGGCTGGGCGGCTGGAAAGATGAGAACAAATGTGCCCTAACGAAACAAGTGGCGCGGTTTCAAGGACGTTCACCATCATTTCGACAAAAGCGGACTCAAGTCGTATCCAACACAGTCGGGTCCTCCTTCCACGACAAGGTTTCAGCCAGGCCCCTCCCAGTGCGTATCACGTACGGCGTGTGTCGTTTTATCAGTCCTGACAGTTTTCTCGACGTGTTCTTTTTCTGTGACAGGTTCGCTTGCGGGAGCTCTGGGGCGCGCTGTGCTGGCGCTGTGTCGGTGGGGCGGAGGGGCAGGGCGGTGGCATTCCCCAGAAGGGTCGAAGCATCGAACCATGAGAGAAGATATCGAACGAGCGCGCGGAGTGGAACCGGTGGAACGGTGGAGGTAGCGTGCGGGGCAGGCCGGTCGCCGGGCCCCACCGTGCCCCGGGGGCGTGGACCTCGGGGGGCTCACGGCCGCGTGGCCGTGGCTGCATGCTGAGCATGTTGGGTACACCGGCGTGCCGGTGCCGTGTCCAGCGCGCCCAGCCCAGCGCAGCGCGTCACTAACCACACCCAGAGCAAACGCCAGGAACTGGTCTGGGTCGACGCCACGGTCGCTGCCGGTGCCGTGTGCCTGGCTTTCCACTGCGGCCGGCAGTGTGTCCCAAACGAGCGCCTGCATGCAAACGCCGACTGGAGGCTCGGGGACTCGACGCCATGTCGTCTGGGTCTGGCGGTCTGGCGGGGCTGGGTGGGGCTGGTCAGGCGTGCCTTCGCCCAAGCTTCGCGCGGCCGTTCGCGGGGGCGTCTGTCGCCCAGGGAGCTCTACTCGTCGTGCATGAGCGGGGGCGGGTCCAAGATCGGGATTGCAGGGCAGGCAGTGCGGGCAGTGCAGGCAGGGCACGAGGAAAGGATGCAAATTAACCTCTCCCCCCGCACCGCCCCGGACAATAAAATGGTCCCCGTCCAGACTTGGCGCAGTGTGGCAATCGAGTGCTGCAGCCTGCCAGCCCGTTTGTTTGTGTTCAAGTCGTGTAGGGAAAGCCAGCGGCGCCCACCGCTCTGGCGCGCTCTGGTCCCCTTCGGTCGTCTGAGACGACGCCAGGCCAGGCTGCGCTGCTGCGCTGGCTGGCCGCGGCTCGGCCGGTCAAGCCCAGGGCTGCCCGGAGCCACAGGGACTGAAAGGGACGCGGACGAATGAAATGAAGCGCTGTCCGCGGCTCTCCGTCATTGGCGTCCTTGGTCCTTGGGCCCCGCATTTTATTTCTGGGCGAGCTGGGGGAGGGGGTTCGCGCGGCGCCGTGGATGGGCGTCGCGGGGGCGCAGGGCGCAGCGGGCAGGGCTGAGGGCTACTTCGCTGTAAGTAGGCCAAAGTAGTCAAAACGCAAACGCACATGACTCACCCTTTACCAGCCCTTTGCTGCACGACACGCACAGCAGCAGGGCTCGCGCCTTGCTCGCCCCGCCCCTCGCCACCCCCAACGTGCCGAGCGGCCAGGCGTGCGAGTGTATTCCCGCCGGAGTCCATACGCCCCCGCACAAACCGAGAAGGAAACACTTTTCTTCCTGCATGAATTAAACCGTGCGCCTGTGGGGGTGTGCGCACACTGTGCGGTGTGCCTGCACCGTGGCGACGCGGTGTGATATACCGCCGCGCCGGCCCTCCAAAGTGGCGTTGGCTTGGGCCCTGCGGGGCTGGGGCCGTGCCGGCTGCGCTACGAGGGGGTAAACCCTTCACGAAATCGTGTACAGACTACTCGGTATTACGCTGTATTACACGGTATTACCGGCCCTCAAATGCCAAATTTGGCTCATTGACCCAAAAAGGTATTACATCACGGTATACGCGTAATACACGTGTACAGGTATTACGCGAGTGGTTACCCCCTCGCTGCGCTACGCCATGCTCGCGCTGCTGGAGCCGTTCTAGGCCGTGCTGCTGCTGCTTCTGCTGCCTATCCTGCCACGCTGTGCACCATTACGGCTATTGGACTTCCGCCCCGGGTATAATGGCGGCACAGCTGGACTGGCGGGGACTGCAGGGCAGGCGCGACGCCACACACACATATGCACACACACACACACACACACACACACACACACACCACACACACACACACACACACACTGCGAAAAGAGGATGCACCTCCACGATACTCCACGAGGCTCCGCGCTCCGCACCGGCCGGCGCTCGACCCGCCCGTCAATTGCCGCCAAAGTGGCTCACGGCTCACGGCAGTGTGCTTCCGAGCGGCGCCCCCCGTCTCCCTCGCACTCCGAGAGGCTGTTCCGTCGCGGTGCGAGAGAGGCAGAGCGAAGCAGAGCGAAGCCCTGTTCGGAATCAGTCCGCAAGGCAAGGGCATGACGCGGCGCTCTTCAGAGGGATTTCTCTCGGGGACGGAAAAGAGCGGGGGAGGAGCTAGGCCGGCGCGAGGCGAGGCGCGAAGGGAAGCCCCATTGGCGTGCCCGCGTGCGCGCGGTTCGCGGTTCACGTTTTGACGGATGGCGAAAGGAAGTTTATTTTTAATTCCGCTTGCAGGCTGCCCGCCTGCCCGGCTGTAGTCATCCTGGCGCCACTCGCAGCACAGCACATATGCTCACGCGCGTGCTGACTGTGCCCCCCTCCCCTCCTCCCCCCGCGGGGCAGCCGGGCCGGGAGTATTTGCATTCCCTCGCTCCTTCGTGCTTCCTGCCCGTTCCTGCCCGTTCCCGCCCGCCGGCCGGCCGGTCACTAGGAACTTGGACACGCGGACTGTCCGGCTGTCGCACTGCGCTGCACGGCCCAAACACGGGCGGAGGAAGCGCGTGGCGCGTTTGGGTCTGCCTGCGCCGTTACACTGCACGGAAATTACTCGACGGGCCGAAAACCGATCAGGATCAGGCATCGGCTTGGCGGCTAGGCTTCCAGAAGCCGGAAGGGCGGAGGGCGCGGAGGGCGCCGAGGGCGGGCAGTGAGGGGGTCGTCCGGTTCCGTCCCTCCGGTTTAGTGCTAGGACCTTTCTACCCCCGGTGCCTCGGGCGCGTCCCTTTCCCGTTTTCGTTTGATCCGGCGTGGGAACTCGCACGTGATCGTGTTACAGAGGGGCGTGCCGGCGTGCCTGAGGGCGAGCTTGTCGTGCTCCGGGGCGCCGACCACGCACCGCCGCACGCACCGGGCCACCAGACTGACTCCAAATGTGCTTACCGTCACGCTTTCTTTCTCGCACCCCAACGGAACGTCTCACGGGTGCGAGAGAGACAGAGCGACGGAAGCGCTGTCCGGAACCAGCCTGCGGGACCTTCCATGGCCACCCCCTCGATGCGGGAGAACGGAAGGGTTGCCTATGACGACGGACGACTTGCCGACGTCGGCACGGAGGTGGAGGTGGAGGTGCCGGAGGTGCGGCACCCCAACACCCCCTGAGGGGCAGGCAACCCTTCCGACACCGCGTGCGTCGCTTGGACAGCTCGCGTTGCCGAGGCCGAGGCATCGGAAGCCGAACTGGTGGGCGGTACACTGCGGTACACGGTACAGTCCTTGGCTGGCTGATAAAGGGCGGGCGCCGCAGATCGGTACCGAGTCATTTCCACCGAGATTTAGTTATGCGTCATATTTGATTCCTGGAGGCGGGCCCGGGCAAAGGAACGGTAACTCCTGGACTGCTGAAGTCAAGTAGAACCCCACTGAACCTGGAGGGGAGCGCATGTGAGTTTGAAGTGGTTTTAAGTATCGATTGAGAAAAGAGTCACAGGTTTTAATACGGTCACGGTTTCCTTGTTCCTTTGGGCGAGGCGTGGCACTATTCGCGGAGCTCGATTCAAGTATTTTGAGTAGGGGCGTCCTCACTGACTCGCGTAGTCCCCCTTGACAAGTCTGTAATGTTTTTCCGTGGGAGTTGTTGTGCGTGAATGACTTGATCGCTTTTTCGGATATGTAAACGTAGCGGGGCCAAACGGCGTAATTTTCGAAGGGTGAGGTGAGTCGGGAAAGGAGGCGGGTTCGTTTCGGGCAGTACTGCCTGGCCGCCGACGCCCTTGGGGCCAGGGGCGTGCGAGTGTCAGTACACTGGAGTGCCGCGCCTCTGCTGCGAGCGGGCTGCCTGCCATTTAGACTCAAGCCAGGAGTCGGGGCGGGGTGGAGCCGGTTCGCGAACCTCATCCCCGTTCAATGCGACCCCCTGGTAAAGAAAGCTAGCTGGTTCGCTGTGTGCCTTGCGCCCTGCGGGTGTGCGCGACGCCCCAGCGGACCTGGAAGAGCTTGCCATTGACGTTTTTGTTGGCTATGTGGCCCACGTCTCGCCTTCTCGCCCCGCTTGCTGCCACTGCTTGTGGGGAACTTGACTTAAATTTGTGTCTGGGGATTTTGTCTCTTGTCTCGCTGCAGTGCGCCTGAATCGGTCTATTCGCCACCAAGGGAGATGTGTGGAGCGTTCGACCCCACGCTGGAGAGGGCGTGAGCTTCGGAGGTGGTGACTAGTGTCGGGTTGCGGTTGGGACACTCCCTTCCAGGAGCGTAGCGTCTGACACTCGTCGAATCGAGTTATTTTATCGTTCCCTTTGTCGCTTATTATCACGTCGCCGTCGCACAGGGCCTATGCCTTTCTTTTCTCGCGGCATCAGCCCCAAATCCTTGCCAAAGCTTTAAGTTTACTGATGTTCTGTGAGCGTCATCTAACCTCAATCTTTTCTCTCACTATGTGGGCGCGTTGTAAACAAACCAAAAGTCTCGATCAGGTCGTATTATCCCCTTTTACGACGTCCATACATGCTTATGGAAACCCCTCTTCTGGAAAAGTTTTTCTACTGTCTCTACATCTGTCATAGAGGCATGTCTTTCATGTCCGACACAATTTTATTGCAGCTTAATTTATTTTGCAACCTTTATTTTCAGGTCACGAAGTATTTTTACCATGGGGCTTGGAAAGATGAAAGGATCCCTGATTTTCCTTGCTGCTGCAGTGTTACAAGCATCTGCTCTTGGTAATTTATTTTACCTGGTGTTTGGTCTTCATGCGTATTGTTCTGGCTAGTTAATTTATGTTTTTTTGTTTCAGTCCAATCTCCACCCAGAATAGTAAAACAGCCTCCCACAGATGAGTTACTGTTTCAAGTTGTGACACAACAAAATGAAAACGATAAACCTTTCATCATTGAATGTGAGGCTGAGGGAGAGCCTGCACCAAAGTACGTGTCTCATTGCACGTAATGCCTTTTCCTTCTACCTTCTTCTTCCTTACCTTCTACTAATTTTCTCTACTTCTATTCAGGTATCGATGGATCAAAAACGGCAAACCTTTTGAATGGCAAGCATATGATGACCGTATGTCTCAGCAACCAGGAAGAGGTACCCTAGTTATTACATCTCCTCGAGATGAAGATTTGGGACAGTACCAGTGCTTTGCTGAAAACGAGTGGGGTACTGCTACCTCCAACTCTGTGTTTGTTCGCAAAGCTGAGCTCAATTCATTTAAGGATGAGCCTACGAAGACCCTCAGTGTCACGGAAGGAGAGCCTTTCCATCTCACTTGCCAACCGCCTGATGGATGGCCCAAACCGAATGTTTACTGGCTTATTCAGGTAACTTATAAAAACGAGCCCTCTGGCTGAGTCAACATATGTAAATACTTGTTTTAATTTTCTTTTGTGTAAATTTAGAATTCTGATGGTGTTATCAAAAGCATCAATAACTCTCGAATGACTCTCGACCCTGAAGGAAACTTGTGGTTTTCCAATGTTACTCGTCATGATGCAAGCGATGAGTTTGCTTATGCGTGTGCTGCCACTTCTGTTTTCAGGTAAGTTTTCATTCAATATTTTCAGGTAATCTAATTTATGTCAGTCATACTTCATTTTATTCATGTTTTTCCCTTTAACTCAATAATATAAATTACCTAGGAATGAATACAAGTTGGGCAACAGAGTACTGCTGAATGTCCTGGCTACAGGTGTATCATCAGCTCAAAATAAGCATGAACCTGTCAGACAATATGTGTCAAGAAAAAATGAAGTTGCTTGGAGAGGGAAGAAAGTAGAGATGTTTTGTATATTTGGTGGAACGTGAGTTAAATTTTTGACTTTTTCATTTGTGTTTTGTTGTTTTATGCAACTGATAACAATTTAATCATACTATTTGTAAAATTGCTTGCAGGCCTCTTCCACAAATAGTATGGAGTAAAGATGGAAGGCAAATACAGCCTTCGGACAGAGTTACCCAAGGCCACTATGGAAAAAGTTTAATCATAAAACATTTAACTTTTGAAGATGAGGGTGCATACACCTGTGAGGCCAGTAATGGTGTTGGATCAGCAAAAACTTATTCCATTAACTTACAAGTACTTGGTATGTTACTTCAGAATTTACAATGAGTTATCTTTGGTTCCTGAGCAAGTCTGGTTTAATGACAACATTGTTCTGAATTTAGCTGTTCCATACTTCACTGTGGAGCCAGATGTGAAAAATGCTGCTGAAGATGAAACTGTGACATTCCGCTGTGAGGCCTCTGGTGTCCCTGAGCCTGAAATCAAATGGATCCATAATGGAAGACCTATCAGCGAGGCTCCCCCCAATCCTCGAAGAAAGGTTACTCCTAACAGCATCACAATTGAAAAACTAACCAAGAAGGACACTGGAAACTACGGTTGCAACGCCACAAATAGTTTGGGCTATGTCTACAAGGATGTCTATGTTAACGTGCTTGGTATGATCCTACACATTTTGTTTCTAATGCTTTTTTGCCTTAAGTTCACATCATTGAAAATTAATTTCATGAACTTTTTTGTTTGTGTATTTTAGCCTTAGCTCCAGAAATAACTGACCCACCAAAGGATGAGGCCACTGTAGACGGACGCACAGTTTCTTTGACTTGCCGAGTATTTGGTGCTCCCAAACCAGAAGTGAAATGGATCAGAGGAGGCTTGGAATTGACTGGAGGCCGATACTCTGTCAAGGAAAGTGGTGATCTCGAAATCAGGGATGTAAATTTCCTGGATGCTGGAGACTACACCTGTCATGCGACCAACAAATTCGGTCATGCTGAGAATACTGGCAGTCTGGCAGTAAAAGAACATACCCGCATCACTAATAGACCTGAAGACTATGAAGTTGCTGCTGGTAGCACAGCCACTTTCAGGTGTAATGCTGTGTCAGACTCTTCTCTTCCTCTCCAAATAGACTGGTTGAACAATGGGCAGCCCATTGACTTTGATTCAGAGCCCCGCTTTGTCAGGTCCTCTGATTTCTCCCTTATAATCACCAAAACCACTGAACTTGACTCTGGACAATACACCTGTTTGGCAAGCACTGATCTGGATGAAGACAGGGCATCAGCGACCCTGACAGTACAAGATGTTCCTAATGCACCTCGTTTGAAGGATTCCATTGTTTGCAACCAGAGGGATGCCGCTCTTTCTTGGCAGCCAACGGGTGACAATCGTGCTCCAATTCTGCGCTATACCATTCAGTACAATACCAGCTTCACTCCAGATACATGGGAGGTTGCATTTGAGTCTGTCCCTTCCACGGATATGACCTACACTGTTGCTATGAGCCCATGGGCCAACTATACCTTCCGAATTGTTGCCTGGAACAAAATTGGTCCATCCGTTCCATCTGCACACTCGGCAGTGTGCACTACTTTACCTGATGTGCCTTATAAAAACCCTGACAATGTGGAGGGAAAAGGAACAGAACCTAATAATCTCGTTATCACATGGACTGTAAGTAGAATTGTTTTGCATGTGTACTGTGACATTATCTTTTAACAGCAAGTGTTTCACAGTAACACTTTTTTTTTGCAGCCAATGCCGGAAATTGAGCACAACGCTCCTCGCTTCATGTACAGAGTTTACTGGAAGCGCAATATTCCTGGTGAAACATGGAATTCAGATGATATCAATGATTGGCATCGGAATCACCTTATCATCCGAAATCAGCCGACTTTCCAAGAGTATCTCATAAAGGTAGTGGCAATCAATGGAAAAGGTGAAGCAAATGTAGCTCCTAAAGAAGTCATTGGTTACTCCGGTGAAGATGGTGAGTATTTTCACAGGGCTGTTCTGTCAGTTTTCATTTACTATAATTTTGAATTTGTTCAGTACTTAATCTGTGTCATTTTAATCTGAATCCTTAGTGCCACTCCAAGCGCCTCAGAATTTTACCATTGAAGAAGTCACTTCTGCTACAAGTGCCATGCTCAGCTGGAACAGTGTACCTCCAGAATCAGTCAGAGGTCATTTCAGGGGATACAAAATTCAAACCTGGACAGAAGGAGATGGTCCTGAAAAAATGAGGGAAATTCTTGTGAAGGGTGACATTCACCGTGCTATGGTGACAAAGTTTGTGGCTCACTCCAAGAACTTTGCCCGTGTTCTTGTTCACAACGATCGTTTCAATGGACCTCCTAGTGACACGCTCAGCTTTGACACTCCTGAAGGAGGTGATATTTTTAACAATAAAAATAATTTGAAAATGTCGGACGTGAAACAAAAGTGTCAATGCGCTAATGCATACTCTTCATCTATTTTTCAGTCCCAGGAACTGTTACATCATTTGAGGCTCTTCCCATGGGATCATCTGCACTGTACCTTATCTGGAAAAAGCCTGAGCATGAAAATGGAATTCTTACTGGCTATAAAATCTATTACCAAGTGGTGAAAGGTACCAAAGTTGGCACTTTAATGGAGCGTGAACCTCACATTCATGATCCTAAAGCTACTAGAGCTAAGCTTGCTGGCTTGGAGCCAAACACCAAATATCGAATTCACATCAAGGGTACAACTCGAGCTGGAGAGGGAGAAGGGTGAGTTTCTCTTGGGGCCTGACAACATTTAAATTTAATTTATGAAATATGTGCTGATTGTTAAATGACTTGTTTGTAGATTCTTCATTGAACAAAAAACAAGGGGATCTGATTCAATTCCTCCGGACACACCATCTTTCAAGTGGCATAGGATGCCGTCTGATAATGGCTATGCCAAAATACGAGTAACTTGGATGCCCAATTTGGATGGAAGACCAGGATCTCACTTCTTTGTCAAGTACAAGTAAGTCTTTGGATGTCATGTTGCCTCAAGCTCGTGAGCTGAACCACCTTGTAAATGTATTTCATGTTTGATTATTATTAGGCTTCGAGGTGAGACTATTTATGAAGAAACTCCAGCTGAAACAAATGAAGACTTCATTATATTAAGTGGTCTTAGACCTGGGGAAGTATATGAGGTGAAAGTAGTTGCAGTTGATGGTGAATTTAACACTGAGAGTCATTCTGAAGATGTTGAAACCTTCAGTGTCGGTGAGTTCAGGCAAACTTCCATAGTAGTGGGTCACTTACTTTCTGGTTTCAGTGTTTTTCAAGTGAGATTTCCTGTATTTCAGAAGGGCCAATTATTCAGCCTAAAGAGAATGTGGCCACAGCTGGATGGTTTATTGGTATGATGTTGGCTATTGCCTTCCTTCTCCTCGTTCTAATAATTGTTTGTATAATAAAGAGAAATAGGGGTGGAAAATATGCTGTTCACGAAAGAGAAGCTGCTCATGGAAGGCATGATTACCCAGAAGAACCTGGTTTTCATGAATATTCCCAACCGTGAGTTGCACTCAGTAAATAAAATATTTCAATGCTTGCTGTGTGCAGGGGCTTTATCATTATTAAGACTTTTTGTGTTCTCAAGGCTGGACAACAAGTCGCACGGCCGAGGGTCTATGGGGAGCGACTTAAAACATGAACCTGAGAGTGATGCAGATTCCATGGCAGAATATGGTGATGGAGACACAGGTAACTATCATTTCATCTTACTTAATTAATCTGAGTGAAGTTAAAATGCATGTTTGGAAGAGTGTTGTGTGGATTGTCATTGGAATAAGTTGTACATAGATCTTGTAAACATGCTTTAAACTCAATTACTATGCAAACACAAATTCAATTCATCTTAAATTTTGGTAATCTAATTGAAGAAAGCTTTCAATATTTAAAAGTTGACTTGAGATTGTCATATCAAGGTGATTTAAGATTGCAATTTTCCTTGTGTTTAGTTTGAGTACTAATTTCTTTGGCATACAAAACATTTTTGTATGGTGTGTGCTGTAATTTGAATCAGCTTTAAAGCACTTGCCTTGTTTTTTTGTTTTTTTATTTCTTCCTTCATTATTAAAATAATATTATATTAAAGTTCCTAACTTTTTTATAAAAAAATCTTTTTATTGCCTTTGTTGCACTTGTAAATCGAATAAGGGCGGTAGACAGATTTAGCCCTTTGTTGCTTTGAGTAGTTGTTGATTCGCACTTTTGTATCTGTTTGGTTACGCTTGATGCAAACAGAAGGCATGAACGAGGATGGCTCATTCATCGGTCAGTATGGTCGGAAACAGCGTCAAGGTGAAACATCATCAGCAGGTTTCGCCACTCTTGTGTAATCCAGGTAAAGTACTTAAACTAAGTTAGACCTGCTAACATCAAGTAAATTTTTGTAACAGGCAAAGAGCAGTTTTTTTTCTAATGTTTGAAATTTTTTTAAGTTTCTAAAAGAAACTATAAACAACAACCCAGTGGATTAATTGGAGCAAGGTGCTTACAAACACATTGTAATAATTGTTTTCCTTTTTCTCAGGACGGTTCACTGAAGATGGTTCATTTATTGGCCTGTATGGGCCTGGTTCAAAGAAACGGCCTCAATCAGAGCAGCCTTCACCATCAGCCATTGCCACATATGTTTAGTGCACTCTGGTGGGTACAGTCTCATTCAAAAGGAGGAGAGACTTAGTTGCTGCAACCAAGCCTACATTTGTATAAGTAAAGGATTTTAGGTTACTGGCACTCTTCTGTTTCATCCTACTTTTGAAGGTTTTTATTTTCTTTTGTTTTATTGTTGTAAATCTTGGACTGATTAACTTCCATAAAGAAGATAGGAAACATCTTACTTTTTATGGGAATCAATGACATAAGTATTTTCTTACCTTTAAAAGTGAGTTGTCATATTCCTTTTTTAAAATAAATCATGCACTTAGAATCTCAAGGCAACTCACCTAGCATTTTTGTTCAAATGCCATCTGTTTTTGTTGGGAGGACATTTGTCATTTAATAGTATTAATGAGAAAAGCAGCTTTCAGTAAGCTTGGGTAGTTATATGAACTATTTAAGAAGCTTTTATTAGCAAGAGTGTCAGTATAAATGAATGAATGTGTGAGTGCTTTTAAAGTTTTTTATTTCTTTTGAAACCATGAACTCAATTCGTTGTTTTCTTTCTTTTTTTTATATAAATTATTATTTTTATTTTATGAGGTGTGACTGCCTCAAGAAATGTATGTGTATAAACAAATCACACTATGTGATGCCTTCTTCATATTTTATTTGTACAGATTGTTTTGTAGTGCAACTTTTATCAACATAGTTTTTGTTGAAATTGTGACAAATGTGATTTCAAACAATGTGTGAACCTGGCCATCAGCTAAGTAGGGTCAATTATTATAAAACTGGAGGAGTTTGGGTTGGGCATATTGAATATCTAGATGCTGAGACAGACGCAATATATTCCTGTTGATATAACTTCAGGAAAAGAGAGTTGTATTTTAATTATGAAAAAGATATTTCTCTATATCATGTAACTTCATCACATGTAGACAAATACTGGTGATGTTGCTATAAGTACTGATGTAGATTTATGTACTTTACTGGTCCATGGCATATCTTGCACAGCTTTCTATTTCTGTGAAATTTCCCTCAAGACTTAAATTGGAATTTGACTCTTGACAATACTTAATTATGTATTTAACTAATCTTGTCTTCAGTAGAAATACCCTGCACAGTTTGTGTTAATGCTTTATTGTTCAAATCGCGTCTTCTGTGCTCTTTTCAATGCCCTTCTCCCTATGTGATGGTGTGTTAATAACATGTATGGTTTACCTGTTAGCAAACATCTAGGACAGGATTTAAGGGAAGTTTTGTTTTCCCTTTAGGCAGCTAGCTTTTTCTGCCCCCACAGGGTCTAAAAGGGTAACAGTGTCTTAATTTTCATTTCTGTTGAGTGGTGTATGAGATCTGGTGAATTGTGTGTTCTTAGTGGAAGTGTGAGGCTTGCATTCAGGGTCTCGCATCTGTGATGGTTTATATCAGAAACACAAAATTAACTTTCAGTTTGGCAATATAATGTTAAGTGTTCTTTGCTATCCAAGTTGTGATGTAGGTTTTCTAGCTTTTCAATTCCAGGGGAAATGGTTGTTAACTAGGAGGTCTGAGTCTCACATTTTGTTTTGCTGTGTTATTGTGAAGCACACAATCTCCAGCTTCCAAAAGGCTTTGTCCCTTTAGGACCGTAAAAATTTTGTTTTTGTAAGTTGTAGTCTGGGTGCTGTTTTTTTCCCTTATTCAAAAATTTTCCTGTGTATAAATACCGTGACAATGAAGGATGTGAGTAAGAAGCTTATTGCTCTCCCTAAGATATGCACTATGTTATGTTATGTTAGTTTGTAATTGCACTGTAGTGTTGGATCATGAAATGTTAACTGTCGCCTTTCCGCACCTGGCACTTTGTCTTTGCTATATAAAATATATTGATTGTCTTTATTGCATATAATTTGTTGATTGTACAGTATAATTGCTAAGCTTCTTCTGTATATGAGGTAATATGTGTAAAGTATACTGATGGAATTGCAGTATTTTGTTGAAGATTTATCTTTTCATCTTCCTAAACAAAGCTTATGATCAAACCTGCGATATAGCTTGCTTTTTTATTTCAAATGAACCTGTGTGATTGTGATCCAACAGGTTTGTTCAATATATAAGTTAAACTCTTTATGAACTGCCATCATGTAATTTACATGACCTCATAATTGAATCTCAATGCATGCCATGAAATGCAGACAGGCCCTGCGATTAACCAATATATTGTTGGCCTGTTACCAAATTCAAGTTGCCTTCTGTAGGCTGAACTGGTTGGCAAGTGTACAAAGGGTAGAGAAGTTTGAAAATGTTCACATTTATGCTTTGCTTTCCAAAACTGAATGTTGTCTTACACACTGTGTGCTTAACAACGGTATCTGTCTTATATTTTCACTTGTTTTACTGGAACATCTTTTGAGAAAACTTAATTTTGGTCATAACACTATGGAACGATCAGATCTGTTTTCTGCCCAATGCAATGTGTTGTGTTTAAAAGAGGCTCCAGTTGTGAGAACCCCCATGTGTTCATTCTCTTTCGTTATGTTTTTGGCTTGTATCATGTTGTCGTTTGATATAGAGTAAAATTGCTTTGTTGTTCATTTAAGAACTACGTTGTAGCAGTGAGTGCAAAGTCCTTGAAACTTACACATGTTGTGTATTTGAATATCATCTGTCTTAAATTTTGACTTCTGCTTATTGAAATTGCTTAATGTTGCTTTTAAAGCTTTTTCTTTTTCTTCTTTTCAATATTGTTGTTGATGTTGTGTGTCCCCTTGTAACAGCACAAGTGCCTTAGGTTAGGCATTATGTACAGTGCACCATAAGGTTTAAAAGACATTTATTGACTGAAGCAAAGGCATTGGTTAACGTAATCTTGCCCCTTCCAATTGTGGGTCAATGCTTTGATATAATGTAAAAATTTAGAAAGCCTGATTTGCTGGTATTTTTATTTTTATACTTTTGGATTGATTGGCTTTACCAGTAATAACTTTATGTAAACAATGGTCGCACTTAGCCTTTGCCTATATTTTGTGTTAAAATTGATAAATATACACTTTGCCGTACTCTTTTGAAGACTTAAACTGTCCCATGTGGATTAATGTAATTGTGTGCTTTCATTTAAATTGGGGAATAATGCTCCTTGCCCTTCAAAACAGGCCAGTCGCAAGGTACATACACAAGTGTATCATTATTGAGATGATTTTTTGCATTTCTCTGTTAAGTTCTGCAGGTTTGTGCATGTTTGTATTATCCGTCTCCAAGATCTCTGACATATTTTTTTTTTTAATCTTATGTTTATTTTTTGTAGTGGTAAATCATTTTGATGTGTTCATGCTGGTGAGCATTTGTATGTGTTTGACAACTGCTTTTGTTTGTTTCACAAAAATCTTGTTCAGTGGTTGGGCTTATTCAACTTGACTTGCTGGTGTCAGACACCAACTAAAAGTACAGTAAATTAAATTTCACTACCAAATTTCTTGTAACATCACATGTTTTATGAACTTGTTCATTGTTTTGTCTCTTAATATTTTATCACTTTGAGAAGGCCCAACCATTATGTTTGTTTCTTGTTTGTATGCTTCCGTCTTTAACATTCCTTGCCTTACTACTATTTAAAATTTATGTGGGAGACAGTCTAGTGAATAACAGTTATGATTGATTTATTATTTAGTGTAGGTTTTAGTTTTTCCTTGACTTATTGAGGAACAGAACCTCTCAATTCTACTTAACGGCCAAATATTGGGCCTCCTTTATTTTCTCTACTCTTCCCTCCCCTTGTTTAATAGCTAAGATGGACTTTTAATGGATCTATGTTCTTTGTCTGAGTTAAAAGCTATATTTATCATTATTTTGTCTCCTGCGATATCACTATTGTGCAATATTTGTAATAATTGTGTCTGCCATGCTCTTGACCAAATTAAAAATTCATCCCTGAATGTATTAGCACTAATTGTGTGAATGTATGATGTGACAGGTATGTGAAATGTAGGCTGCTGGGCCTGATTAATGCAAGCAAAAATCTACTTGTAGATATTTTTTTTATGTTTTTCAGCCAAAGTTGAACTTGAAAAATAAACAGATGGTAAATCTTTGCACTTTGTGTTTGAAAATTTCCTTGATATCCACGAACAGACATGGTCACGTGACGAATGGATGGTAAAGGACAGGGAAGGGTGTGAGAAACTCAGAAGACGGTTGAAACCTAAACCGAACCAAACAAGGCGCGGCGACGAGGACAGGGCGGGACAGGGACTTGTCCAAGACCCGACCGGACCGGTCTCCCGTCTGTCATTTCCTCGTCGGCAATGCTCGGCAAGGCACAAGGCACTGCAAGACAGGCCTGCATTTTTCCGCGGGGGAGGACCCCGTGTTGGAGCTCGATGGGTTGCCTACCCACCGGCGCTCAACCTAGGACTACAGACTACATTGCGTCGAGCCATGGGACTCTTCTCGCTTGGCAGGACTCCTAGCTTTGCAATGAGCCCACATATCCGTTTCCATTATCGACACCCCTCCCCCTGAAGCAATGCGGACAAAGTTTAGAGGCACCCTGTGAGCGAGACACTCGACTGGATTTACTGTCACCGACAAGGCGTTTGCGGATTCCGATTCGGGCCGTCCAGGGTCACTCGCGAGTCCCAAGTCTTGTTTTCTGATCCGGTCTGCCGAGCCGAGCGTCGTTGTGTGGGGTGCGTTGGACGCGTTGGACGTTAGCAGCGTGTACCATGCCTGTGCTTAATCGCTGCCACGCCCCCTCCCCCTTCCCCCTCCTCGCACATCCCAATTAAGATGAAACCGGGTGATATGAGTTCAGAGCAGCGCGTCGCACCAGCACCGCGCCGGCAATCCTGTTTCTACATTTGCGTCCGTCGGGTCGGTCCGTGCTGTCCAAGTAAATCGAGGGCTCGCGCATGGCTTTCGCTCTGCCGCCACTATCGCTGGCCGGCGCCATGGCGGCTCTGCCGAGGGAATTCCTCGCCGTCCGTTCCGCCCGCCTACGCCCGCCCTCGTCTGCTCGTGCGCCTTCTGCTCGGAGCAACGGACAAACAGGCTTCGTGCAGCATCCCCCCGAACCCATTCGCCTGTGACGGGGGACATGTCCCCCCCCCCTTTTTACCTGGCCCAGCGGTTCCCAACCTTTTGCGGTTCGCGACCCCAAATTTGTAGCCAAAACTTTCCGCGACCCCCAGGAAAAATTTCGCGACCCCACGCGACCCCTCCTTTAGCATGCCTTTGTTATGGAGTGCGATTATCTGCCTTAGTTTGGGAGCAGTATTGCCGCAAAGTTGATCAAAACGGTCACAAATGTCTTAAAAAATCGTGTTTTGGGCCGACTTTAAGCATCTACTGCGTCTGATCCGAGGCGGTAAATCGTCCTCCCTCAACGGGCAATTGGTCTTTGGACCTTCCTTTTGCATGCCTTTGTTACGGAGTGCGATTATCTGCCTTAGTTTGGGAGCAGTTTTGCCACAAAGTTGATCAAAACACGATTTTTCAGACATTTGTGACCGTTTTGATCAACTTTGCGGCAAAACTGTTCCCAAACTAAGGCACATAATCGCACTCCGTAACAAAGGCATGCTAAGGTAAGGTCTTAAGACCAATTGCCCGTTGACGTAGGACGATTTACCGCCTCGGATCAGACGCAGTGGATGCTTAAAGTCGGCCCAAAACACGATTTTTTTACAGACATTTGTGACCGTTTAGACCAACTTTGCGGCAGTACTGCTTCCAAACTAAGGCAGATAATCACACTCCGTAACAAAGGCATGCAAAAGGAAGGTCCAAAGACCAATTGCCCGTTGAGGGAGGACGATTTACCGCCTCGGATCAGACGCAGTGGATGCTTAAAGTCGGCCCAAAACACGATCTTTTACAGACATTTGTGACCGTTTTGATCAACTTTGCGGCATTTAAGCAGCCAGTGCTCGGCGTGTGGGCCAGCCGGGAAAACACCGCGACCCCAGGCGACCCCAGCCACCTCGCCGCGACCCCTCGAAATTTTTTCGCGACCCCATTTGGGGTCGCGACCCCAAGGTTGGGAACCGCTGACCTGGCCGTTGACCACCTCACCGCGCACCGCGCCCTGCCGTCTGCCCATCTGCCGGGCAGCGCTTGTGCGCGTGCACCGGCTTACACCTTGACGCGTTGCGCGCAGGACGCAGGACTCTCTCTCTCTCTCTCTCTCTCTCTTTCTCTTTCTCTCACAATGCACGTATGCACTCACACACACGTGTGTGATGCGCTCAACAGGGGAGCGGGGGGCTACTGTGTGCTACCAGTGCTACTGGAGCGGGGAGGGGAGGGGAGAGGCGAGGCGGAAAGCCCGCTGCCCGCACATCCCGCACCGGCCCCCACGTCACCCCCGAGCCGTCCGTGGGCTCCGTGGGGAGAGACAAGGAGGGGCAAGGAAAGAGAAAAGAGGATAAAAACAAGGAGGATAGGGGATAGGGGCAGGGGCAGGAGGGGGAGGGGAGGGGGGAGGAAACCGCCCGCTGGGCAAGCAGAGCAAACACAGAGCCCACGGCCGGTCGGGGCCGCAGGCCGACCGGGCATTATGTTGAGGAGCTCAGCCCCGCGCTCCCCGCCTTTCCCCGCGCAAGCCGAGCACAAGAGGCCGACTCGCTCAGTTCCTGGCCAAGCAGGCCACTGTCTTCACCGTCCCCGAGGCCGCCAGAGGCAGCCTCTGGCGCCGCCCGAGCTCGCGTCACGCGTAGTGAACGCGTCCGCCTCATGTCTCTCCTCGCAGGATGCGGTGTGTCCGCATAGCATCGGCCCGACATGTGGAAAAGCCTGCTGCTGTGTTCACTGGCAGCTCTGGTCAACAGTTTAACGCGCAATGGCGGAGACCTCTCGCTGTGGATTAGCGAGCACCAGGTCAAGATGTTTAGCGGTGAGTCCGGCTGTCCCAGTGACAGGGCGGCCCTCTTGGCGGGAGCCCGGGCTACGGGCTCCCCCGCCGGCGTTAACCCCCCCACCACCCCTACCCTTACTAACGCCCCCGACCCCCGTAGGTCTGTAGTATCCTTACCTTGGGATATATGGCTGATGTTTGATCAGCGTTCGGACACGTGCTGGGATTGGTTGGCCGTCGTTGGACAAACATCCCTGTATGCGTCCGTTCAAAAACTAAAATAATAATAATTGAAAATTTTTGGAGGCAGTGTTTTTAAAATTCAAAAGTATGCGTTTAGTTTCAGTATAATTTTTTCTCTGTAATCTTATGAAGTACCCAGAGTCGGAGCTAATGTGCTATGGCAAATAGCTATAGTGATCCTTTAGTCCCTTGAAGGTTCCAATTTACATGTTCAATCTGATTTTCCAGGGTTCTCAATGGAAATCTATGCAATTGTGGATGGACATGTACTACCATACATCCTGGATCCAAACTTCGAGAAGTACCTGCCCATCATTCCCTCAGAGGTGAGATGGCATGATCATCTCTGGACAGTCTTAAATAGATTTTATATTGATTTTTTCAAAGAGACTATGTTGACTTTGAGCTCAAATCTGGCTTTTCAAGGCTCTCAGACAAAATAATTTGATTTTTGTGAAATTAGAATAATACAGCTATTCATATCATGTGTAAATTATATTAAAATGTACTTCACAATAGGTAGGCTATGTGAACTTCACATGGAAATCTGGCATAAAGAAGTATTACTACAACTTTGATCGACTGCAGTCCTTTGACGAGAAAATTCTTGAACCTCCAGTAATTTCCATCAAAACACGAGGTCGAGTGCCACGAAGACCAAAGGGTAAGGGAAATTTACGTCTTAAAGTTGAATTTAAAGCCTAGAATTGCTATATTATTCCAGTCAGTTAAAAACTTTTAGATTTTTTTTAGGGTACAAGAAGTTGCCTTTTCTATCACTTGTGGTTTTAGTTTTCAGCGTTCTCTTACCTTGTTCTGGAAATGGAAGTGGCATCGCTTCCTTTGGCATAGGATTACAAATTGACAGTCGTAAAGGACGTCCCTTGCATGGCACCCCGCTTAGACTAAAACTGCGTAAGGAGTGCGCCCACAGGGGTGAGTACCTCACTGGTAAGTATAGCATTAATGCCCAATTATCACAAGTGCAAAGTACAGAAAAATCTATCTGCACATTGATAAGAACCTCTATGTTAGGTGGGTCTGAACAGAATTAGCTGTTGCGTCATTTGTCATTTTAAAAAAGAAGTCTCAGCTGATGTGTAATTTATAAGGAAATTAATTTATGTTTAATCTTATGCACAATTTCTGTGGAAGAATTTCAAATTTTAAATTGCACTAGAAGCAAATGGCTTAATTACAAACATAAAAATATACATCATCATTATTTCTGTTAAATAAAATCCATTTTTGTTTTTACAAAGAAATTTCCTGTCTGCCTTCATTTATTCAGGCCCAGACCCCGAATGTGACAAGAAATGTGCTAATGGAGGCTGGTGCAACCATGAAAAAATTTGCCAATGCCCAGAAGGCTACATGGGACAATACTGCAAGACAGCTCTTTGCTACCCTCAATGTATGAATGGGGGAGTTTGTTCGGCACCAGGTAGCTGTTCTTGCCCACCAGGCTTCCAGGGTCGACATTGCGAAGGAGGTGAGAAATAATACAAATTCCAACTGTGGATCTATGTTTTAACATGTAATAGTGAAATATGGTAACTAACATAACATTATCTCAGTCAGTTCAAATGCTGGTTTCAACTTCAACCCTACAACTAAACAGTTTTTGATAGTGTAATAGCTGCCTTGCATCCAAGTGAAATGATCTTTGTGAGCCCTTCATAAAATGGAGCCTGTTCTGCTCCATGCTCCAGCCCGAGATCATGGTGTTCCTGTTCTTCGTCACGGAACTTTTGAATTACATCCAAAAGCTCTTTGTCAGCATTAGGATCGGCCATTAGTGTTCTGAGTTGATCATTGTAGTGCTCAACAATGACAGATTCAACTGCCACCGTACAGGCCATTGCTGCCTTAGGCCCAAGTAAAGCTGTTCCTGTGAATCAAAAAAGAGGCATAATCAATCATTCAAAGTCCAAAATTTATAAGCTGACAGCTTGAAAGGAATACATACCAGCTCCAAGCACAAAGCCAGCCACATTCCAGATTGGCACTAATGCTGTTGGTCTTACTCTGTGCTTGCTAATCAATTCTTCAAACTTTTCTTTGTGTTTCTTTTCTTGATCCCACATGTGCTGGATCTCTTTCCCCATGCGTGTATTGCCAAGAACAGCCATCTGACCAGCATATATACGGTCGGCTCCAAGTTCTCCAGCATGGTTGACTCGTATCATTCTTGCAACTTCTGTGGATGCTCTGTGTGCTCCTCTTTGAACTACATTTAAGACTCTTGGAGAGCTGGATACCAGCTGCTGTGGTAATTTGTTGGCCAACATTCTGTAACAAAACAATTTTTTTCTTTCAGGAATTTGTGCGGAGAAATGCCAGAATGGGGGTAAATGTGTACAAAAGGACACGTGTCAATGTTCAAAGGGCTATTATGGTTTACGCTGTGAATACTGTAAGTATCCCAAAAACTCCGCTTAACTTCATTTTGATGTTATCAAGATTACTGAGGAAATTTTTCTTGTTTTTTTCTAGCAAAATGTATAATTCCCTGCCTAAATGGAGGTCGGTGTCGAGGTGTTAACAAATGTAGGTGCCCCCCTGCCTTCAGAGGAGACCATTGTGAAATAGCAGGAAGAATTCCACAACGAAGTACATGCAATAGGCCTTGTCGCCATGGAATATGTCGACAAGTTGACACAGAGGCCGAAAAAGTGGCCACCTGTCTTTGCCATCCGGGTTGGTCTGGACGACTTTGTAATCAGAGTAAGACAATACAATTTTAATCATCTTTGATATAAAAGAAGGTTTCAGGCTGTTCATATATCTAAAAACATTTCCAGAGGTTATCAGCAGCTATGATGATGAGGATGAAGACCATGAGGAGGAAGATGATGATGAAGACGATGAGGATGAGGAAGATGAAGAAGACGATGAATCAATCAGAAAGAAAACACATGGAAAAAGAGTGAACATTTGAAGATAACATGACCAAAATGACTCTCAATACATAAGAAGTACCTGAACGCATCATAACGCTTGATAAATTTACAAAACTCACAATTTTAGTCATGTGGTTTGAGAAATAAACATTTCCCTCACAAGTAGTACTTTCTTCATCATACATAGGTAAAAGTTCACTATTGGTTTGCAACACTTTCAGGAGAGCAATAAACCATAATGAGGTTTAACTTCACTCCACTTCACCTTATCATTGAGAACCCGATCAAAATAAATAATAATAAAAACAATTATTCTTGAAAACAAAATGATGGTTCTTACCTCAACTACTATACTCAAATACTGTTGAAAGAAAAGAAGTCAGCTGTCGGACTTGAAGTTGAAGTTAACTTCAATTGTGCAATGGTTCAGTCCTCCATCGAAAATACCAATCAGGACACACAACAGGTACAGTAAATAAGAGCTGTGTTATGTCACAACGTTCTGTAGAATTGCTACAGAATCCTACAGTGGACAGGTTAGTTTTCCTCCAAACTAAACATTTGTACCGGAAGATGGCGCTAACTGACATTGGACGCATGACGTAGTAAAGCAAAGTGACGATAGGTGGCGCGAGTGGCTACAGTCTTCAACTCTCGATGTCTGTGTGGTTAAACAAGACGCTTCAATTTGTCCTGAACTCAGATTTTTCTGCGCTTCAGACTATGTTTTTCTGTGCACAGCAGGTATGAAAATAACCCTTTAAGTCATTTATTGAATCGTATTGGCTGCTAACGAACGATCGGTTTAAAGAGCTCTCGCATAACACATAAATATCGTCTGCTAAAAGTCCTATCGCGCAGGCTCGTCCAGTCCAAAATGGCGAATCAGAAGCTTCAGAATATTCGTACCAAGTAGTTGAAATGCCTAAGTCTGTACTTACTGAGCAGTCACTTTTTCTGAATTTCACTTCTCGACTTGTAAAATTGAATAGAGCGATGCAGACCATTCACAGAATACACTTATCAGTACTTAGCTGAAGGTGATACGCGGCCGGGTTTGAGGCTCAGGCTTATGTACGAGGCCAACAAAGTTAAGCCCCAGGTACGCAGTCGCGGTTGCGTCCTTATTTATGTCCTTATTTCGCCGATTGATCGTCGACTATGTATTTCTCGTCACTCAGTTTATTGAGAGAAACCATGACTTGAGCACCCTGCTCTTTCTCGCGCAGCACCATTGAAAACGAAGCAACGAGCGCCATCACAGGACATTGAGTAGACGAATTCTAGGAAGTAAACATTACAACCCTTTACCGGTACTTTGCGTGTAGAGTTGTAAATTGATTTATTCACACTGAACAACTATTTTACATCTTCTCGGCATGTTAATGGACGCCTAGAACTTCATTGTGTGTGTGCAAAGATTTTTATCACAATTTACCATAAAAATTTCAAGATTATTATTAACAATTATAATGCAAGTGCGGCAAATTGATTAATTATACCAATTGTTGTTCAAATATGGAGATTCAATGTAAGATAATTCTCCTGGAAAGTTAAATTGACTCATTGCTTGAGGTTTCAAAGTTTTTATCTCACGGTATTTCTATCACAATTGTTTCAGATAAGAGCATGGTGACTGTGATGGAGACACAACAAGACTCTATGGGGGTGGGTAGTCACATTGACTCCGATGATGATGATGACTGCCCGTCCTCACCTGGATCTCCCAGTTTCGACGATGGGGCTCTCATGGCAGCCGCCATGGGACATGATGTTACTGCTCAGCTCGCTGCTGCAGGTTGGCAAAATATCCATGGTACATTTGTGTTTGCTTTCTTCCCCCTCCTCATTTTTATTATTTAAAATAAATATTATTAGTTTAAACCAAATTATGTTTTGTTCACATAAAATGTTGTGATTTGTTTCATTTCCAATTCAGATTTGATTTGTAATGATCCCTATGCTGGTTTGTTTGTCTTTTGGGTAATCACATGTGTCAGTTTGTAGCAGTGTGTTATGGTTTCCACATCCATGTTTTGGCTTGTTTGTTGCACTGCTAATTTAGTATTATGCAACTTGCTTCTGCATTAGGCAAGGTGAAGACCTGAGGCACTTCAATTTCAGAACTGCACTTTTGATTTTTATATCTGTGAAATTGGAGCGATTCAGGGCTGATACACCTTGTTTCTGGGAAATTCTTGTGATAAGCTTTTTATGGCTTTAGTTGTTTTGTATGACAATAACTGTAAACAGAAAAATAAGTTGTGCTGTGCTTGTTCTTAAATTAAAATGTTTGACCACTCAATTATTTTTTTTCTAGAATAGTTGCATGTTTTTGTAAACAAATATGAAAAATATTACAAAATTTTAACCTTATTCCATCCCTGTAGGTACTGTGGGCATGGCTGCTGCTGCTGCTATTGTTTCTTCAAAAAAGAAGAAGAGACCTCATTCATTTGAAACCAATCCCTCTATACGGAAACGACAGCAAAACCGCTTGTTACGGAAATTAAAAGTAAGTACAGTGTTGCCTCAGTTGATGGATTTGTTTGCCTCAAGATAACTCATATTTTCTGTCTCAGCAAACTATTGACGAGTTTGCAACAAGAGTTGGCCAACAAGCTGTTGTCCTTGTTGCAACTCCAGGGAAACCTAATCCAAGTTTCAAATGCTTTGGTGCCAAGCCTTTGGAAGATGTGGTAAGAAATGGAAATTTCCAAATTGTTTTCTGGTGTATATATCTTGAACTCATCTTATCTTTGGTTTGTCAGATGAAAACTTTAAAAGCGTCAATTTTGGATGAATTGGAGCATGCTTTGCAGCGCCAAGCTCCACCTCCTTCAAGAGATGATCCATCGTTATATGAACTTCCGCCCTTAGTTATTGATGGTATTCCCACTCCTGTAGAAAAAATGACTCAAGCTCAATTAAGAGCATTTATACCTCTGATGCTTAAATATTCGACTGGTGAGCAACAGCATTTATTGTAGCCTCTCTATTTTGGTCTACATTATGTCATAGCTACATTCAAACCTCGAATTGTTACAGGGCGGGGTAAGCCAGGGTGGGGCAGAGAATCAACTAAACCATTGTGGTGGCCCAAAGAAATACCATGGGCCAATGTAAGAATGGATGCAAGATCTGAAGATGAAAAGCAGAAGGTATTTGGTACTTTAGAGCTTTCCTCACAACTTTGGGTAAACAAAAATTAAACATTTATTTCAAATACTGCTTTTCAGTGTCGTAATGAACAAGTCTCATGGACCCATGCACTTCGTCAAATTGTTATCAACTGCTACAAATTCCATGGTCGAGAAGATCTCTTACCTGCATTCCAAGAAGATGATGAGCACTCTCATCTGAATGGGATGGCTGATGAGACATCAGATTCAACACACAATGAACAGTTGGTGCAGCATGTAGCTTCTGTTGGTGTCCTCAAGTATCATCAAGCGGGTAAAGGAGTCAGTGCCCTATCACCAGCAGGAGTAAGTCTGACCAATGTTGTCAGCTCTGCATCTGCAAGCACGGTGTCGGTTTCTTCGGTTTCAACTAACACTAACACAATGACAATGACCTCTGCTCCTGTGAGCGTCTCATCTGCCTCACCCACTCTTGCTCAAGCAGCCCAGGTGTGCTTCACTTCCTGTCATCTTTTTTACAGACTTGCTGCCCTAGTCATTTGCTTCTATCCCCTTTAATTTTGTTGTCTTTTGTGGCATGGTTTTTTGGGTTTTTTAAATTTGTAGATTTGTGTTATCTATGATTTTCCGATATTGCTTGAGTTGAGTTGCTGTGTTTTTATTTTATTAGGTACTTAAAATTCATTTTGAATTACTTTTCTTCACTGTGGAAATATTTTTGCCACTTTGATGTGCATGTGTTATAATAGCATGTGTTACAATTTTTTTTTGGAGCACTAGGTTTTCTTGTTACAGTATTCTTATTCTGATAATACTGTAAAACCTTGAGAAGTATTATCAGATATTTTCACATTTGAATCTTATCTGGTAGTTCTCCTCTGTATTTAGCATTTTACTAAGGAAAAAGAGGGAGTGGGGGTAATGTAGCTTTATAGCAGCTTTTGTCAGTTTTTTGTGTTGTTCCTTCTGTCAATCGTTTGGTACTTAAAATCATATTTATTCATTTTTGTTTCTTGTCCTCAGTCAGTTTCTTTGCAAACCAAGTCTCATATTAATTTTTTTTTTCTTTCCAATTTCTAGTATGGAACTGCAACTGTCTTGCAAACAATCAACAATCCAGATGGTTCAGTTTCCCTGATACAAGTAGACCCTAACAATCCTATCATCACATTGCCTGATGGCACGACTGCTCAAGTTCAAGGAGTTGCATCGGTATGTATGAATCTGTTGTTAGCAAATTTGAAGTCTTGTGCAGCACATGGGGTATTTATAATTTTCAAATCTTTTAAATCTTTTAGGCATTGACTGATGTGACATCAGATGGTGTCGTTGACATCAACAATGTTACAGAGGCAACTCTTATTAACCATGATGGCCAACTAATTCTTACCGGAGAAGATGGTCATGGTAAGAAAATAGATTTTTGTTTTCATGGAGTACATTTTACTTGTTACCTCCTTTTCATACATTTTGTTATCAAATTTCAGAATATGCTGTGAAGCTTTGCTCTGTCAATGAGAAACTGTGGCAGCAAGGATCCACTTTAGAAAGTGAGTATACAACTTTCCAGAAAAAGTATCAAGCTAAAATTTTCAGTTGGTAGATTGTCTGCATTAAAGCGTTTTATTTTTATTTGTTGCTTTGTTGTAAAACTCTGATCAGCCGTTCTGGCAGTTGTAGTGATCTCCAAGTCTATACCCTTATTTTTGTTAAGTACATTGTACATCAATATTTTCTTGTTGTTTGAAGTACAGCTTTTTTTTTCTTTGTTGAAAAACAAGCTCAATTGGTAGATTATCCACTAAATAAAGTAGATAAAGGTTTCCCCAATCTTAACAAATTGGAACTTGAAAGCTTCCTTTCTATTTTATTTGCTTTTTTTGATTCTCTTTTATTTTTGCCTATTTTTCTTTTTTTTTTGAATGTGCTTATCTTGTTGGATTTGTTGCTGTGTGCCTTTGCCAGAAAGCTTGGTGTCAACAAGTAGTCAACGAGCCCAAAGTAGTGCCCAGTCAGCCCTTCGGTCTCAAGCACAAGACTCTGATATCTCTCATTCAGGTAGTACTGAGCTTTTGATTCAAATGCAGTTGTAAAAAATTAATTTTTCTTGTGTGTGGGCTGGTAATTTTCTACGTCACTTGCGTGGGAAAAAAAAGTTCTGTGCCCACTGCATTTTTAGGATTACGTTCTACAAGAGTTATCCACTTGTAGTCAATCTCCCTCGAATACAAATTGTATTTGCTATTGTAGCTGATATCAATTGTGGTTTCAATGGGATTCATTCAAAGTGGAGTTTTATCTTAGTGGATTTCACTTCAAGTAGACTTTAATGTAACTTTTCCTTTTATGTTTCAGCATATCCTGTTTCGGTGTCTAGCATGATTTCAGTTCCAGTTTCTGCCTCCATGTACCAGACTATGGTTCAAAATGACTGCACAATGCAGGTATGTTACCTCTGGTAAATCCAAATCCTTGTGATAACATCATTTTGTATGATGTTTTGCTCATTTAAACATTGTCTACATTTTAGGTGGTGACCGTGCCGAAAGTGGAAGCTGGATCGTCTAGTGGTGAAGTAGAAACCATTAGTATACCCAGTAGCATGGTTGGAACTCCAATAATGATGTCAGGAAATGAACCTCAAGTTCTTCAAGTATTCTCTCTCAAAGATGGAACTGTTCTCAAAACCATCACATCTGTGGCTGACATCAAGTCTGAGGATTCAGGTGAAGTCCTTGGACCATCGTAATTATTAGGTTCTGTGATAATACACATCTCAGTCAAAAATAATGCAATACTTCAGCATCATATTATCATGCTTGGACATTTTTTGAAACCTATATAATTAAGGTTATGTGTTAGGATGGTACAATATTATTTTTGTCTATGATGATGTTGCACTTCTTATTATACCCTACTTGATCTTACCTTTTCTTGTGTCATTAGAGAAAACTACTATTTCATACATTTTTTCTTAAAGTATATATATTACTGACGTTTGATATGAATGAACTTTTGTCAATGCATGGGAGGAATTAATACTTAAGAAGTAAAATCTGTATTTTATTGATCACTACTAGGAGTGCGTATTTGTATTTCAGTATGCTACTTTATATTATCTGTTGTAAAGTGTCGTGAGGATCTAAATTGGACTCTACTGTACCTTAAGTTATGTTTTGTTTTCATTTTTCACAACTTCTGTGAAATTGTTTTATTGTCTGATAGTTTATGCTTTGACTCAGGATGCATAGAGGGAAGACCTCTCTGAAAACAGATGGAATTTTTTTATCTAACCTGTGTCATGTTTTGTTTCTCCTAAACTGACTTCAGTGATCATGTTCCTAAGGATCAGAAATTAGGAGAGAGTAGACCAGTTTGTGGATGTGTTGTGGAGCCCTGTTAAAATGACTATCCACAAGGACAGTAGAAACATCACTTTATCCTGGGGGTTTGTTGTATCAGGATTTTACTTGACTAACAAATGGTCCTGGTGAGTTGTATGACTAATGCTGTTTGGATGATTGCAGCTTATTTTTACAGTTGTTGCGTGATTAGTATAGCAAAAATGTATGAGTTTGGAATTCAGCTTGTGTGTCATTTGATAAGGAAAATTTTAAATGTAACACAGGACTTTTCTTCCTCTGACCTTTTGTTGTCATATCTTAATAGATAGTTGAAAATAATTTTGATTTACCAATGCACAAATGATTGTCATTTTGCACATGTCAGGTGAGTTTAGTTGACCAAAGATTGTCAGTGTCCTCAACAGAGTCTTGAAAAACAGGTTTTCAGTTTGTGTTCTCAGGGTTACTCTCTGTCAGTCCTTTTTTTCTTTTCCACATATCACGGTTTAAACTACTATTTATTGACAATTGTCAACCATCGTCAACACTAATGGCAGAGACCTAATTTGTTGTAGCCAGTCCCTTATTTTAACAGTTTATTTCTATGCAGTTTTCTGAGGAGTCTGTGATTTTAGTGCCATGCTTAGAATGTACAAAGAGATAGGGGTGAAGAATGCTCTTGTCTATTTTATTTATTTGTCAGACTGTCAACTCCCATTGGTGGGAATTCTTATGTTGCAATTATGTTTGCATAATCATCCTGGTTTTTCAGTTGCCTTATCCTGTTGGCAATGCTTCTGTATTTCTAAACCAACCTCCCTCAGCATTTATAATTTCTTCCATTGTGTGCTACAAGACACTATATTTCTCTAAGCTTGAATGAATTCACCCACCTGGTTTTTGTCCTTGTGCTTTCTTTAGTTCTTATGAATACCTGTTACTCTTCATCTACCCTCTCAAAATCTCCAGTTACAGCAGTATCATGTCTACAATTGCTGTGAAGTAACGCATGGCTCCTAAATCTGTCCCAGATAATATTAAGACAAGTTACTTGTGCTTTTGTTTGAGTTGCATGTTAAGGTAGTAAATACTGTTCAAGAAGTGCTATCAGATTATTGTGTACCATTAAGTCAATTGATAAATATCAATCTCAGTTTACCATTCCAGTGTTAGTGTTAAGACCTGTGTTCCATGAGTGAACTTAAGTCATTAGTGTTATTTATTTGTTTTTCTTCATAAATTCTCCAATTTTTGTTATTATTTGTGTATTGGCTTTGCTTGCTTGGGATGGCAGTAATACTGTGATATTTGCAGGCATACTTATACCAAATACTGTCATAGTCAGGTCAGGCTGTATCCTGTTGTGGTTGCGTGTTCCAGTAGTTTGTAAACATGCAGATTATACTTCTCGTCCAATTTATGCCAGTCTCCTCAAGTTCACCGTACATAAAATAAAAGGAGGAAAGAATGCAAGTTAATTTGCTATCCCTTTTCCTTGGCCCCTCTTCAAGGGTAAGCTACTAAACTTACCATAAACCTCAACTGAATATCAGTTGAGTACCAATGTGAGAGGTACAAGTTAAATGAATTGGATGACACAAGTTTTTCTGAAACTGTAAGTTCTATCCTGGAAAGAATTCTTTTGAAAATTTTGTTTGAGCATGTCGTAAGTAGAAATTGATGATCAATTTCTTGTTTTAAATACTTTTGGTATTTTTACAATGGAAAATAGTTTCATGTTTGCAATGTGTCATGTATGTTAAGCTAAGTTTGATGTGATTCCATGTATTAAACAAAATGAAGTCCCTTTGGACAAGTTTACATGTGCCTTTCTTTTTGAACTAACCCAGACATTCACCCCTAATGGCTCACATCCAATTGGCTCAATTGGACAACAATAGTTTCAAGTTCAAAAGGATCTGTCTCATACCATAGTTTAAATGGTACATTGAAACAATCAAACTACCTAAAATTATTTCAGAAAATTTGCATTGGCAAGAGTTGACCATAGGTGTGATTTATCTTACTAAAACAGTTCCTGTCTGATAATTATCAATTGTCAACACAAGAGGAGCAACTCACCATGATTCAAATAAAATGCATTTGTACGTTAAGTGTATGAGAATGACCTATGGACAGGACGATGTCATCAAATATCAAACTCACTTCCATAATAGATTTATTTAATATTATGTACATAGAGGATAGAGACCATGACAATCAGGAACAATGAAAGTAAAGAATTTTGAAAAGTGTACAGTCGAGACTGTCGAGTGCACACAAATTGGCTACACTTACAACTGGGTACTCTAATGGATTGAATCGACATCTTCAATAGCAAGCTCTGGTTTGTCGTATCCAAGCTCCTCAGGAGTGTTGACACCCAGCTCATCCAGGGTCGGCCTAATTTCCTGGATGATCCAGGGGTAGATTTCATTCACTTTGGGGCCGCACTTGTCCTTGACGGACTCGAGGAACCTAACCGCCATGGCGTAGTCGTTGAGGCGGCGGCAAGCCTTGAGGGCCGAGACGATGATCTTGGGCTCCGGGATGAGGTCCATCTTGGCCAAGTCGTTCATTGCTTTACGGCATTCCCATCCATCAAGGTTGGGACGGTTGAAGAAGTCGACGTACTTCTGGTCGAATTCCGCCTCGCTCAGCTCGGGCTTGCCATGGGCCAGACGCTGCTGGACGGCCACCGGAGATTTGACGGCGGTCTGGAGCACGCCACTTCGAACGGCGCCGTGAAGCCGGAAGGCGACGGATCTCAACATTGTGGAGAGAAGATTTCTGTTCTAAACACAACTCTTTTCCAAACTTGTCCTAACCTTCTCTACGTCCACCTTCTGCAAGACAGAAGACGACAGACGACGAGGGTAAAAAAGAAGAAGAAAAGAAACTTCGAGTTTCGAGATCGATGCAGAGTGCGTTCAGAAAGCGCATCTTCTTTTTTTACTCTAAAATGTTTTTACAAAGGAATCCCGATGAGTGTAAAAATTTATGGCGCGTTCCTACTCATCTCAGCCCAAAATCTGAAAAAAGCGCTGCTTCATAAGGGGTCTGCAGATGCCGCGGGCTATCGCGGGCTCCAGGGAGAGCGGGGAGGAGTCATATGGCGCGAAGTTCGAAACACCTCGTAGCTCACGCGCTGCTTTTCCAAAGAGAACGATCACTACACTGCAAGTAAATTTGAGTGTGCACCGAGTACACACCTAGAGCACTGGAGTGTGCAATGGGCATAAACTTTGGCCTAGCGGCTGTCGTTATCCCGCTTGTGTGGAATCCCCTCGTCGGATGCCCGGATGTCCATCGGCCCATCGTGTGATGGAGCTCCATGACGCTCCATTCACGGTGTCTCCCTCTCGGAAACGGCCTCGCACCCTCTGGGCAGGATTTCCTCATACCCGCGTAATGTAATTGTCAAGTTTGTGCCTCGAACCCGCGAGCGCGGGGCCCACTCTAGAAATTGTGACCCCCCCCTCTTCTCCCCGAGGGGCATCGATCGTTTATCCGCGGGGCTCGGTGCTGCTGCTGCTGCCCTCCCTCACCGCCGTGGCCCAGCCAGCCCAGCCAGCCCTGGGTGGAGGGGGAGGAAGGGGTGGCAGCTTGGCGGGGTGGTCGAGGAGGCGCGAACCCACCGCCCTCCGACAGTCGCTCAGCCCGTGCAGGTGTGTAACGAAGGCGAAAACCAAAAGCCAGAACGGCTTTCGCACACGGGTACCGTGTACAGCGGCCGCGATATTCAGCGGAATCATGGCCCTGCCGGAGCCTAGCGGGCGCCCCCGCCTGCAGGAGTAGCTGGTGAGCATTCGGGGGTGGCTTTCCAGGCTGCAGAGTTGTGGGGGTTGGGATCGGAGCGTGTTTACAAGCTGGGGGCCTCAACTGGAGTGCGCTGGAGTCGACCGTGTTGTGGGTGTTGTGGGCTCCGCGGCGAATGGGCACCGTTGGAATGGAGCCCGTCGAAGTGAGCAGCCTGCTCGCTCGGAGTCCAGGGTGCTCTTTGTTTGAGAGTAAGACGTTCTTCGCCCTCCAGCGCACCGGTTCTTGCATCTCGGTGGTTCAGGCGGGAGATGTGGCTCAGCTGGAGCACTCGACACCGTGTTGGCGTCGGACCATGGAAGTGGAAATAGTGACCTCGAGACGAGGGCTCAGTTTTTGTCTCCTGCCTTCTTTCCGAGCGCGAGTCCGTCGGTATGAGTTGGAAGGACTCGGTCGTCTTGTTGCTTGGACTCGCGGGGGCGGGGGTGGGCTGCAAGTACAATGGCGGATGATGCTGAGCTGGGGCGCTGGACCCGGCCTGGTGAAGAGGAGGGGGAGGGGGGGTCACAGAACGCCAAAGTATTTCTGAGAGGATATACTTTTGCTGGTCTCATACAGCAAGACGTTTTATTTTCGCGATTTTGCGGTGGCCCCCATGTTTGGCCGTGTTTAGCCACATTGGTGGCGCCTCGTCTAGCCTCACTTGTGCTCTGCTCCTGCTACAGAGTCGGGGGCCGTGTTGGGGCCGGGCGGACTGCGGACCACCGCGATGAACAACGCCCCGCCGGTCCAGATCGTCCAGATGAACGGTGGGAGCACGACGGGGACGGGCGTGCCCGGGGGGCCGCCGCCGCCCCCCATGATCCCCTCGCCCGCCGCGCCGCAGGGTGTTCCCCAGGGCGTTCCCCAGGGCGTTCCTCAGGGTGTTACCCAAGGCGTGCCCCAGGTGATGGCCCCGGGCGGCGGCGAGGTGCCTCACATGACGGCGCACATCCCCACGGCGCGCGTGGACGCCGCCCCGCACGCCCCGCACGCCCACCTCAACGGCGGCGTGAAGCGCGCCGTGCCGCCGCCCATCAGGACGGTGTCGCTCAAGAAGCCCATGGCCAGCGCCAAGGCCGCCCCCGGGACGCCGCCGTCGCGACGGAGCAGCACCGACGAGCACACGCCGCGCTGCACGCCGGGGAGCTTCGCCCTGGACCTGCTCAAGGTAAGGGTGCCAGCCAGGCTGGGCACGCAGAGGAGGCCGCCCCAAGGAGACCCAAGGACTGCCGCGTCACTGTAGCGTGCTTTACAAAGCGACCACGTGCCTGCGCAGAATCTGGGAGTGTGCCTGCTGGTGGTGCTGTACCTCATGTTCGGCGCCTTCGTGTTCCTCGCGCTCAACGAGGACCTCTGGGACCCCCACGTCATCCCCGTGGTGTCCGGCTCGGCCGTGAGCGGCAATGGTGAGGACGTTTTAGGCGGAGGTCGTTGCTTCGCGCTGTACTGTTGACTAACGACTCGCGCCTCTTGCAGGGAGCGTGCAGGGCGTCGCCGTGGCCGAGGAGCACCTGACGCCGCTGCAGGTGGCCATCCAAGAGTCGCGCACGCGCACCATCGAGCGCATCTGGGACATCACGGTGAACCTCAACATCCTGTACCGCGACAACTGGACGGAGCTGGCGGGTCGCGAGATCGAGCGCTTCCAGCACCAGGTCGTGGAGCAGCTGGCCGAGGAGATGCGCCAGGTACGTGCTTTCCTTGAGGCTCTAGTAGCGCGGTGGTCGTCGCCGCCCGGCACATCGTTCGGGGTAGAAGCTCCGCGTCGACGGCCTGCTTCTTGTCCTTCCAGAGCCGCCGCGAGAAGCGCCACGCGGACGGCGCCATGGGGGCGGCCATGGGGGTGGCCTTCCCGCTGCAGGCGCCGCCGTCGTCCGTCATGGTGCAGCGGCCGCGCGTCAAGCCCGTCTTCCACCACCACTCCGTGCGCTGGAACTTCGCCCAGGCCTTCCTCTTCTCGCTCACCGTCATCACCACCATCGGTGCGAACACGGTTCGAATGCTACACCGCTCTCAAGTGCAGCGTGTCCAGTAACAACCTTTCCCTCCTCGCAGGCTACGGCAGCTTCACGCCGCTCACGCAGGTGGGCAAGGGCGTGACCATGGTGTACGCGTCCCTGGGCATCCCGCTGATGCTACTGTACCTGTCCGCGGTGGGCGGGCTGCTGGCGCGGTGCGCGCGCGGCGTGTTCACCCGGGCCGTGTGCTGCTGCCTGTGCTCCAAGTGCGGCTACTGCTGCTACGACGAGGAGCGCATGCTGGAGCGGGAGCGGCGGCTGCGGCGGCAGCGCGAGCAGCAGATGCACCAGCAGCAGCAGCAGCAGATGCTGTTCTCGGTAAGCGGCGCGCAGCCTGTAGCGCCTAGGGTAGGCCACCTTGTCGGCTGCACGCACTCGTGTGTGGCAGGCTGCCTACCCGCCGGACCGCAGGCGCTAGCGTGAAACTCGCACAGGCTTATGCCGAACAGTGCTTTCTTCGCTCGGTCTCGGTCGTCGCACTCACAGAGCGTTCTGTGACGGTGCGAGAGAGCTGACCGCTGCCTTGGCCTTGACGCCTTGCCCACAGACGCCGTACTTCGTCCGCGGCATGGACCCGCGCTACCCCGGCGGCCACACCTGCGGCCGGCGCGGCCAGGGCGGCTCCGGGTCCCGCAGGCCGTTCTCCGGGTCGGTGCTGGCGCCCGTGCTGCTCTGCGGCTCCATCATGCTCATCTACGTCCTGGGCGGCGCCGTCACGCTCTGGGTCATGCAGGCCTTCCACTTCCTGGACAGCGCCTTCTTCTGCTTCATGAGCCTCACCACCATCGGCTTCGGCAACCTGGTGCCCGGCGCGGGCATGGGGCCCGTGGGGCCCGTGGGGCCCGCGCCCCGAGGCAGCCGCCACAACGCCGACGTGGTGCTGTGGTTCTGCTCCGGGTACATCCTCATCGGCATGGCGCTCACCACCATGTGCTGCAACGTGGTGTACACCGTGCTGCTGCACGCCATCAGACACGCCAGCCGCCAGGTCGTGGCGCAGCGCAACACCAAGCACATCAAGTGCTAGGCTGCCAGGCCCAGGCCGTTGTGCTGCGGTTCACTGGGATTGGAGACTGAGGTGCGCGGACGGCGGAACGAAACGGAACGGAACGCACACCGGGACAGGGATCGCGCAATGGACGGAAACGAGAATGTTTCCTCGTTGAAACGGCGTCTAAAAACCCTGTTTGAGGGGTTTTGAATTGGTTTTTAAGAGCCGAAGGTCCTTTATTAAGTTTTAATTGTTCGTTAGGAATCTAGGCGTATCATTAAATGCGTAGACTCATCAAGGACTCTGACAGGACACTGAGGCTGCAGCGGAGGCACAGCTCAGACAGGCTCAATTGGACGAGGAAATCGCGAGAAATCCAGCGGAGGCTCCAAATGACTATCAGGATTATCAATATGATTAAGATTTACTTAAAACGATCTCTTTCACTTCTTGTAGTAGTTACTTTTTGTAAGAGTTATAAGGTAGCAGTGCCTAGGTATTTCAACTTTTCCCATGGAATTCCGAATACGAAAGCTCACGGTGCTGCCGAAATAATATCAGGTAAAATATCTCATCGTTCCAAACTTTCGTCTTCCAATCGTGAACATTTACTCACTCAATGCTAACAGCGTGTCCGTTTCTGTGAGTGTCAAAAGAGGGGAATGATTGTCTTAAGGTCATAACATGTGTAATTTTTATTTGACTGTTGGTTGAAGAGTGAAAATAAATGTTGTAGTTTTGTTTATGAAACGCTGCAGTCTTTCATGACATTGCCTTGGACCGTAAAATTAAAACTATGGGCTGTGCCCAAATCCTTGTTTCGGCGGGTCCCAGGGAGAGGGAGGACTCTAGTTTCGGCGAGCGAAAAGGGCGGCAAACGACGAACAAAAGAACACGGAAACAGACGAACGATGGCCGGCATTACCAACAACAAAAAACGAAACAAAGCAATAACAGTTAGTTTTGTTTTTCATTTAACTTTGTGAAATCAATTATTGTAGTCATTACTGTGACTGTATAATTATAAACGTGCTGCAGCAGAAAATTTCCGAAGAGGACGCCAAAGACCACAGTCACACCTTTCTCATGGGGGGAGTTCCAACAGATGAACCAACATATACGAAGTCAACAACAAAAACACAAAAGATAAAACGGGACGCGAGAAAAACGTAACCCGGCGGACACAAGCCGATGGAAGAGTCTTCGCCATTATGTTCAATGTCATTGCATTTCAATGAAAGTCCAGTTAAATGCAATAATACGTATTTTGTTTACGTTACATCACTAAGATTTTGGGCAGCGCACAAATTGTCCACACACTTGCAAAAACAAAACGAATCCCTGCTAGAGCCCCGCCGTCGGCTTGCTCGTCCCGGAGAGCAGTGACACTGACACTGATAAGGTACACCACTTGTCTCCTTCCGAAGGGGTCATTCCCCCAAGCGCGGATCAGGTGGACGGGCAGGAAAGAACGATTGCCTCCCCCCCCACACACACCGGGAAAGGTATGCAAAACGCCACACGTTAGTCAGCTCTGGGTCCGCCACTGCATTCGCCTGTGGCTAGGCCACCACAGGGAAGGAAAGACAACAGCGGTGGCTGCATTGTATGTGGGTGGGTGTGGTTCTTTGACGTGACCTTGATACTTGCGATAACAACACCCCTGCCGGCCTTCGCCCCCACCCCCCGCCCCCTGCCTCTGTCGCGACTTGCCTACCGCCCCCCGCCCCCCCCGCCGCCCCCGCCCCGCCCCTTCCGCCCCCTCTCCCCGCGCGGTCCGCACAGCCGCAGACGACAGCGCCCGCCCGGCCCCGGCCCAGCCCGTCAGAAAGAAGAGGCAGCTGGCTGATTCCACTATCATGGCTGCTGTATGGACAATGATCCGCTCCTCTGGGGCCCTTAAATCGCCCTGTCTGAAGCATGTCACGTCAAGGTAGGGAGATTGCTGGCAGGCTCAACATTTCCTTCGTGTCTTCTTTGCGTGTTTTTGGTCGCGGCGCGGCGCGGCCCTCCCGCCGAAGTCCGGCTAGCCCTGTGTTTTCCAAGGGTGCCGCCGGCGGGCTGGGACGCGACATGACGCTGCAATGTCACGATCCCGGACGCAGACGGCAGGCAGAAAGGCCAAGCCCAACTTCGGCCTTGCTGTGTGCAAAATTTGTCACCCACTTGAGCCAGATTGGCAGCCTAATAAACGGGAAACAAGGCGGATGGGCAGAGGTTATTTAGGTTAAACAGGCTGCCAGAACAGCCTGAACAGAACAGATTGATGACCTTTGTCACTTGAGATCTCTGATCGTCATTTTGTTTAGATGCAAGTGCAATATGGAGAGAGCCGGAACCCTTTACTTTCTTCACATCTTTTTAACATGTCTCCGTCTTCTGCATGTCATCTGTTACTTTTGATACTGAACATTTTTCTTATTTTCTTGGCCCTTTAGGTCCCTGTCAACCACTTCTTGCAACCATGACAACAATGAGGGATGGTTTTCAAAACTCCTTGTTCGGCGCATTGAACCGACAAAGGAACCCCATTCCAGGATGCTAGCCGACAAGGAAGAAATTTACGAGCTGCAGACTCATAACATAAGACCTGATTCTACGGATAAATATTTAAAGAATTGGTATGTTGTCATCTACCTTGTACAATCTACCCTTTATAAAGAGACGAGGAGCTCTAGTTTATAAAACCTTCTTGCAGTAAAGAAAATGCAGGCCTAATAGCTGCACGCTCAGAATTAAATTGTGAGCTTGTGGCGTCATGGACTGTCAATGTCGGCGACTTGGACCAAGCTTTGCATTTATGGCGTTACACAGGTGGTTTTAACTCAGTTGATAAAACTAAGCTCATTCTTGGAAAAGATGAGGTAAGTTAGTGTATATGTGCTATTTTCCTCCCTTTTCCTTGGTTTCTCCATTCAAAATGTGACTCAATTTCTTGTCTTTGCAGAGCTTTTTGAAGCTTCAGAAGGAGCGAGGCAATTACTTGCGTTCAAGACACCTTCAGTTTTTGCTTGCTTTCAATTTTTGGCCTACCATTGAATCTCGCAAGGGTAGCAACATTTATGAGATCCGTAGTTACAGCCTCAAACCAGGCACAATGATTGAGTGGGGTAATAACTGGGCTCGAGGTTTGAAGTTCCGTAGAAACAATAATGAAGCATATGCTGGGTTTATGTCGCAAGTTGGGAGACTGAACAATGTCCATCATATTTGGTGTAAGTAGTTTTATTTCTCTTGAATCATTTTAATCTCATTGTATGAAAAAAATTATTATTTTTATGGTTTGTTTTCTCTCAGGTTATGAAAGCCTTCATCAAAGGAAGGAAACACGTGAGTCAGCTTGGCGTAACCCTGGATGGGATGAATGTGTGGCGTACACAGTTCCTCTCATCCGAGAAATGCACTCACGTATCCTAGTTCCCACGGAATTCAGCCCAACTCAGTAACAACATTTAGCAGCACCTGCTTCTCAGAAACATGGTCTTGGAGATATTATTTAGTCTCATTATTTGGACTATGTACTGTATTACATCCTGTTTTATTCAACCTTTGGAATTATAACTCTCCAAATGCAGTAGGTTGGTTTTTCAGAATGAATGTAATATTTTTGAGTGAATCATCATTTGGAAGCTTTGTAGCATCTGTTCTTGGTGGAGATGTACTTTTGCCCATGTTGCACCGACACTGAATCACAAAAGACAAGTGATGTAGCTGCCATCCTGCCATAATTGGTATTTTGTCTCTTAAAACTGGCCATAAACTGATACGTACTAAAATTATCTTCCCTTTTGGTGGTTGTTATAAACATGGAAATGAGGAAGGTTTGAAATTACATTCTGATAGGAGTTCAACAGATTTCAAACCTACTGAACTGCATTGCCATTGCCTTTAGCAAGGTAGTTTTCTAATTTGTGGTATTAAGCTATTTGAAGTACAGAGAAGCTAACATTTTGTGCCTGAAAGCATGTTGTCAACTGGACTCATGTATACTAGAAAGATTGTGCATCTCATAAAAATAGTTATTTTCATGGAAATGTTATTTTGGCTGATGTAATTTTTGTTGATACATTTATGCTTCATTTTCTTTGCATTTCTAGCACATCAATCTTGAACTTGATGTGTAGATATTTTTCCATTCCGTAGACTTCCTGCCCATGCCTAACCTAAGCAAGTATTGGCTGTTTTTTTCTTGCCGTCAATTCTGGCCTGTACTATGTGTTTCTATGGACTGGATAAATCTTTCAGAAGGATTGTATCATTTAGACATGGTGCTGGAGTCTACTTTTTGAATGTGATGTTAGAAATCTGCCTTTTGTATGTTTACATTTATTTCATTTCTATTTTTGTTTTATGTATTTTTATTTTGTTTTATCATAGCAATGTTTTCTAATGCTATCTTAGCAATGCTTTGATCCAGAAAACTTTTTATACTATGAATTTTCAGTCATCTTGTGGTTATTAGCTGTGGGTTTTGAATTTTTGTTTTGAATTGAAAGATATCATGCAATTAACTTTGTTGGAGATAAGAAGATGATCCTTTTGTTTATATGATGTTGATGAGGATTAGGGAATAAATTGTGATAGACTTCTAAACAAATTTGTACCCCTGAGTTTTGTAGTATAAACTCCATCAAATGAATTACAATTTTCAAAATCTTCACTTTTAATAATTATTCTTTTGGTGTGAGATGAACCCACTCAAACACACACATACAAATCCAAACAAAATCACATTGTTGTATAAACTCAAGAATTGCTACATCATCAGCACACAAATCTTTGATCATATTTGCTTTTTACCATGTATCACAAGCTTATGTCCGTATGCACCAGCATGTCAGATTAATTCTAGAGTAGATATCAGTAGATTTTAACAACTTTTAACTTAAAAAATGCAACGATTTTCACAAGGAATCTTGATCTACACATGGCTACATTTTCATTTTAAAATTAAAGCCAATATGGCTGTGAGACATTGATCTGACTGGAGCTGGAACAGCAAAGTCATTTCCATGACTAGGTGGAGTTCTCACCAAGTAACAGCCCTCTTTACATTGAAATATTTACAAACAGCTGGATTTTACTAAGTCCATAGGAAAAATTAGCATTGTGTCTCCATGATGGAATACTCTTGTTTCCAAAATATTTTTTTTAAAAATGCCAGTACAGTATCATCCATTGCTGCAAAACTTATGAGTTAATGCCACCTTCAAGCAACAGTTGCTTGTTTTTATCTCAAAACGACACTAATCTTTGTTTCAGCACCTATAAAAATACGAATAAATAAACATGGCAAGACCTATTAACTATACTCGTGGTGCAAGGGGGCAAACATGATTCTGCACATGTTCACTCGATTTTTGCACCAGCCCAAACACTAGTATGTACTATAGTAAGCTTACGCTAAAATGATTGTCATGGACGGAAAATGTCGGCCTCAACTCCGAAGTTGAGCGTTGGCGCGCAGAGTGCCGACTGGTGGTCCACCCGATGCACTCTGATAGGCGGGGGAGGGCAGGGGAAGGCCCACTTGGCGCGGCCGGGCGGTCCTCGCCTCTCCTGGCCTCGCCCCTCGCGTCCCCCTGGAGGGGAGGGGAGGGGAGGGGAGGGGAGGGGAGGGGAGGGGAGGGGAGGGGAGGAGGGAGGGGAGGGCCTAGATCACAGCATCACAGTTCTCATTGGCCGCTTGAGGCCTGTCGAACCGCACAACTTGGAATCGCGGTGGTAGTGCGCTCGGCGGGTCTGCTTCGACACCTAGCGCGTACTAGTGCACTAGAGTGTTGGTTGGGTCAGGTGCCCCGGGTCGCGGGTCCCGGCGGCGAGGTGCTCAGGGCGTGACGGCGAGGCCCTGCGCCGCGTTCCGCACGATGTCCGGGTGCAGCAGCAGGTCGGAGCCCTGCAGGCCGCGCACCACGGCGGCCATGGCCGCGTCCAGGGACCTCCGCGACGACGTGGGCACCGCGTAGCGCCGCACCTTGTTGGTCTCCGAGGGCGCCATGGCGTCCATGTACTCGGGCGCGAGCACCAGTGGCTGCGACGCCGCGTTCGGCTGTGGACAGAATGCCGTGAGAGAGACCTCACTCACTGCGGCCGAGTGACTCCGAGTGGAGTGCCTCTCACTCGCACTCATGGGGCGGCCCGTAAGGGCGCGAGAGAGGGAGAATGAGTCACCCTTCTGAACTCACCTGCGACGCGAAGATGGCGAGCGTCTCGGAGGGGTACGGCGCTGACGGCGTGGCGGCGGCGTCGGCCACGGTCATGGTGGGGGCGGGCACGGCGGCCGCGTGCTGCGACGACGCGGCGCCGAGGCTGCCGGCCCTGTGAGACCCTGACGCGGACGGAGCGGGCTGCAGCACTAGTAGCCCCGCCTGGAGACTGCCTGGCACTTGGGGAACACGGAGGGGTTGGTGAGAATGGGGTCGAACCACTAGCCCGCATGCACATGGTTGAGATTGAAAGCGAGGTTTGACTCGTGCCGGTCGGCGCGTTCTGTCTCTGTCGACTTACGGGTGCCTGCCGACCCAGTCGCCGAGGGGCCGGTGGGCGCCTGGCCCGCGCGGTGCACGGGGTGGTGCCCGGAGTGCCCGGCGTGCCCGGCGTGCACGGACGCGTGGCCGTGCGAGGAGGCCGCGGCCATGGCGCCGAGGCCGTGGGCCAGAGGGCCCGCGGCGTGTCCGAAGCCGGCACGGCTGTACTCGTTGAGGAGGGACACGGCCGAGTTGTAGCCTGGAAAGCAGCATGGCAGTGCGGCGCCACGGTGCACATCGTTATTGCAGTGGGGTGGTGGCCCGGCTGGTAGCAGCGGGTAAGGCAAATGGGCGAAGCGAAGTCATGCTTGGTGCGTGCCTGCGGGGTGCTCGCGGACTTACCGTGGCCGGAGGGCGCTGGCGGCAGGTACTGCGGTGCGCCGTACTGGTACCCGAGCGCGGGGCCCGAGACGGGCGCGCCGTAGACGGGGGCGGTGAAGTGCGCGTTGGCGGGGCCCGAGGGCGCGGACGCCACCGTGTGCACCTCGTCGTGGCCGCCGTGGCCGAGGGCCTTCGCCAGGACGCTCTTGCCGAACTCCGTGAGCTCCTCGCCCTTGGACGCCAGCTTGCGGCCCTTCGCCGCCACCAGGTGGCCCTTGGCAGTGATCAGCTTGCCCTTGAGGGCCAGCACGCCGCCGCCGATGGCCTTGGCGGCCTCCAGCAGCTTGTGCAGGATGCCCTTCTTGAACTCCCAGAGGCTGAAGTGGGCCTTGTCACACTGCCAAACAGGAATCGAATCATTAGCCACGTCAACACCGCGATCAGCTTCTCCTCAAGAGGTGTCGTGGCGGAAACCTACGGGAACAATCCTTCGGATTTCCCATCATTGCCATCGCGAAATCCACATCCAGCATGCTGTAACATTAGCCCATCTCTCCCGCACTTGCCGCCAAGACGCCTCCCGCGCTTGAATGGATCTGGCCTGACGAGCGCGCGTGTCTACGAGTCGGGGGCGTGAGGGGAAAGGGGGGGGGGCGTCCCACGCGGTCTATCACTTTCTCCGGGCGTGCCATAATCCCCGAGGTCCGCCGTGCGCCCCGCCGCCCCGCCGCTCTGGGGCGCCCCGCCCATGTCAGCCCGATGCCCCGTCACTATCAGGCATGCGTGGCGTTGCGCCGCGTTGCTTCGTTGCGCGGCATCCTCCCCCTCCTCCCCGAAGCACTCCGCGGCTTCCGGACAGGGAGTATCCACGCCGCGGTCAGTCGCACCGCGACGACGACGACAACCCGCGATCCGCGCAGCCGGCAGAGCGCCTGCCAAGAGCGGGCTAGGCCAGCCCGCAACACACGACGCCGCGGCGGGCCGGCCTAACCGTCGGCCTGGCAGGGGCCCGGCCAGCCACGTCACTCTGTCTCTCTCTAGCACCCCCGCGGAGAGCCTCATGAGTGCGACAGAGACAGAGCGGCGAGACGACTGTTCAAGCCGTTCAAGCGGTCGACTGGCGGTGCCGGGTGCCGGGGCTCGACCCGCCCGCCGCCGCCGCCGCTCCTCTCGCTTCCTCTCGCCGCGTTTACTTCCTGCTCGCGGCTCGCAGCCTGGCTCGCGGGGAAGACCAGGACCGGTCGCGCGGATTGGGGCCTATCTTTGAATGCAGCTACTCGCGCAGCGGTGCGAACCACGCGGACCACGCGAACCCCGCGCCCCACCGGCAGTCTGCTTCCGCGCTTCCTCTCCGCGTTTGACCCGCTTGCCGCGCTCGCCAGCACACGCACACTAACACGCACTCACAAGCACTCACACAGACCGGCGCGCTCTACATAAGGCGCTCGGTTTATACGCGGAATGACGAGTGGAATCCCAAACGGAAAGTGAAACCGCGCAGAACGGCGGCAACGGCGGCAACGGCAGCTGCAGCGGGTCGGCGTCCGAGTCACACACACACGCTCACACACTCTCACACACACACACACACACATGTGCCGGCGGCGCCACGCCCCGAAGGTGCCCGAGCGGGTGACCGCCGGACTGGACCGTTCGGCTCACGTAATGTGCGTAACAGGGCCGTGTGGGACCGACCAGGGACCGACCCGGCTCGGACTGACGGCCGGGGTCATTATGGCGTTGCTGGAGAAAACACTGTGACCGTGACGTCACGTCCAGGCGGGGTCACGTGGTCACGGAGCGGCCAAGTCCGCGTGATGCGCGTGACCACCGTGTGCGACGAGAACAAAAACGGCGCAAAACTAGGGGGGCCGGTATTACGCGGCGCGATGAGCCGGAAAAGGATTCTCGTCCAGTTTGGCGCCACTCTACGCAGAGCTCTGGCCGAGCGGCGGAGGAGAAACCCGATCTTTTGTGGGTCACTTCGCCAAATTACACGCGCGGTGGGAAACGGCCGGGACGAGACGCGACGAGACGCGACGCGAAGCGCCCACAAAGGGAAGATGTGACGGAACGACGGAATTTCGCACCGCGGAGTTGCGGAGACAAACACACTGGACAAAATGGGGCGCGTCACGCTCCGCCGCGGATTGGTGGCCAACACACACACGCGCGCATCACACGCCACCCGCGGTGGGTGTGGGTGCGCCACGCGCTGGGTGGGAAGACTCGGCGCAATGGTGATTATAGTTCAGTTGACATCGCGCTCCAGCGTCAAACAAACAAAGGGTCGAAGTGACAGGGGAAGCACTGCGTTTCCACGGCGACTCTGTGTCGTAATGAGTGAATTTGCGCTGCAAGCTGTGGCCGAAGCCGCCTACCTTGGTGTTGTAGTTGTGGAAGTGCACGTGGTGGGAGCTCTTGGCGCCGAGGTAGCCCAGCTTGTGGTTGATGACGCTGCCCAGGAGGTGCGCCGGCAGCGCCCCGGTGCGCTTGACGCGGTCGGCCTGGCCGCCGTCCTGGGGCGGCGCCCCCGCCAGGAACTGGTCCTGGCCCTGCAGGCCCTGCAGGTCGCGGCCCTGGAACTGCGCGGGCGGCTGCTGCTGCGCACTGGTGTCGCTGGCCGCGCCCTCCACGGCGTCGCGCGCGGCCGCGCGTCCTCGGCGCCGTCCTCGGGCTGCTGCCGGTGCAGCGCGCTGCTGCCCAGGAAGGCCATGAACGTGTCGAAGAAGCTGCTGCCGGTGCCGGGGTCCGCGCTGGCGTCGGCCTCGGCGTCGGCCCGCTTGTCCGCCACGGCCTCCACGGCCTCCACGGTGGCGCCCAGGCTCGGCGCGGCCAGGCAGGACGCCGCCAATAGCGCGGCCAGCAGCAGCCGCATGGCGCCGGCGTGGACCTGGAAGGGGAGCCGAGAAGCCTGTTAGGTTTTGTGCAAGTTGCAGTTGATGATGACGATAATGGTGATGGTGATGATGATGAGGGGCCGAAGAAAGCCCATGCCAGGGTTCCCGGAAGAGCCGCACCGCCCTGAGGCTGGCTGGACCGTTAATGTTATCCTTCTGACGCGGTGGCCACACCGAAAAAGGTACTATCGGTGGGGCGGGACAGCGCGACTCGCTTGAACGCGACATGGCGACCCCATCCCATGCGTGTCGCGAGTCTTTGCGTGGACTGTCCTCTCGACGAGTCGGCCGAGTCGGCGTGCCCACCATGCCCAGCACGCGTCCGATTCTCACACTTTCGCGCTTCTTTCTTCAAGAAATAATAAGTTGGTCACGCCAAACCGTCATCGCGGGAGGCAGGGCAGGCCGGCCGTAGCGAAAGTCGCCGCAACAGTGTGGGCGACACTTGCGGGCTAAAAACGGCAGCCGCCGGCCGGCCGGCCGAATGCTCTTACGGTGTAGGGGACGAGGCGAGGCGAGGGAGATGCGGCGCTGGGAAAGGCGAGAGGCCCTCTGGTCCGGAAGCGGCTGGAGTCTGCAGCGCCTGCACCTTGCCCTGCACGCGGCACGGCGTGTTCACAGCGCGGAGTAATCGTGTGGGGGTTACGGGGCTACGACTTGAGTCCGAGCTCGAATCGACGCTGTTGCCAATGAATTGCTCCTCCCACGAGGAATCCATTGGTATACGCTATTCCTATGTGAACTCTGGGCCTATTTAAGGATTTTGGAGCTCAACGCGTGTCCGGAGTTATGGCCGCCTAAACTGGTCTTCCGGCCGGCCGGCCGCGCCGTGTCTGACCGAGCCGGACCCCGCCGTCGGACACGCAGTGGACCAACGGCTGTTATCGCAGCGACACACTGGCACGGAAACGCGGTGAGGTAACCCCATCGTGGTTGGCGCTGTTATTCATCAACGGGTTTTTGTTTTTTTTTGTGCTAGGCCGCTAGGACTTTCCTACCCCCAAGGGCCGCGGCCGGGCTTTCCCGGCTGATCGGGCGTCGTCCGTCGTGCGTGCGCGGTTGCGCAACGGGAGGCGCTGGGCGTGCACTTGCAGTGGCCCATGCAGTGCCCCATGCAGCCCGCGGGCCGCGCTCCACTGGCAAGGGCTGCACTGCTGCACTCCATCCACTCGCCGTTTCCTCGCCGTCCCTCGCCGCACGGCCCCTCACGGCTCATCGCTCCGCCGATCTGCACTCTGCGGCTGGCTGGCCTGTTCCGGACTGCATATCTGATGGCGCCTCGGGCTGCCCCTCCGTTTGCAGTGCTCGTGGACCCTTGACGGTTCCCTCGGTTTTAGGGTGCAGCGCGAGCGCGAGCGCCATGGCGGTCATATACATGAGCCCGTTTCGCTTTTGTTGTAGTTCCGCCATCCTCTCGGGACTCCGTCGGGTTGGCGCTCACTGCCCCCGAGGGCGCTGTTCGGAGTCCACGCGATGGTGCCCTGCGCTCTGCGGGGTCGGCGAGGTTGAAGGGCTTGTGGCCGGTGCGGCACCGGCCGAGGCACACCCGGTCCGCTCCGGTCCGTATACAATCCGGTTATCCGGCGCTGCGCCGCGCTGGGCTACGTGGCCGTCGGCACGTCGCCGCTCAGGTGCAGCGCCGTCGCCGTGCGTCGCCGCCGCCCTGCACCGTGACCTTAGGATGCACCACGGCGCCGAGGAAGCAGCCTCTGTGATGCAACAGCACGTAACCGTGGAGGGGGCCGGCCGCCCCGCCGCCCGGGCGCCGCGCGCGCTGCGCCAAGATCAAGACCGCCCCCCTCTCCCCTTGTCCGGGGCGGGGCGTGGCGGCCGGAGCACTTTCACTGGGCTGCTGCTGCTGCCGCTGGACCTACCTACGTCCGCACGTCGTGGCGTTGTGGCGTTCTCCTCGCCGGCTCGCTTTACACTTAGCGTTTGTTGATCCGGTAAATAAAGCCAGCCCAGCCCATCACGACATCGTCGACGGCGTGCTCGCGGAGTACAAAGCTTTGCATCCCGGGGCCGTGGTCCCGCACACTGCTTCCGAGCAGTGCTTTCTTCGCTGTCTCCCTCGCGCCGCTGCGCTACGCCCTGCGAGTGCGACAGTGACAGAGCGACTCCGGCAGCAGGCGATGCATTCAGCCGCGGCGCGCGTGGGGCGGCCTGGGCCGGGCCGGGCCCGCAGTCCGTGTTGCTCCAAGGTGCATTGGCCCAATCGTGGGAGCGCCCGGCCCGCCACGGCCCTTAAGCCCTTGCCCGAACCTCACTGGCTGTCGTGGAAAAGCACGCGGCACTTGTCCGCCTCCAGGTGGTTAATGGCGCAGGCCCGGCCGCGGGCCGCGGACGCTGACACCCGATAGCAGCGGAGCAGCAGACGGATTCCGAGAGTCGTTTTCGTCGCTCTGTCTCTCACTCACACATAGGGCGTCCCGCATAGGAGCGAGAGAGACAGAGCGACGAAAACGACTCTCGGAATCCGTCTGCCGCCGCAGCGATGCAAGGTTCACTGGCCGTCTTCGGTAATCCGGCTGGAGACCGCCAACGCCGCGATCGCCGGCCTGTGGATGCGACTGGACAACTTGTCCGAAATTGACAAACGCGTCCAGGTTCAGGTCGAGGGCCTCTAACCCTTGAACGCGTCGTGGCAATGACCCCGGCCACGGCGGTGGCTGCAATCGCCCTGCGCATCCGCGGTGTCTCGCTTCGCGTGCCTGGCGGTTCGGGGAGGTATTGCCGCACGCCGCGCACTGGAAGAGCGTCGTCGTCCGCTCGCGTGCCGCAGCGCCTCTGCTATTTTCCGTCTCGCTGGCCGGCCGGCGCCCACCCGCGCCCGCAGGCTGATTCCGGAAAGTGGCGCCGTCGCTCTGTCCCTGTCGCACTCACGGGGCGGTCCTTCGGGGTGCGAGGGGGACAGAGCGACCAAAGGATTGCCGGGGTCCGGCTACTGGGCCCACCCACGCCACGCCACGCCACGCTCGGCTTTGGCGCATTACAGCGCATTGCGAGGAAAGCGAAATGATACAACATGTAGTGCGTGACGCAGTACCTGCATCCTCAAGGCGGCCCGCGTGGACGGCGCGTTGACGGCGACCTCTGGACGGGCAGGGCCGGCAGGGCCTGGAGCGGGGCGCCTCGGCGGGCACTCAGGAGCAGCACGGCCTGCGGACAGACAGCCTCGTATCAGCATTCGGGGCAAAGGCTGGAAACCGTACACGAGTTACGTAAACGGGAAGTGGGGGTGATTACACGGGCTCCTGTGAATTAGACCAGATCTGCGTTATTTTGGGGTTTGAAGCGAAGCGACGCGACGTCGGCGCCTCGGCCCGCCATTCCCTTTCTAGCCGGGATGGGGCGAAATTGGACCCCGAAAAGCTGGAGAACAGTGAGGCTCGCGGTGCGGCCTCGTTTTCGCGGCCCAGTGCGTGGCTGTTCCGGCCGGGCCGGGGTCCCGGGGTGCACCGCGGAGTGTCACGGTGTGTCGTGCCACAGTCACGGCAGGTGTGTGACGGAAGTGGCGGGGCGGGGCGCGAGATTTACAGCGGCGTTGCAGCAAGACTGCAAGACATATGCGGCCGCCAGGAAAGTAGTGCCTGCTGTCTGTCTGCCGGGCCGGGACGGGAGAGCGGCACTGCTGCCTCCAGGCCTCGGTCGCCTCGGTGAAGGCCCCGGGCCGGGCCGGGCCTCCTCCATTCGGTTTTACGGTGCCGCGGCGTCGCACCCCTCGTCTTCGTCATCTCAGCGGGCAGGGTGCCAGGTGCCGCGCTACCGGGCGACGCGCGCGCGTTCGCCGGGACCCCGGGGCGCTGCGTCAGCCTGTCTGCACGCTGCCAGAACGCGTGCAGGACAGCATGTTGGAGCACGTGGATTTCGATTCAATTCCACCATGCGTGACAGCGCCCTGGGTAGGCAGTGCCGTACTGAATGGAATCCCACGGCGTCCGTCGGCCGCCCTGTACAACAGAGTGTACAACACGCCCTCCAAAGCTTCGCTTTGTTCCCGACAGAAGATCAACGTCCACACGGCGCCCGGCCTGGCCCAGCCTCGCCGGAGACACCCGTGTGTGTCCGTGTGTGGTGCGTGCCACAACGATTAGCCCCGCGGAGCGCCAGTCGCGCAAGTCACCACGTGACGCAGCCGAGGCGTTTGTCAGCGTCGTGGTCGTCGCGGTGCCCCGTCGCGGTGCCCCGCCGCGCCCCGCCGCGCCGTGCCCTTTGGCGGAATGGCGCCTGGAGGCTGCAGGCCGCGCCTCCTGTCGCGTGGCCGTCCTGCTGCTGGACTTTAAACGCCCCGGCGGGACTGCGGGACGTCCTGTTCCTGTTTCCCCCGACAGCCGCGCCCCTCAGACGAAACCCGGACCGCGCGAGTTCGAATCCCGGCGGCCGCTACGTAACTCTGGTTCCCCGGTTTGCCCGACTCCGGATTAATTCGGGCTGATTAGCAGCGAATATCGGGCGGGCCGGCAGTCCAGGACGGCGTCAAGGCTTTCGACACCGCGGTCCCTCTGCTCCAGATATCCGCAAGCGTCGCGCCGCCACGCCGTGAGTCAATACGCAGAATGCATTTTTCACGATTCGCTCTCGGCGCGTGTTGGCTCATTTGCCTCATTTCCAAGGCGCTTTCTACCCCAGTGCTGCGCAGTGCCTCCTGGTGGTGGCAAAGAGCACAGAGCGGACCGCGGGGGAGGAGGCGCCGCCAGCACGCCAGCGACACGTCGTCGTCGTCGTCGTCGTCGTCGCGGTCTGGCCGCGGGCACGGCCACCTCGTCACCTCGTCACCGCCAATCCGCACTCATCGCGGAATAAAGTGGACGAGCTTCGCGGCGCCGAGCCGAAACGACAGTGAAAGCTTTTTCTCACGCGCGGCGGGGCTGGGCGCGGCGGGCGCGGCAGTTGAGGTGCGCGCGGCAGCCGGCTTGTGCATCTGATCGGACTGACAAGCCAGCAGCATTGTCCTTTTTACTGCCCCATTGACAAGCAAGTCGGCAAGTGCGAGCGGAGGACCGACAGGACCTAGTCGCCCTTTCGACTCACTTCCCGGCTTCCCGGCGCGGAGGACCGCCCCGCCATGGCCCCGCCGTCCCGGAGCACCGGGGCCCTGGCCGCCCGCCCCGGATAGGAGGTCCGCCCCGGAGGACGCACTGTCTGTGACATCACACTGTGGACCGCCATCCGGGTGCACGCGGCTCGGGAGTTTATAGCCTTCCCACGCCACGGAAACTCGAACTGCGTGACTCCGGCCCGGCCCGGCCCGGGCTGGAGCCGAGCTCTAGTGCGTGCCACTCGTCGCACGCTTTTCTCAAATCTGAATCATTTTTAAAATGTATCTTTCTTTCGTTCTTTTTAACAAATTTGTCGACAGGCGTGCGAGGGAAAACGGCCACCTTGAATCGGCGCAAAGTCACTCTTTCCACGAGGAACCGATTTTCAACTTCGGGTTTCAAACGTCCGAGTTACCTCAGAGGGGAGCCAATCGACTTTCGGGTGACTTGGCCGGGAACGCCGACGGTTAAAACCACTCGGTGCCCCAATCTACTCTCACTCACCTTGACGACTGCGACGCCCTGCTTGCCCCGGGTAATCCAACGGAACGCTCCTGGCACACTGTCACAGTGTCACAGTGTCACACACACGGCGAACGACGCGGCGTGGCGGCGTGGCGGCGAGGGTCGCGGACTCGGGGCGCAGTGCGTCGCGGTTCGGTTGTGGCGCGCGGGGCGTCGCGGCGTGGTCTGCGCTGGTCAACGCGGCGAGCCGCTGCGATAGCTCCACTTGACTCTCACTCCTAACCTAACCTCACTTCCTCCTTTCGTTCCTTCCTCGGCCGCCCCCGCTCCCGCACCCACCGGCACGCGGCCCCCCCCCGGGGGCCCGGGCCCCCGCGGAAGCACCCCACCCCTCCACCTCCCCGGAGCTCAGGCTCGGACTGGCCGGGCAGACAGGCGAAAAATCTGCCGGGGCCTTGGTTTTGTGCCAGAACGTCCGAAGGGTAAAAGTGATTGAATCCCCGGTGCCGTTTCGCTGAATTGAGCGGCCACTCTGATCTAGAGCGGCCACGGCCTCCCTCGCGTCCTAGTATTCTCAGACCCTACTCTTCATGCCCTGTATAGGGAAGACGTGCCACAACGATTTGCCTTTGACGCAACTTTGATTTGGGACTCAAAGTTGGTCAAAAAGTGGTCGAATCTCGGAAATTTGCGTTTTGCTGACTTTGGGCGGCCACTGTGTCCAATCTAGTGCGTAAGGCCTCCCTCAACGTCCTAGTATTCTCAAGACCCTATCTTTCATGCCCTGATGGGAAGACTTGCCACACGATTTTGGTGACCAGAACTTACTTGGTCAAAAATGGTGACTCTCGCAATTGCCCGGTTTTACTGACTTTGGGCCACGGGCCCACAGTGCCGTAACAGGCCCCCCGACGCAGAATTCTAAGCCGTACTCTTTCATGCCCTGTATAGGGAAGACGTGACGTCAACGATTTGCTTTGACCGCAGCGTTGGGCCAAAGTTGGTCAAGTGGTCGAATCTCGGAAATTTGCTGATTGCTGACTTTGGGTGCCACTGTTCCACCTATCTAGTTGCCGTTAAGGTCCTCCCGGCCGCTCCTAGCTATTCTCCAGACCCCTCTCCTCCCTCATGCCCTGTATAGGGCGACCCTTCCCACATCCGATTTTGCCTTTGACCGCAACGATTGGGGCCAAAGTTGGTCCCAGGCCGGTCGAATGGCCGGAAATGGGCCCTGATTTTGCTGATTTGGGTCCACTGTGCCAGGCTAGTTGCCGTAAAGGCCTCCCTCGACGCCCTAGAATTCTTAACCCTAGTCTTACTGTCCTGTCGGAGCTATTGACCTCAACTTGTTGGGAGCGGCAGCCTCACAAAGTGGCATGAGGGAAACAAACAAGATGATCGGGGGCCTTTTGCGGTCTTATCTGCCGGGGCCTTTTGGGGGCCAGTCCGAGCCTGCCCGCGCTGCAGCCGTGACAACTGGACTCGCAATGTTTTCGAAGAAGACGGATTCCATTCCGTTCCAGGCTGCAGCCTCAGTTTGATTGATCGAATCTCTTTACTCGTGCTAAATAAACCCACTAGGCTTGGAACAGGAGTGCGCGGAGTTCCACCTAGCAGGCGCCATGGCCCCTGCGCGGAGCCAGGTAGGCCGTCCCGTCGAACAGCAGTGCGTGCCGGGACTGTGCACCTAGCAGGCGCTCCCCTGTACTCCGCTCAAACCAGGCCGCCCGAGCCGTGCGCCGTGCGCGGCGTATCGGGACGTGGGGACACCCCGCCCGACGGCCCGACGGTGGAATGTCTGCTTGGCGACATCCATCTCATTATTGCATTGCTGGCGGCCTGGCGGTTCGTTACGAGCAGCGAGGCAGCGAAGCAGCGACCGCGGCGTCATGGCCCACTTCCTCGAGTGGCGTGTGCTGGACGATGGACGCTGCCCACCACGAGTCCGACGGCAACTCGTTGCTCTGTCTGCCTCGCGCTCATGGGCCGTGCTGTCGGGGTGCGAGAGAGACAGGGCGGAGCGGGGCGGAGCGACACAGGCTTGGCTCGCGCGGACAGGCCGGCGAGCGGCGGTGGCGACGACGTTCCGGACCAGCCGGGCGGGTCCCGCCGCGTCCCGCGTCCAGCTGGGGAGTCCGGAAGTGACCGGAAGCGACCGGAAGGGATCGAGCCGGGCACGAGACGAGCTGGACGACGGTCTGGGGAAAGAAGGGGAACGGGACGAACGGGACCAGCCAGGCCGAGCGGCGTTATGAACGTGGTTGGCAGCAGCAAAAACAACACCAAGATGCGCTGAAAACAAAACAAACCCACTGAACCCGAAGAAGGGTGTCACGGTGACGGACCCCGGTCGGCCCGTGTAATGGCCCCTCACGTAACCCCCTTCCCCTTCCCCTAAACCCGACCAAACCCGCCAATCCCGTTGGGAACCGGAATTCCTCGACAGCGAATGCGCCGAATACGGGGCGTATGGCCCGGCCGGCATGCTCCGGCCCTGGCCCTGGGCCCCGCGCTGAGGATTGAGGATTGTCTCGACCCGCCTATGGTGCCGCCATTCCCAAAACCAGGGAGAACGTATACCGGAAACGATAAAAAGTGAATTCAGACCAAATTTGGTTCATTTCATGTGAGCTTAATATGACTTGACTATGGCCAATGGCGTGATGAGCCGACTGCAACGACGGTGCCGAGGTGCGAGTGGGCGCGGCCGCAGCGGCCGCCACCGCATCGTTGTATCAGGGAAAGGTCGGAGAGGGCAGGAAGGAAGGAAGCGGCTCGGAATTCGTCACGTGGTCCATGAAGGGCCCCTCCGCGCCGCGGGCCTCCTCCAGGGCGGAGGGGTGGGTGGGGCAGAAGGGCGCCTCGTCCTCGTGGGGCTCCGCGAGGCCCAGCCGCCCAGGCCGAAACGAGCCCAGTGCGGTTCAGTGGGTACTGGCGTGGCGCGGCGCGGCGCGGCGCGGCGTGCAGAGAGGGGCCGGGCCCGACCAGCCAGGCCTCCTTCTGTTGCACGTTTCGTAACAGGATGAGACCACTCCATCCGGGAATGTTTTTCTTTATTTTGTAAGGTCGCCTGCAAGGGGGATTCAGAGCGATTTCTCCTTCAGGGGCACCTCGCGTAGCTCGCGGTAATTCGTCATCCAGCGCGGGGGCGTGTGTCGACGCTGGGGGTATTGAGCGATGGGCCTTCCCCCGAGAGGAGCGCACGAGTGGCGTGTTGAAAAGGAAGGGAATGGCCCGCCTCAAAAGAAATTGTTCTCGACGGCGGTCGGCGACGGATCTCCTCATCACCTGTCCTTCCGGTGGTGCCCCCTGCAATATTTTCATGTTCCCATTTGGTTGCAAGGAAATAAATGGAATAAAAGGCAAAGTTGTGTTTGTAGATCAAAGTTTTATTGAGATTATTTTGAAATACTTATTTAGTCTGAAAGTAAGTGAGACAGACAAAACAAGCAAAAGTATAAAATTGTTTTGGTTTGGAGATCACTAATCTTTTTTTAAAAATAGAGCAGGTATACATGATGAAAAGCATTGCTGAAGTTAATGAAAGGAAAAATAAAATACTGCTATTACAATATCATAACACCTTGGTGAGTGACAGACATTAAAAAGTCTTTGCAAAATTGCATAAATTATGAGAAATGGGAACCAGTCTTGGAACACACCTAAGGAAAGGTAAAGATAAATTGCAAATATAAAATGGGATGAACTTTTAAATGCAAGCACCAGTTGATGCACAATTGTTTATAATTAAAAATAAGGCTTCATCAGACTTTAGAATAAAATATACTGATCAAGCATACGTCTAACTTATAAATATACATATAAATATAGGAAATAATATAAAATGGAAAACATGACTTGTCACAATCCATCATAGGAGATAGTAAAGAAACAAATGAACATTGGGACAGCATGCACCAACAATAAACGACAAGCGATAATATAATAAAAATGATAACATGTTCAAGACTTGTGGAACATAAAAACAAATAAGGCTTACCTGCAGAGCACAGCATAAAGTTAACAGTGTTACCATTGTCAGATACAATTTATTTAAGTTATAAAAGTGACAGTCTTTCAAATTCAGCAAGATTTCAAGAAAGAAAAAAGGCAGTGCATATGAATGGCTGAGGGCCAGGCTCCAACAACAATTGGAAGAATGAACAAGACTAAAGCACACAGTATTTCACAGCAGGGGGAATATACTAATACAATATGATATGAATGCAAATGAAAGGTGATGGTGACGTTTGATTGCAAGAATATCACCATAACAGAGCACAGGCTCCGAACATCCATGCATTTGTACAACACTCAATATAAAAGTTCATTTCTCCTCAACACATTAATACCTCGACTCAGTCTCCCATTCCTTTCAAATACAACACACAAACCTTATCTAGCTTCCATCTATCCAAAAGGACAAAACGACACAGGACAATACATCAGAATATTACTACTTGAAAAAGAGACTGGTAGGTATTAAACACGCTAAGAAATAAAAAAAAGGTCTTTAGGGGAGAAAAGGGTCTACATGGCAACATGAAGGTGAAAACTCCAAAATGTGCATTTTGAACCCAAAAAAATTACCACAGAATTTTCTTTCTAAATGACCATTTTCAGAAAATAAAGGCAACTTCCTTTGCTACAAAGTGTGCTAGGATTACAAAAATTAGTTTATTGAGCTTAAGATTGTCATAAAGAGATTCATTAAAGATTCAGACCATTTTGAACAACCATGGGTTTCATGAATACCATTGAACTTTCTCACCACACCTAATTACCTAACGCTATACGAAGAACAAACACTTCTTACCTCACAACTGATGCCAAACGATAATAATTTCAACTACAAGTCAATTCACAAAAAACTTCCCCTGAGGGAGAGTAAGATTTTACAATGCATATCTCACACCACATCATTTCACTTCCAACAAACAAGTAATAAAGGTAAACCATTTCACAACCCGCATTTTTTCAGATAAGTTTGAGCTGGTTCATTCCCTACATTTTAAACAATGTACAGGGCAAAGTTTGGTCCTTCATTTCTAATATTGCAATGTCCCAAAATAGACCGTTTAAGGTATAAGATTTCATACCCTGTCAAGTTAAACAAATTACATCAAAAATTTGGTTGCTATTGTGGTTCCTCAAGCAATTAAAAAAATCCTCACTTTGTGTCAAGTCCCTATCGATCCTATTCCTTCCTTTCCTTTGAATGAACTGACATAATGAAAGTTTATAGCATGGTTTCGGTCGGCCGGCGATGTTGGCTCAACTCTATACACCAAGCGCACGCACACCACGGCCAGGCTCCACTGCAGATGACTGGATTTGCCATGAGACGCCTCGCAGAGTCCAAACTCTCGTGGTGCGCGACTGAATTCTATGGTTGTTGTTGCAACATTTGAGCTTGCATCTTAGCAAGCATCTCCTGCATCCGCTTCAGCTCTGCTTCTTTCTCTTGGAGGATACGGTCCTTTTCAGCTGGGATGATGGCAGCATCCAGTGACCTGAACAAGGGTTGAAAAAATTGATAAAAGTTGTTGGAAGTGACACACGACAAAATAAGACCAACAATGACACTTACGGAGTTTTCTTTGGCATGGGTGCGCCCTTCGCAAGACGCTCAGAGCGATAGTTTTCATAGTGAACTTCTTGGGTAACTTCTTGCAGGTCTTGCATGTGTGTGCTAGGTAGAAAAAATGGTTTATTTAATGCAAATACAATCAAAGGAAACAAATTTAGGATAAAAGTACAAGTTGACTTACATAAGCATTGTGCGTAGTTTAATGAAATCGCAGTGCTCCGGATTCTCCACTTCGACCACCCCCCAGGGGTACAGGCGGCCCCGCACCTTGCGGCCCCGCACCTCCAGCATGGCATTGGCCCCACACACTGCAAATGGCACAGCTTCTTTCAGCTGACGAACCTGTCAAAAATCAATCAAGTGTATTGAAATTTGAAACACACTCTAACAAAGGCTACAATTTCCTTTTAGATGAAAAAAAAAAAATGACTGAAGAATTACCTGTTCTTTGTAATCCTCATCTTCATCACTGTCACAGTCAGGAAGGGGATAAATTTTGATCTCATTCTTTTCTATTTCTTCCATCACCTGTTGGGAAAAGAAGATTAGCTATGTGTATGCATGTTCAAAAAACATCTCTCTAGAGGAAACAATATTTATTATGGAAACCTTACCCTCTTCTTCAAACGAAGCATTTCCTTTTTGGTCAGAACATCAGCTTTAGCAATGACAGGCACTATGTTAACTTTATTGTGGAGCTGCTTCATGAACTGAATGTCAAGTGGTTTGAGTCTGAAACATCCAGAGCACAAATTAGAAAAAAATTAAAATACATAGGAGAAACAACTCACCAACATGCATGTAACTTACCCATGACCAGTTGGAGATATAAAGTAAAAGCAGCAGTGAATGCGGTTGTCAACAATATTACGCCTATTCAACCCACTCTCATCTCTGAGAAATCTTTCAAACTGGTCATCAATATACTGAATAATAGCTCTGAAGCTGAAATAAATAAATTAGATTACTGTACAGCAAGCACAAAATTCCAACACATAATTGTGTTTCATCGCTCCAATCTTACCAGTCTGTGTTGTCAATGGCATCTCCAAAGCCCGGGGTATCTACCACAGTCAACCGTAGTTTCACTCCACGCTCTTCAATCTCAACGGTCGATGCATCCAGCTTTACCGTCTGAGTTGCTTTTTCTGCGGAACAAAATCAAAATATAAAATTTAAATATGTAAGATAACTGTAGGTTGTGTTTTGATGGATGAATGAATGGGGGAGTGAAGGAGGGAATGAATGGGTGGTGGGTAGGTGCAGAGGGGGGCAGAGCATGCCAAGCAAGCCGCGGCAGGGGAGGAGGAAGGGGGGGGGGGGCGGTGTTTGCTGTTCGCGCAGCCACAGTGGCGGTATTTCTAAACAAGCCTCCGTTGCGCGCCGTGCCGCGCCGTGCCGCGCCGTGCCACACCGTGGGTGCCACGCCACGCCACGCCGCGAGGCGTGCCGGCCTTGCAGCGGTCGGCGCCCTGGGGCATGCACAGTGGGCCAGAAGACCGGTAGAGGCGGCCAAAACTCCAGACGCGTTTTGAGCTCCAGAGTCGCTAAATGGGACTCGAACCGAACGTGTGACCCCACCAATGGATTGCTCTCCGGACGAGGAATCCATTGGTGGGGTCACACGTTCGGTTCGAGTCCCATTTAGTGACTCTGGATCTCAAAACGCGTCTGGAGTTTTGGCCGCCTCCACCGGTCTTCTGGCCCACTGTGGCATGCCTGCGGCCAGCGCACCCACAGCACGCAGCATTGGCCGCGGGGTGGGAGCGGAGGCGCACTGGCAAAACAAGCAAGCGTCCATCTGACAGTGACAGCGGCAGGGTGCTGGCAGGGTGCTGCATGCTGCACAGTGTTCACGCCAAAGGAGGGGCGGATGGAGGGGGGAGTGGGGCTTCGCAGGGAAGGCCGATGAATCTGGGTCCATGACTGCAACTTGCCTAAGACTCCTCACATCACAACCAGAGGGTGTGCTGGGGGCGTATCTAGGGAGCATGACTTAAATCTACTATTTGTGATTGCCTCTATAGCGAAATTATCAATGGACTTGATGTTTCTGGCACAGCGTAGACAACATAATGACTACAAGTCCTCCTGCTCCCAGCATGCAACATTCTTAAATAAATACTAAAACAGTGCAGAACACTCACCAATAGCATCAGGCACCACTCTTTCGGGATACAAATCTGTCAAGAACAGGCTGTTGACCAGAGTAGACTTGCCAAGGCCCGACTCTCCAACAACCATCAAAGTGAATTCAAATCCTTTCTTCACTGACTTGCGGTGAACCTGGTTTGGAAGGTTTGCAAAACCTACATACCCAGGAGTTTCGAGACTTGCAAACTGAAACATAAATAGGAAATACCTTTCAGGATGAGGATACTGAGAAACAAATTGATTCATATGATCAACGTCCGGAAGGTTAATGTCATAGTTATGCTAGATATAATGAAAACATGAAAAGTGGAAGGGGTGAGGGTAGGGTGATACCTGTGTCAAGCAAATTAACTTAACCTCAACGCTCTTAGAAAAACACGTCACATTATATCAAAATGAGTGCATCACAGAGCATCAAAAACACGGGGACTTGGGATACTACACAGAACATTTGGACCACAGCAGCAAAACACAAGGAAAGTCAATATAAAACAGGGTGTCTTAGCGGCAACGCTGATACCGGACGGCCGAAACTGATCTTGGGCTCTTACCGTTTTCACTGATTCGCTCGACATTTTGTCAAGTTTCAAAAGGTGTCGGCGGGCGTAAGTATATCAGGACTCCCAGAAATGAAACACGCAGCGAGAGAAAGACGCTGCCGGTCCCGACCCCTCGTCTCGTCTTCTTGACAGTTGCAAGGGCCTAAGTGCTTCACTCTTCGCTCCACTCTAAACTCTGAACGTCTACATAGAACGCGACTGCGCCACATTCCGCCCACCGCCCTCCCACCAATGCTCTGGTGGGAGGTATAGTGCGTGTGCCAGGCGTGTGCCGTGAAGCCCCCGCACATGATAAATGGAACGGTTTACATAAACACAGGAGAGTTTCATAGGAAAATAGATGTTTATGCTCCGATTATCAAAGTTATGCCGAAAGCATAGCGTAGACCGTACTGAGCGTATGTTTGAAGTTCACTATACCTGAGGTGGTGGGGGAAGCTGGGAGAATGTGGGATTGGTGTTTGCTCTCCGTCCGTGTACAGTTTGCGAAGGGTGAATGGTGCATGAAAAGTGACCGGTTGCTTTGCTTTGCACTTGCTGCGGTTTACACACGAGTGTCACGAGCCTGGCCTGCTGTGCTGTTTGCATCTTTCCAAGTAAGGTACGTAACGTCAAGCCATGCAATTATTTTTATTTGATTCTGGTTATACTGTCTAATACCTTAGTGAATTAGATTTATTGAGTTTCTCATAATCTTCTATTAAATTCAACCATTTCTTTAATGTTCTAACCTATTGCATTTAACATGTGTTATTCAGATATTCAATCCATTTTTGGTGCAAACTTGTTCAAGCTATGGGCAAGTATCAAGTCAAGGTACTGATTATTTCATTGTTTTCTATTTTCCTGATACTGCTGATCATTGCTTTGGTATGTTTGGTATGATGGTCTCACGTTTCCACAATTGCAGGTGGGGATAATTGGTGGATCGGGTCTCAACGATCCAGATATCTTAGAAGGAAGGCTGGAGCGTAAGGTGTCTACTCCTTTTGGTGAGCCTTCGGATTGCTTGATTGAGGGCCGCATCAGTGGCATTGACTGCGTGCTTTTAGCAAGGTATTGTTTCTTATGCTTCCAGCATGTGAAATCTATTTCTAACTGTTCTTTGATAATTTGCCCCTCTGGTTTCAGGCATGGACGAAAACATGATGTCATGCCAAGCAAAGTGAATTATCGGGCTAACATTTGGGCTCTAAAAATGGTGGGTTGCACGCACATCATTGCTTCTACAGCCACTGGTTCTTTACAAGAGGATATTGAACCAGGTGATCTTGTTTTGCTAGACAGCTTCATTGACAGGTAAATTTCTTTTGATATTCATCACTAAACAGTTGTCGTATTTTCAGTATTTAATTGATTCAACTTCGTTTTCTAGGACTAAATCTCGGGAAGCAACCTTTTTTGATAACAGTTGTAATGAACTGCAGGGAGTGTGTCATGTTCCTATGGATCCTGCTTTTTGTCCTGAGACTCGTCAGCTTTTCTTAGAGGCTGCAAATAAATTGGGATTGAAACTCCGTCCCACTGGTACTTGCGTCACTATTGAAGGACCCCGATTTTCCAGCAAAGCGGAAAGTCTACTTTACAAAAGTTGGGGTGTTCACCTTGTGAACATGACTATGGTTCCAGAGGTATACTGTCATTTCTACAACGTGTTTTGAATTGTGATGAATTTTATAAAAATAAGTATCTCAACCTTGGCTGTATTTTTCTTTTTCCAGGTCTGTTTGGCCCGTGAAGCAGGACTTTGTTATGCAGCAGTGGCTATGGCAACAGATTATGATTGCTGGCGGGACAAAGAAAATGGTGTCTGTGTTGCTGAGGTGCTTGCTACTTTTAAACAGAACGTTGTGAAAGTTACCAAGCTTTTCAAAGAAGTTGTTCCAATGATTGGCGCACATGAATGGGACAACACAATTGATGATCTTAAGGTACAGAAAAATATTTTCGTGTGTTCTTGACTTGCCTAGGAAGTGAATTAATTTCAGTTTTATTTTACAGAGTCTTGTGTCCAGTGGTTTCATGTCAGCACCTTCTAAAGAAACACATTGATGAGATGCAGAGGTAATAAGAAAAGTGCACCTATATGTTTCAAATTTTTTTTCAAAAACTGTTAAATTGTGGTAGGTTTATTAAATTTTTAAAATTTGAAAAGAATTATTACTGAAAACTGTTTATTGCCTGTTCAAACAATTATTCACACTCCCCATGGAAAAATTAGAATAAGATGAATATAAGTTTTTATGCCCGTATTGATAACGTCAGATAATGTATGTTGGAAGTTAGTTATAAAACGGATTATATGTTACCCAATGTGCTCTGGTTTGACTCTCATGACTCTTGTGAGATGTAAACAAAGACTTGAATACTTCAGTTGCCTTGGGATCGGCAGCAACCCGGTATGATTCTCTTGATTTTTTGAATGCAGGATCATTGAACTTATCTGTAGCTGATCTTTTGTCACCTGCAACAAATGTATAATAGAATCGTGAATATGCATACATGAACACAGCAAGCTCATTAAGGTCAGGTAGTTGACTCCCTCACCTGCAAGGGGCTTGGCACCCATCCCGACTGTCATCTTGGAGGAGCCTGCTGCAGCACTTGGAATTATTTTGGAACTGCTGGGCAGCTTGGCAGTTCCGGAAGAAAGAGTCTCCTTGGGTACTGAAGATGCTGATGCAACAGATGGTTGGAATGGGATCGATTCAGTTGGTACTCCTGAATCTTGTACTTCAGCTTTCAGTTTCTTTTTGGCTTCTGATTTAGCCTTCTTTTCTGCCTTTGCTCTAGCCTGACGGGCTTCTAATCGCACTCGTAATCCGTCCACCTCCTCTTCAGTTCCATTTAAGATGATGATGTCCTCTTCATTGAAGGGTGCCTGGCACTGAAAGAAGGTTCAAAACATTAGATCTTCACCATCCTGTTGTTGGCCTTATACCACTGAGTCAAAATGAGACATTCACCTTAAGGCAGCTTTTGGCCTTGACTTCCTTCATTGCCCGCTCAGCAAAAACACATCCACAACTCCAGAGAAAAATAAAGCGAAATCTACCAGTCACCTCAAGACCAGTGAGAGGACAAATGTAGGGTGATGTAGCTCGGTCAATGTAACCATCACCTTTTTCGGCATCAGTTTTAAAAGATGGGTTGGGAGTGAGACGAAGATCACGGATATCCTGAAGTAAAGCAGAGAGATTGGTAAAACACAAAAAAAGGTATATATGCATAAAATTGTGTGAGTTAATGAACAAATCTCAAATTATTTACCTTAAGACTCTTGATGTGACTCGCCGATTCAGGAAGCAAATTACGATCTAGTAATGCTTCTATAACTGCTTGTTTTTTGTAGAGTCTTCCAAGGCCACAAGCCGATATAGGTTCCTCCAGAGGTTCTTGAGTTATGTTGCAGTGGCGCCAGCGGAAAGACAGTTCTGAATCTCTATCTTTCTGCAACACACACAAAGGACACCAAAAATATATTAAAATACATGGTGAGCTTAGGATAAGCATTAATAATGAAAAGATGTCTTGAATTCAAAACTGGAACAACATTAAGAAATAATTGGCCATCAAACAAGGTTAACATATGAAAACCCAAGAGCTCCTAACCTTTTCTTTCTTCTTTTTCAATCGCACCAACTCGTCCCTCCGCGGAATGGTTCCTCCGTCATTTCCCATGCTTCTGCTGTCGAATTCGAACAAATATGTCAACGAGAAGATTGCACGATGGCACAAATATCTTGTGCGTCGGAGCAACAAACGTCCTTGTTTTGTTTTGGTTTCGAACGTCTCAAATTTTCAAGTGCGTCTGCTCTTCACTTTCGTTCATCGATCGCGACCCCCCCACCCCTCTGAGCTTTAGGAAAGTGCTAGGGACTAGGGAAGGGAGGGGAAGCGATGCGATGCGCGAGTCGCGCTGCGCAGTGTCAGTGCAGCCGTTTGCTGTCAGCTTTGGCTTTTCACAGCAGAAAGCAGCAGAAAGCACAAGGACTCTGAATGTGGGCGTAAAGATATTGTTCCAACCCGTCTGCGCTCTGCGCTTGCCTTGTTCCGTCGTCATGTCACCATGCTGATATAATGTATGTATCGTATTCCCCTTATCCCGCAGTTGATTGTTAGAAATTGTTTCCATGTCTACTGATATGTGGGAGCTCACTAAGCTGACAACCTGTTGGTGTTGACAAAGTAAAAGGAAGTCGGAATGTCATTATTCTTAACATATGCCATGCTTTCAAATTATCCTTTTTAATGGACGCCAGGTCTCTGTACATGTTGCCTCTGTTTCTATATTCCTGTCTCATTATATTCAAAATATTTAGTCTTTGTAAAACAAGAATATTAACCTTAAATAAATTAAATTTTTTTGTTCAGCTTTTATTGATTGAATGCTATATTTTACCTCACAAATTGATGTATTGCCAGATTTTTACTAGAATTCTCTTGCTCTTGCAGATCTAAGGATGAGTCAGGTTTTGCTGTGGCAAGACGACATCCAGGTAAATCTTGAGTGTGAAGAACATTTAATCACCAATGGAATCAGCGGCATCTGCAACATTGACTCATTCCTTTATGTTATATCAAATGAAGACAAGACTTTGCATGTTGGACAAATAATTAACCATAATGGGCAGCTCTCTGTCAAGCTAGAGCCAAGCTGCATTCAAGCGATAGATATTGCGTCCACAAAAGACAAGAATCTTTTGTACGTGACCCCTGATGGACGTGTGTATTCCATTAAGCCAAATAGATTAGAGTGTCTTGATTCCAAAGAGGAGATCATACTCGAAGAGGAGGCATCATGTTGCGCACATGGATACAGTACACCAAAACAAAGAGTAAGAGTGAAGTCAGTGAGCACCACCAACGAGGGAATCCTGTTTGTTACTCAAAATGGGCATCTTTGGGCTCAGGGAAATCATCCTCAAATAGACATAAAGCCAAGTGATGGCGTCAAACGGGTGAGCTATTTCCAGGGACGATGTGTTACTGCAGTGGACAGTGGATCAAATTTTAGTATAGCTTTGGTCCAACGTAAATTTGTTGGCAACCTAAATCAATTAAATAACACAGAAAGCCATAATGAAGAAAATGAGGATGTTTTCGTTTATGACTGCCCGCAGTGCATTAGTGAAAGCAGTGTCTCACTTTTGTCACATCATTCCATGTCTGATATATGTCCTCTTGGCCTCCCTGTTCGGAAATGTAGTGTTGATAACAGCACTTCCTCTACCACAAGTAAAGGAAACTATGACAAGAAAAGTATAGATGGAACCACATCTCCTTCAACTGAAGATGAGGTTCTACATCAATGCCACACATGCACCAGTAAAAGTGAAGTTAGTGATGATGTGTCTTCCCCAAAAACAATTTTGGAAGGAGAAACTTTGGATCGAGAAAAAGAAGATGATAACAAAGACAAAGGGAATGAATCTGGAGCTGAAGGAGAAAAGAAAAATGGCACATTTTTAAATACAGAGGTTGCCAGACAATTTTTGACAAGGCAGTTATCCTGGGTTTCAAGCTATGGCAATGCAGGAGAAGAATTTTTGGCAGAGTATACTGAAGGAACTACTAGGATTGTAAGGTTGGTACTTTTTTCCAAAACTGGGTTTATATTAATTTTTCACTTCCTCTTTTTCCCTGCATTAAATCCAACTCATTCCTCAACAGGCAAAATGTTTCAAATGTAGCGAATTTGGTGTATGAGGGAGTTCGAACAGTTGGTGATAAGGTGGCAACCTTATCAAGGCATGTGAGTGGTGGGTCTGACAGTTGTACTGGCAATGAGGATTCCTTTGAGGAATTGAGTCTGGAGGCACTTCCTGTGGCTTCTTTTCTCAGGTAATGTGTCCTTTCAAGTCTTTCTTTTTTCTTTTTTTTTTGGGCCTTAGGTTTTTACTGACAATGTAAATATTACCTTGCATTATCTTTAAAAAATACAGATTTGAAGACTTTTTGGCCACATCTAGTGCTGGTACGAGTGACCACGAGGGAGAAGGCGGTGTCGAGAAGCCTGATCCATCAATTGGTTGTGAGATGGGAGCAAATATTCTTGCCACAGAGCTTTATAGCTGGGGCAATGTAGGGCATGGTCAGTTAGGCATTGGCGACTTTATGAAAAGAGATAGACCAACTCTTGTGGCTCGCTTACCTGGAACTGGGGTAAGGAATAAATTAAGAACAGATGACCAATGAGAAAATTTCCAATTTTGATTGATGTTACTATGAATTTTATGCACAGGTTCAAGTTGTGAAATGTGGACTTAATCATGCTGTAGCTCTAACTCTCGATGGCCGAATGTTTGCCTGGGGTGCAAATAGTATGGGTCAGGTGGACTGGCAAAACACCACAAGTTTGAGCTCTCCCTGCCAGGTGCTATGTGGTTCAGTGGGTACAGGCAGTGACCGTACATGGGACATCGCCTGTGGTGATCGGCATAGTTTGATGCTCACTCAAGGCGGGGATGTCTTTTTCTTTGGCAAACACAGCAATAAGTAAGAGTTTTACCATGGTTTCATTCAAAACATTACCTTTGAACTTGCTGCAATTAATTCCACTTCATTGCAGATCCACTCAGCCTGGTGTGGGTCCTCTAAATTTACCCATACCTCATCCTGTTACTTTGGAGGAAGGTGTTGTTGCCCAGAAACACTTGCTTGCCCATGGAACCATATCTTGGTGCTCCGTTCATGCCACCCCGGCCTCACCTGCAGTGCAGGACCTTGCTTTAGAACAGGCTTTTCTTGAAGAGTGCCTGCTTGTACATACAAGTCTAGTACGTCCATTCATGAAGAAGATGGGTGCCGGTATGTTTTGCAATGTTTGAAAGTATGTCGCTATTTTATTTTATTTTCCCTCTCAAAAAACTTCTTGGCTTTAGGGGGTTCAGCTGATGAACAATATATGTATGGAATACTGTGCCAACGATACTCAGATGTTGTGAGCTTTACTGCATTGAATACTTATTCTTTGTGGGACTTTGCCAAAAATGGTCATGATGCAAGTACTATTGCAATGGTAAAAAATGTGGATGAACACATTTTGGTCTACAAGTAAGCTGAAACTCATCACCTTTGACAAGTGGTTGAATTTAATGTATGTATTTAATTGTATTTACTTTGTTGTAGAAAATACCTAGAAGCTGCCTGCAATGTCATGTCTGTTAGTGGATTCTCTTTCATGTCGAGTGTTGTTGAGCCCTCTGCAAGAGTGACTGAGTTGTTTGCAGACAGGCTACCACCTACCGGGCCATTAAAAAAAGGAATGAAACGAAACACTCATGAAGCAACATTTGCCTGTGCTCTTTTTCATCCCCTGAGTAGACTTAATGTTTACAAGTGCATTCTACAAAGTCTGATGCGCTGTAATAACAGTGCAGCTTCAAAACATAGTTCTGAAGTACAGAAAAAAATGCAGGTATGCTGAAGTCTAATTTTGCCTGAGCCACTTAAGGATGCATTCAGCATGATTCTGTCAAAACTTTATTTTATTTATTTTCAGGCGGCATTTAGCAAGTGGGAGTCCTTGTGTGAAGAGTCTGATTTCCGCCGACGGGAGGCAGACAACACTCGTCGTTTTTGGGAAAATGCTGGTCGATTGGTGGATACTGTTCGTATACCAGTCAGACGTCTAGTGCGAGAATCTCGAGCCCATCCGATTCAAGTTTTAAATTCAGGACGATTCTCTTCTCATTGGATTGTCCTATTTAGTGATGTTCTAGTTCATGTGGCTGGTTCAGTTCACACCCTCCACCCTCTTAGTACTTCATGGGTCGAGCCTGTGCCAGATGAAGATAATGACCAAGTATGTTATATCCTGCTTAAAAATGTTGTTAAAAAATTCATTATTTAAGTTTTGATTTTAAAAAAAGAAGTTGTGCATTGGATCATGATAGCTCTCTGTTTTCAGCATGGGCTTCTACTTATTACACCAGAGGAAACTTTACATCTTCATACCAATACATTACAAGACAAAGCAGAATGGCTCCAAGCGATTCAGGGTGCTATTCGTGCATGTATATGTAAACCCCATTCTCAGCTCAGTGCATCTGCAGCTCGCCACGCAGCTTACACTTTTTCTAAACCGGGACCCTTTAAAGATGCAAAATATGTTGGTTTGTATTTCCTGAATGAATGGAGAATTTTTGTTTTCCCGTATGCCTGGTAGTATTACTATACGTCCTGAGATGTTTGTTTCTTCCAGGCCGGTGGGTGAATGGTAAGATGCAGGGTTGGGGCCGACTTGAATGGCCTGATGGCAAGACTTACATGGGCCAGTTTTTAAATAATCTGCAACATGGCTATGGGCACCAAGACTCACCGAAAGGAGACCAATATGAAGGTCAATGGCGAGAGGGATATCAAAATGGACGTGGCGTTTTAAAGTTAGTATTGAGATTTTATTCATTCCGTTTTTTAGAATGAACATGTGAAAATATTCATCTTATTTTAGGTATGAAGGAGGAGATGTCTATGATGGCTACTTCAAAGATGGCCTTCCCCATGGGCATGGTACTCGTAAAGAGGGACATTTCACAGCTAGTGTGGCTTCACTCTACATAGGAGAGTGGGCAAATGGCGTGAAACAGGGATATGGTGTAATGGACAATATATTCACTGGTAAAAAACAGTATTTAATAGCTTGAAGAGTTAAATATGATGGATCTTTAAAATTAATCTTTCTTTTTCTTTTATTTCTTAGGGGAGAAATATCTTGGCTGCTGGAGTAACAATATGAAGCATGGATGTGGTCTCATTGTCACTCTTGATGGGATTTATTATGAAGGGGTGTTCATGCAAGATACTCTCACTGTGAGTTTTTTAAAAGTACAATTTCAATCTATGAGGGTAATTTTGCATGTCATTTCTTTCTATCTTTATCTTTGGTTCAGGGTCATGGCGTTATGGTGTTCGAAGATGGAACTCACTATGAAGGAGAGTTTAAATCTGCTGGATGCTTTAATGGCAAGGGGACTTTAACTTTAAACACTGGTGATCGCCTAGAAGGTTCCCTTCAGGGAATGTGGAATGAAGGAATCAAATTTGCTGGTACTCTTTTCAAGAATTCCAGTGTTACTAGCTCCCTCCCATCATCTGATCGAACTGAATCCAAACCAAAGTAATCTCGTGACTTAAACTGTAATTTCATGAACTTCTATTTTAAATGCAAAATATAAAATGATAATTTGTCTTCACCCATACAGCTCGTTTGGCAAGTTATGTGTACCACCAAATCTGAAATGGAAAGCCATATTCCGCCAATGCTTGACTCCTTTGTCAGTTCCATCCACAATTATAGAGGCTATCGCAGGCGGCTCCAAAGTCATTGGAAAACCAGAAAGCAATGGAGTCTGTGTACCTTCTTTCGATCTTCAAAGACTCTGGTCAAGTGTAGCAGTGCAAATAAATACATCTCTTCAAGAATCAGCGGCTGCTGCTCGTGCACAGAGCAAAATGAAGAGTCATGACTCTCTTACTGATTTGGACACGATACCAATGTGGGGAAGAGATAAACTGGATAAAAGTTCTTATCACAAAATGCATCATTATCTTGTCAAGGTGTGACTTCTTTCAACAAACTGCTCAATCATATATATTTTAAATTTTGATTGTCTAAAACTTGTACTTAATGTCTGTGGTAGGCTTTTGAAAGTCCTCACCATCCACTGGGGATGTTACTAGCGGAGCTAACTGCAGCTTACACTGCAACTTACGGAGGTGTTCGAGTCCATCCATTACTTTTAAGCCATGCTGTAGCGGAACTCCATTCATTGGTGGCTCGCATTTATGAGGTCGTTCGACTGCTGTTTCCTGCTTTACCTCCATACGGGCAGGAGTTCCTCTTAAGTACCTCACCATGCAGTGATCAACTTGAAAATGATGAAGAGAAAATTCCAGATGATGGGTATGTTGTGGTTGTGAGTGAGTCAATGACATAAATATTATGAGACAGCTGTTTATTATGGTTTCTCAATGTTTCCAGGGAAGTTGTGAGTGCTTCTGCACTTCTCCACCCTTTTGTTCTTCCTAGAGTTCATGCGGCGCTATTTGTGCTTTACGCACTACATAATAAAGCAGAGGATGATGCTTACTGGAAGCGCCTTCTTAAATGGAATAAACAACCAGACATGACTTTACTTGCATTTCTTGGAATAGATCAGTATGTTGAATTTTTAAAATGAAATATTTGTCTTTTTCTACATTACAATCCTAACATATTTGTCCTTTTACCTCCCTTTCTTTTACAACAGAAAATTCTGGGTTCATTATTCCAGTGAACCATCAAATAGTGTAAATTCTAGTAAAGGACCCAAACCCCCTTTCTCACCATCAAGAGAACAATTGTTTACTGAAGCAGTTGAAACTTTGCAACAATTAAAGACAACATTTTCCCCTTTAGAAAAGTTGTTAGTTATTCGAAGCACTTTTGAGCAACTGACTCAGGTAAAAACCTCTTCCCTTTGCATTTTTTTGTTACTTTGTATTATGAAATCATGTTAATTACTTTTCCTTTGTAGGCTGTGAAACGTGACATGGGAGCAGAGTATTTGTGGACAATGGATGAACTGTTTCCTGTTTTCCACTTCGTTGTTGTACGCTCTCGGATTCTGCAACTTGGATCAGAAATTCATTTTGTTGAAGATTTTATGGAGCGTCATCTCCAAAATGGGGAACTAGGTATAATGTTTACAACTTTAAAGGTGAGATCTTGGTAGCTTTTTTTATTTGTACCTATGTACTGTACTGGTTTATTTGGAAAATTTTTGAATATTCTGTCTTGTCAAATTTCAGGCATGCTACTATCAGATTCTACAGGAAAAGATCAGCCTAAGTAGTTAATCAAGTCTGATACTGTGCTGGTGTAAACGGGTGCATTAGCTAGTTTTAATAATAATTTGTCAGTTTGCTGTCAAGCTTGTGATCTTCTGAAGGAACTTTTCCTTTTTTAAATAAGTAATATTTTTGTTTATGTTCTGGCTTTTTCAGTCACAACAAACCAATTTCAGTTTTCAAATTATATATACGTGAGTTCAATGTTAATATTGAGATGTGGGTAAAGAAATTTATCCACTTAAATGCAAAAAAGCCCTTGGTTGTGTTTTGTTCAACTATGAGTTTTTAATGTAAGTCACACCAATATGTATTAATTTCTAGTGGCTGTGACAATAGGTAGGTAGTGACACTGTACTGCTGTTGTCCAAAGTTAACTTTAATAAGCCTAGCCTGGTTTTTGTTGTTGTTTTTTGTCGTAGAACACTTAGTTCTATTTTGTGTTGTGCCAAGTGAAAATTGCTTTGGCTTTGAGAAGACCTGTGTACTAGGCACTTCCAAGTAGCATTAGTTTGACATTTGCCTCGTATTGGTAATATTTGGAGGAAGGACACTATTGTAAGGTTCAACAGCCTTGGCACTGTAGTCCCTCACTTTAGTGCAATTCTGTTTTGCAATACAATACAGTAAAATATAAGAAACTTCTCTATTCTTGTTCAACTTTGTATAATTTTTGAAATGTTTTAAAATATTGTCATCTAAAGCACCTGTTATATGACTACAATCTGAAGGGGTTTATTTTTTGTATAGACATACAATATATATATAACACAGAGTTCTAGCATTGCTCAATGATGTTGTTGTGTGTGATGTGGTGTACAGTACATGTTATAATGACCTCTTTAAACCCTATTTATGTGGTTCCAGTTTCTTAAGTAACAGAAGCAATAAAGAAAAGAGTGATGGAACCTGGTAAAAAATAGTTAGGAAAAGTTCAATCTTAATTCTTTTTACATTTGGTTTTTCTCTTTATTTGTGGTGTACAAAAAGTTTCCCTTAATATTGTATGTAAATTTTTATGCCTACTGCTTGAGTAGTGTGCTTCTTCTCAATGATCTGGTTCAAATCTAAGCACTCATGTTAATTAGTAATTTAGATAGAGTTCTTGAAATATTTGGTGAAAAATTGCTCATACAATTAGAAAGTATCTGAGAAAATAAATCAATTCTTCAGGTTCCTCAGACTAGACCTGATTGCAACTAATGAGTAATGGGGTCCTCCTATTCTCAATTCATTTGATTAGCTTTGATGTTTTGCTGAGTGCTCTGTATATTTTTGTAAACGTCACATTTTTATTGACAGTTGAACGAGTTGAGAACATTGCTTCCTTACTGTAATCCTGAGGACAAATAGGAATTTTGAAACGTAATAATTGGTTCATGGACAGGTTTAAGCTAGTCTTGTTTTAAATTGGGTAAATGTGTGACTGTAATATAAGGAGCTCTTTAAAATTCCTGAGTTGTGTGTACAATTCTTAGTCATAGAACTGTATAAGAGACAACTTCCACTGAAAGGTGAGAGTTTTAAGAGATTGTCTTTGTTTGGCCAATAAGCTTCCATGCCAAAGATAAATTTTGTATTTTCTTTAAAAATAGGTTTCATTCCCACATTCTCTCTCTTTGAGCTTCTATTTCAAAACCAAGTGGGTGCTGTATTCTACCATAGTGAATCTTCCACAGCCCGTGGAAATAAGATTCATTCCACTAATATTACTCCTGTGAGTTCTCCTCCTACTTTGTGCGCATGCCTGTATTTATACATACCATTAATGTTAAAAATCAGGAGCTTGAGGGATTGCCACAAAGGAATCAAAATAGTGACTCAAGTAAAAAATAACCACAAAAATGTACCCTTGCAAGCCAGAACATATCTAAGTTACTCTTGTAGACTAGAGGACTCCACTGTAGATCAAGTGCAAGTCCTCTCATCCTAAAATAACATGTGGCATTTAGAACTTTACCAAACTTCTTATAAACTGTAATACCTTCCATGACATTGTGATATACTTGTTAAAAGTCAAGACAATTTGGATGATACCATAAGTCCTGGGTACTATTCTTTTATTGATATAAGTTGTGCTTTGCAATCCCAATACCATAAAGTGTTGTGTGGAATTTGATGATTAAAATTCATGATATTTGTAGGCTACCTACAAAAGGAAGTCCTTGATGCTATCTCTCATGCTATTTAAGCTTTTCCTCCGACGCACTTGCTCAAGAATCCTTTCAGAAAGGCTTGACACAGATTTCTGCCAGAACAAAGGAAAATGTTATATAAGATGAACTATACACGGCATTCTTGTCTTATTTCAACTTTTCTGTGGAGGTGGAGGTTAAGAACATACCAAATCGTGCAAAATCAAACGACACCCATAGCAGCAACATTCCATAATATCAGAGAGAGATGGCGAATCTTGATTACTGTTGCAGCAACAATTGCTAGCAGACCCTGAGCAACAAGACTCTGCACCTGCCGAGTAATCACAATCAGATTTTAAAATTAAATACAGAAACACTTATGCAAAAATTGCGCAAAACTTAATGCAAACCATTAGATACAAGATCTTAAGCCTCCTTACCATTGCTACCTGATATAGAAGACAATGTCTTGCTATCAAACCCAAGAGGTCCAAGAGAAGATATTAGCCTTGAAAATTCTGTGGCTTGAGCAGACGTGCAAGGTGACAAATTTACTTCAAGACGAGCCTAAACAAAAGGAACAACAAGTTAAAACTACTCTTTCACAATGATGAAATAGTAATAATTATAACACTGGCTTTAAAAACTTCTTACTTGACAAATAATGCAAGAATTATCATCTTCCTCTGAATTGTCTGGAGAGGATGTAGATCCTAATTTTTCTCCAGTGCGGAAAACTGTTGACACTGTAGATGGGAAGTTTTCCATAAGGTCCATAACAAATTGCTTGGATAAATTGTGTATGCTGCTGTCAGATGCCATCTACAGATAAAAACACATCAGTTAATACTAAAAAAAATTTAAAAAAAAATCTTCACATGCACTAAAAATAGATTAAAGTAAACCAGACCTTGGTGCAAAGAGAGGGGATGAACACATTATCAAGTTTGTGGTATACAGAATAAAAGGCAACCTCCTTGCTAGAAAGTTCTAATAGAGGTCTCAGTATCTTTATGTCTTTATCACGGAAATCACAAAATGTCTAAGTAAAGAAAGATTTCACTGTTAATTTTCAGACAAGATAAGATATAATTAATACATAGTACTGTATTCTAAACTTTTACAGTACCACATCATGGTGCATGAGAGATCCCCTTCCAAGAGAAACGTCAGTAAGTATTTGAATAGCCAAGTCTGTTGAAGTGTGAGCCATGAAAACTTTCCCACAGCAAAGCTCTTTTGCAGCAAGCAGGAGGAGCTGTTTTCTAAAATATTGGAAACAAATGATTATTTTTCAGCTAGAAATACAAATTTTGTACAAGTTAAAATGTAACGTCCATACCTCAGTTGTTTTAACATGTCTTCTTTAGCTGTAAGACTAACGATGTTTTGAAAAAGGAGTTGTAATTCGTTCTCTAGACTATTTTCTGCTGTTAAAGAACTATTTTTGTTAAGAGGGAAGCATCGAGGACCACTGGAATCAAAGAGGCACGCCAGAGAAGTGAAGTGACCACTAAAGCCGTACTGCTCAGCTAATGTTGCGATTGCCCTCAGATTGGCTATCCTTTCAGCCAAAGAGAGTCCCAATACCGCCCCTTCTGCATAAATAAGAAATGTATATCAACAAATACCCTGCAATATGAAATTTTAAAAGGCCAAATTACGAACAAGACATACCATCTACATATATAAATTGAACCTTAAAAAGAAATCTCTTATGACTCTTTTCAGAGAGACCAGCATGAAGTAAATGAAGCATGGCATGAGATTTCAAACTCCCAGAAAACGCAGCTAACACGACATCACTCGGTCTCATCATTTTCGATTTGCCCAATGTGGAGCGGAATTTGTGGTTGACGTGTGTGACAAAACAGTTTCTTGAAACAAAGAAAGAATGGTGAGTCTTTGTAAATCTAAATATTTTATCATGAGAAAATACACTACCTACTTGCAATAAGCATGTTTTATCTGCAGAATTTGTATGACTGGATTATGACCTGAGCACTTCTGACAAGTAGAGGACCACCTGAAACGTAATTATGACTAAAATAACGGCTTCAGAAAAGAAAGAAAATACAATATTAAAATGTTTTTAGCCACGAAATTAACTGACAAGGGTTTGCTCTTGGCTTCCATGTAACTCTCAGAGCCGTCCTCATTGTCATTGCGGCTACACATCGTGGTTGACACCCTGTGCGACAATGTTCACTGCAACTGTAATGTTGAATACAAATAATCAAATCATGCAGAGGACTAGTTCCATTGAGTAACTTCCTTTTGATAGCCTTGCTCTTGCAGATCCTAACCTATCCAACACCGTGGTCCCAAGGCTTCGCCGTGTTTGAGTCAACATCCCTCATCCCCCCCCCCTCCGCCCTCCACCCCCTTTCCCCCTTTTCTGCTGCCGCTGCGCGGCTGCCGCTGTCGTAGTAGCAGCAGCAGCAAGCAACAAATGAAATGAATGGGCGGCCGGCAACGGCAACAGCAACAGCTGATTGATGTTGAGTTTGGCGTTTGACCGGCAGATCACACCGTGCTTGGCCTGTGCCGTCGTCGATCGTGATAATTTGCTGCGGGGAAAAATACCAAACAAGAAGAGAGAAAACTCTTTGAGAAAGAATAACGAAAGAGGATTCAAAGGAAAGACTCCCTGTGTAGGGCCTTAGTGATAATACCAGCAAAAATTTCGCTTTTCTCGACGTCATTTCAAGGCGCGGGGTAGGTGTCAAGTTTATCACAACTGGAAGAAATAAAGTGTTTGCAACACCTGTTTTTACGATGAGTGTAAGAGTTTCAAACTTATTTTTCTTTGTAGCGTTGAATCATAGCGGCCTCAAGTTTGTTCATTTATTTTTGGGTGATATCAAAGCATGATAATCAGGGTTCAAGAAAGGTGATGGTTCTTCTTGTTGTACAGTACCTTGGTAAAAGTTCTCTTCCCACTCAGCAAAAATTGGAAACACCTTTTCAGATTTGCAAGATGCCACGGTTCATTGATGATTCATCAGAATTCCCTGGTGCACAGCTTCCGCATCAAAGAAGTTCAATTGAGTCAGAAGATGACCTCCTCAGCAGTGTGGATGTAAGTTCTTGTTTATTTTGACTGTCTAAGAAATGAATTCTGTGGAACAGAACTCAGAGTATGACGTCATAGCAGTTTAATAACAGACTTTTTGTGTTGTTTTAGGTGGCTGAGGTGGTTGATCAACCTGGAGAAGATTTGCTGAGTACTGCTGCAGTTTTACGATATTGCAAATTCAGAATTTTAAGACCCTACACACGTCTCCTAGCTGCTATGGGCCTAAGACCATTAACTTTAGAGCCAACAGAGTCTCGTTGTCTTAGCATCTTGGGTCACCTCCATTTGATTCAAGCGTTGGCATTTATGTGTATGGGATACCTGTTGCAGTACATGAGCTGCTTTCGGTACGCTAAAGCATCTGCATTGATTTCAATAGAACCAGTTCAAAACTTGTGGTGCTACCCGTGTCATTCTTTTTTCAGGAGAGATCGAGGCTTTTGTTATAAAGCTAAGCCCACTTTTGCACGATCAGTTGCTGATGTAGTGAAGTCTCATGATCAGGTATGCTATGGCAGTCTGGTGTTCAGTTATGTGCTTCCAAGCCTCCTCCACCTGGCGGGCTATGTCTATGCTTTATGGCTGTTTCGAATTCGTGAAAATGAGCAACTACAGAATCTTATGGAGAGGGTAAGTGTTTCCATTCACTCTTTTTATGGTTAAGGCCTGATCTTCTTAATTGACTTAACTTTACTTCAGGCATTTCTTCTGTCATCTGGTCCCAACAATGGTCCATCTAGCCAACGATATTTGGTACGCATACTGTGGCTCTTTATTGGCCTTAGCATTGTTTGGGTTGGATTATCCCTTGTTGCGGTCACCATCATGATGCTGGATGGATCTGTGATATTCCAATGGTTAGAACACAGGTAAGCTTTTTTTTAACAAACAAATTCAGTTTCCATTTTTTGTTTAAAATTGAACTTAAACTTTAAAAAAAATTTTTTTGACAATGATGAGTAGTGTGCTCTTTTTTGACAGTCCCTTAGAGCTTAAGTATGCTCTGACTGTTCTGCTTCTGTTCTCTACTCTGTGGCATGATATGGTGCAAGCAACAATAACAGCAAGTTATTGCCTTCAAAGCCAACTTTTAACATCACATCTCTATTTCCTACGGAAGAAGCTTTTACAACACAATTTGCAGCCTTTGGATTTTATGAGGGTAAGAAAAATAACTAAATTTATTCTTAATTATGTTTTTAAGTTAAGGTATGTGAGAATGTAAGAACCATATCTTTTTTATTTTGTAGGAAATAAATGAGTTTCAAAATTTACTTGAGTATTTGAATGAAGAATTGGCACCTGCTGTATGCATTTTCACAGTTGTCAATTTGTCGTGGGCCTCTGCAGGTCTAATCTGGATTTTCAATTATGACTCTGTAGACAAGGAAACTCACCCCATTGTTGTTGTTAGTGTCCTTAATGTCATATTGTGGATTCTTGCATCTGTAGCTCCATTCATTCAGGTAATGCAAGCATCCCTTTACTTGATAATAAAAACCAAAAAGAAATATTGTTTGAATGCTTTACAGGGCTACTTAAGACTATTGTTTTATTTTCTAGGCTGCTCGTTTGACATCTGCTTGTGAGAATACAAAACGCCTAGGACATGACGTTCGTGTTCGTCCTTTTGTCTACTTAGACGCACCCAATGAAGACTTGGACGCTGTGCTTTTATTCACATCCTCTCTTCACATGCAAGCTAAGCTCTTTCAGGTGCCAATCTGCGGCCGGCATCTATGTTTATTATTAGCGGGTACTGGTATTACCATTTTAACTTTAGGGCAATGTCATGTGTTTCAATAAGACTTCAGTTTGTGCTAAAAAACAAAATTTCAAGTCAAAACACCTTACAAGTTTTTTTTAAGTTGATTTTAAGTATGTTTTAGTGTTAAATTTGATAAGACTGTTTCTTCTTTAAAAGAGATTTAAGAAATTGAATCAATTGTGTGATAAGTAGTTTTTAGTGATACTTGTTATTTGTACTGCTTACAATGTTGTGTGTTTATTATTTCTAGATCTGTGATGTTATTATAGAAATGTTGTATCAATCTTGCTCAATATTTGTGTTCTACAGTGTTAGTCAGACACACCATTCCATTTTCCACCTACAATCATCTCAAAAAGTATTACAGGTCAGAATAGATTTTATTTTCTAACGCAGTAGGGTCGTCTAATACTGTTAAAAGCTTGTTACCAGCACCAACCCGCTTGACAGTTGACCTCTCAGATTGGTAAGAATAGTCAACAGATGCTAAATACTATAACACAAATCACAAATATCACAAAAGCTGCTCTGCCATGAGAAGCTGACAGTTACAGAGTAACATACTGTACTTGAAAGTAACTTTGATAATCTTTTCAAAATACTATTTTTTCCTTGGCATAGGAGGAACTGGAGGAGGAGGAGAGAGATCCTCATTAGGGTCAACTGCTGCAGGTGGGAGTAGCAGGGATGGAATATGATTGATGGAAACATCTTGGCATACTGCAAGTCGATCACATCTCCTCATATCCAGGTGCCGTAGTGACTTGCCATGTTTAGCAATTGACATCACACTTGCATTTGTCAGCTTTTCACATGCCTAAAATGAAAAAAACATTATTATTCATTGAATACATATGCAGCAGATTCAAAGAGAACACATAAATGTTGACTTCACAGCAACTTACTGATAAGTCTAGATATTTCAATCTTTGAAGGTTTTTACATAGTGCCTCCACTGCATCGTCGCAAACATTGTAGCACATACTGAGAACCAAGGATTCAAGGCTTGAGTTGTTCAGTGCTAAAGCTGCCAATCCTGATTCAGTTACCTACAAAACAAAATACTTGTAACTGAGGTTCATTCATCATGTTCATTCAATGGAATTATTCTTTACTATACCTGACAACATTGTGTTAGATCCAAATATTTGAGTTCTAAAAACTTAAATGCATGACAAAGGCTGATGTCTGTTATCCTTGCACAGCCTGATAGATTCAGAGAGCACAATCCTGCAATGAGTACAAAATTGATGATGAGCAAAAATAATTTGATAAAAATAGCTAAAATCAAGTACCTGGATTTTTCTTTTTAAGATTTACCTTTTAGCCTTGACAAAGAGAACCCCAAGCCACTGATGGTAGGAATGGAATCTTGGAATAACTGCAATATGGCTTTTTTCCGCTCAGCATCTATTACTATTTCTTCTTCAGCTCGACTCTTAAGAGATATTCGAAGTCTAGACTTCATACCTCCAGCAAGATTAGTTTCATCAAAATGATTCACTGGTAAATTTGAAGTTGACGCAATGGATTGGGATGAATGAGTTACCATTCCAGTAAGTCCAACATCAGTTATTTTGTTGCATCCAGAAAGCTTCAAGTACTGAAGTGAGACCTATGTGGGTTGTAAGATTGCAAAATGCATAACAAATCAAGTAATTTTAGGAAAAATGATAATAATTATATTTATTTAGGACAGACCTGATGTTGGAAAATTGCTTGTAGTGCAGTGTCAGTGACTGCTGTTATACAATATCCTAAATCCAGATGAGTTAGAAACGGCAAGCTCTCGGCTAGCTTTACCACTGTGTCTTCTGTCATATTATTGATTCCACTGAGGTAAAGTTGACGAAGCTTAGCATTCCCTTTGTTACACAATCCTGCCAATATTCCATCAGACGTCACCTAATTAAGAGGGAAAGACAAATGCCTCATAAATATAATCACTCGAATCATCAAATGATTTTGTATGTGCCAAATATTGAGCACCAACCATATCACAGTTAGAAAGATCCAATTTCACGAGATTTCTCAACTTCACAACCTCTGCAACTCCTATGTTGCTTATTGCCCTACAACGACGAACACACAGATCTTCCAAATCAGGCAAACTACGACAAATGGCAATCATAGATGGATCTGTTACTCGAGAACAACAACTTAGGTCTAAACTCCTAAGCCTATTTTGATGTTCTGTGAGCACAACAATTCCAGCATTTGTCAGCTGTTCACATCCTGCCAACTTCAAATTCTTCAACTTTAAATCTGCAACCTGAGCATAGACAAATGTCAAATTAAGGCCACAATGAATAAATCCATAAAGCATACCTATTTGAGTTACCTTTGCAAGCTGAGTGAGAGCAGGGCTATCAATTAGAGTGCGGCTAAAGCAGAGGGAATGGAGCTGACGTGATCGAGAAGTTATGTGGTAGAGAATGTTCCGAAAAGTAAGAATACTGGAAGACTCCATGGCTTTAAACTCATTGTCAGTTGCCTCGTCAATATTTTCTTTCCCTTCTTGGGACTCCGTTGAATGTTTCGGATAAAACTTTTTGTAAAGGCCCATGTGAAATGAAATCTAAAACGAAGAAAAGCAGTATTTCTTTTGGAAAAATGTTTTATATGGATACGGTTTCTAGCTTGAATTGGAACCAATTATTAAGATGATGTACCTGACAACCTTCCAGAGATACAGATTGTAGATTTGGAGCAATCGCTACTAAGCGATTAAGGAGAGCGTCAGACAAATAACTGTTGTGTGACACCACAAGTTCTTTCAAATTAATGAGAACATTCTGAAGTTGTTTGATTTCCTCTTGATCACGCAACAGTCCACCAGACCTTAGGGAGATGAAACTTGTGACAAATTATGTACATTAAAAGTATTGAAAAATACCACATTATTTTTTGAAACTCACATAAGCAGTTCTCGGCAACCACTTAATCTGATACTCTCAAGACTTTCACATTGTAACAGGATATTGGTGAAATCTCGCTCACGTATGTCACAATTAAATATATAGAGAGATTTAATACTTGGCCCAAACTGAGTCCACAGCCCCGGCCAATTCCATCGCACTTCCTCCTCCTGAAAATACGCAAGAAGTTCAGTTGAGGCGAACCGAAGCAGTCCCTGTGTGTATCAGTGTTTACCTTGAACACAAAGTGAAGAAATTCTCGGCTGCTATTTGTAACATCAGTGATGAGGGACCCGACTGCTGTGCCATTGCAATTGAAGTTCACAATTTCTTTACAAATCAGCTTTGTGTCTTGAGATGCCTCATACCAGGAACGACATACAAGACGAGCGCATTTCAGGTCAGAGAGGTGAAGGAATTGAAATATGTACATCAGAACCTAAAATCACATTACCATTGTAACAAAGAAGGACTCCAGCAGAACGCAAGACAAGCGGATCAAAACAAGGGACTAAAGCACTAACCTCAATGGGTAAATGTGGAGGTGAGTTAGACTCTTTTTTGCCATTGTTCTCAATAGTGTCACCTGTCATAATGCACTTGAGAATTTCTATAAGAAATTTCGACTCTTCTTATATAATGTCTTAATCCTCCGAGGCGCGATGTCATTCAGTGCCTAGCGGATATGTTAGTTGGGATCAGCTGATAGCAGAAAGCCCTAGCATTAGCACTGACGTCAGACGACGCAATAAGTGAGGGGGAGAGTGGGGGTAGCCCGCCAAAGAACACAGTTTAGCCAACACCAAGTCAACAGTCTTCGAAGTTTTCTTATGGGCACAAGGCTTTAATTGTTTCTCTCTGAGGCTTAAATCGTAATGCTTACGTTTTTAATTTCCAATTTTTTTAAAAACACGTACGGTTGTGTTTTTCTATTGATCCAAATTATGCGTATTGGTCGTCAGCGTTTTCAGTCTGGATTACGAGTTGCCGTTTGAAAATCGGAAAATTCTCGTTTCACTGGAACGTAATTTCATCCTTTCGGTCTCAAAGTCAATTTTGATGAGAACTGAACGAATCGAAGTTTTTTATATCTAGATTTAAGTGGATTCTCTTGAACTTTACTTGTAAGTTTGTTTTATCACAGCTTCTCCTTTAATTTGACATTGTTTTATGGAGGTTATGTTTGTTGTTGATAAATTTATTTTAGTTGCGTGGTCGGATGCACCTTACTTGAAATATGTTCGAATGTGATTTTCGTAGAGTGCAACACCGTCACGTTTTTCGCTACCCAAACAAATTTTGATCTTTCATTTGTTTACTTATTCTTCCCTCAATAGAACATGCCATGAATCGACCATGGGAAATAATGATGAATTTTCAGAAGAACCTTAAACCTGGCGCTGCTGGAGGTGGAGGGAAGACGACTACCCAAGTTCAAGTATGATTACTATTTTTGTTTTCTTATGACTGGGTTGCACATTTTCCTTTCATGTTTTCCTCTCCCTTTTTCTCTAGTTAAGTGCAGCTGCCCAACGATTCCTACCAAGTACTACTGTTATGCCATCAAGAACTCACAAAGTTCGGAACATTATCAATGAATCAACTAGAATTATTGAGGAAAGTCGTCTTCCTGAATTAAACAATACAACTGCAAGTTTCTGTCAGAACTGTACATGTGATAACTGTTCGAACGCATCCATACTTAATGGTAAGTGACATTAAATATCAATATTAAGGCGGTCTTTTTCAAACTTAGTATTTACAGTAAGTGGCTTGTTTTACAGGAACTCAACTGAACAATCCCAATATCAACACTTTGTATCTCGCATTTGAAAATTTTCTTCAAGTAAGTCAGATTTGACAGTTGTAATTCACTATGGATGAATAAATTGGTTGAACTATCAAGTTTATTGTTGTTTCAGGCCCAAAAGCAACAGTTTGTCACAATGATTCAACAAATAGCCAGTATGCAGCTCTTATTTTCAATTTCCAAAATGAATGGTTGAGTTAATTGCATAATTAATAACATTCTGTTCTTTCTCTTTTAAATTAGGTTTGGATAGCTCTGCAAGCACTGACTTCTTTACTTCAAGCAGATCATGCAGTCAGCCAGCCCTTACTGAATGTGATTCCTCAGAAAAGACAAAGTATGACTTCAAATAATATTTAGCCTCTTTACTCAAAGACAAGGATTATTATTAATTTGCGTGTGTTCTCCCTTCTGTTAAAGGAGCAGGGTGGCTGTCTCTTCAAACGCTAAGAGTACTGAAAGGAATGGAGCTACCACAGACACAAGGTAAAATTGCCAAACTGTGGCGTAGTAACATAGTAGTAACAATGTCAAAAACATTATTAGAAACTTCATTATTATAACTTAATTGATGCTGTTTGTAATTCCTCCCAGATTAGCCACATCCAGTTCTGAAATTCCAACAAGGGCTCTTGACAGAGTTGATGAGAGTGAATTGTCTGACTGCACAGTTACTGCAGCAGAGGAGTTCATAGAAACCAAAATGAATTTAGAGGAATGCATCAAAGATGAAACTTTGAAGAATGAAGATGAAAAGGACTCCAAGAACAATCCTGGGAATGAAAATCAACACCTTGAAGGGAGTTGTGCTTGTGACTTTGATAACTATATTGATGAGTCCTTTAAGCCAGTGAGAAGATCATCTATCTTGAAAATGAGAGACAGCTTTGTGCTTCTTGAAAATTTGGACACAGTCAAAGAACCGCTATGTGATGTAATGCCCTTGAAACCAGAAACAACTGGGTCCATTGATAGAACTATTCTTGTTGAAAAATCAAATTTTACTGCACCTTCAAACAGTAAGAACAAAATGAAATTATTTGTGCCCCCTGTTGATGCGACTTGCACAAGATCAGGACGTGCTTTGAAAAAACCTCAACCATATTGGACTGCAGCTTCAAGGTAAAACAATACATTTGTCTCATGAAATTTTAGCAAAGACGTGTTTTTATCACAAATTTTTGTATGGCCTATGTCTTAATTCTAGAGTTGGTATTAAAGAAGAGTTTTCTGTGGATATCAAAGAAGAGGCAATAAAACCCAGAAGAGTAGGCCGAAATGTCAGTAACAAAATTAAACCCAAGCAAAATGTTCAAAAAAAGAGTAAGAAAACTGTTACAAAATCAGTTTTGTCTAAAGAAGATATTGTGAGTGATGTGCATTAGTAAACTTTTGAATTTATATTTGTGAAATAGCATAACTACCTATTAAACTAGTTGTTGTTTTTTTCTTTTTTTTCCTTTCTGTTTTTAGAGTTGTGATGTGGACAGTAAGTCTGAACTACCATCAACATCTTCCAGAACCCAAAAGCATAATGTTGTTTCCTCAAGTTCTGATGCTCTTGTGCCGACTGGAACTGGTGCCAAGCGAGGTTTGTTGATCTATCGGATGATTCAGTTGTGCCATGTATTTTCGCAAGCTTGCACTGCCACTATGCAGTCCCGCCATGGTTGCAAAAATACATGGCTCAAGTGAAGTAACAGGTGTAGTAATCTAGCTTAATGGTAGTTTTATTCATCAATTTATTTTTATTACAGGGAGAAAAAAGAAGTCAGCAACCAATTCTGAATCTACACATGCCACAAGGGATGCATCAAAAAATATTTCTGCCAAAAGGAGAAAGGTTTGTTTATAACAGTCAAGAATTGTTTTCAGTCATAATATGAATTTCAAATGTCTATTTTTTGTCCTGTAGATAGAAAGTCAAATATCAGAGTCATCCTCAATGTACTCTGATGACAAACAGATCTCAAGTTCTGCAGCTAAACCACAAAACATCAGGTCCAAGAGAAACACTCGAAGAGGCATTCAAAATGAAAAGTTAGTATTCCATGGACAATCTTCCAGGCAGATAATTGATTGTATCTACTGCAAATACTGAAATAGGACCAAGTATGTGCTTCAAATTTTATTGTGTTTGATTCCAGTACTGCTGTTGGCCCCGGTGACATTAAGGACATCAATCAAACAGCGAAAGTAAAAAATGAAATTCTTAAATCTAATAGGGTGAATCTCAGGAAACCAACTAGAAAGGGTGAAGACAATGCTCTGTAAGTACTGTGCTGCATATCTACATTTTTCTAAATTTGATACTACCAAGAAGTGCACAAAAGAGAATGAAACACTATTTTTTTAAATCTTCAGCCTTCAGTCGCAGAATAGTGTTCGGTATCCCTCACTAAGTGGAAATTTATCTTCTGCATCAGAGCCTGAATATGAATGCTACTTAGATGTAAGTACAATTTGTAGTCGTAGTCTGAATAATAAGTGAAAGAATGAATTTACAGCCCTTGTCTAAACTGATTTTCTCATTTCCCCCCCAGGACAATCTTTCCGATTAAGTTCAATGAAAATGCAAGAGATTATATACATTATTTTTTATTTTTTTCACAAATGTAAAGTTTTCAAATTATGTTACACATGTTAATTTTTTTATGTGTTACTGGCAAAGATTTTAATGATAAATGAAAATTATGTTAACCCATCAGTGTGGTGCTGTTTTTCACTTCTGCATATTTCCTTATTTTGTCTACTTTTTGGCATGATACTCTGTTGCATCATAGGGTGATTGACTAACAGCTTACAAAGGACAGGGCAGTCCCTGTGCCATCACTCATTCAGCTGCAATCACAGCGACTCTGGACGCATCAAACATGCATATGCTTCCCCACAGTAGGCTGTACAGGTCATGAAAACTCATGGCCTCTGACATTTCAGTCTAAGTTCAAGGGCCTTTTAAGGGTGGCTCATAGACGGTAACATATGGGCCGAGCCTCGAGTACACAGTTCGAGGGAGAAGAGAGATATCCGAGGACGTTCAAAAACGGACGGAAATGTCCGAGACACAAGGGAGCGCGGCTTCCCAGAATGTGGGGCAAAAGCAAAACGGTCCCAAAACACGGACATTAGTGTTACAAAATGATCGTGCTTGTTAAGGGCGAGCGGCGCACGGCAGGGGGCCGAACCGGCTCTGCCTTTGTCGCCGTGGGAACGTCTCGGATCCACCCACCCTCCCTCACACGCACACACACAGCTGGCTGCAGTCTGCTCGAAATAACGCCGCCATTCAGAGAGAGCCGCGTAAAGCCGTTCGCTTTGGCATCGATTGCAGTGCGGCAGTGCGATGATCGTCGGCGCGGCGATACAAAGGAGTGACCAGGACGAGCCCTTCGGCCTGGCGCTACGCCTGGCGCTAGCAGAGCTTGCCGGAGAAAGCGCTACGCAGAGCGACGCCAACGCGGGACAGGACATGCGCCCCTCATTGCAGCCGTTGCATCGCCTGCGGACTGAGAGCCGTTTTCGTCGCTGTCTCTCTCGCACGCGTGGATCGCTCCGTATGCGTGCGAGAGAGACGGAGCGACGAAAACGACCCTCGGAGTGAGTCCGCTGGCCGCGGCTGGCCGGCAGCGTGTGAATCATGGCCACCGGAAAGGTCAGTGCGTTATCACCTCACGGCGTGCAGCTTGCAGTGCAGCCTGCAGCTGCCGTCGTTATGGAAACGGCGCGAAGGAAGAATGAAACCGAGAGTGAGCGCGGCGGGGCCTCGCACAGTGGCGGACTGGCTACCGGCGGCTAAAACGCCAGACGCGTTTTGAGCTCCAGAGTCGCTAAACAGGCCTCGAACCGAACGTGTGACCCCATCAATGGATCCCTCGTTCGGAGAGCAATCCATTGGTAGGGTCACACTTTCGGTTTCAGTCCCAGTTAGCGACTCCGGAGCTCTCAGCGCGTCCAGACCGCTTCCGACGGTCTTCTGGCCCACTGTGCGGCGCGCGTGACCGGGCAGGCGGGCAGCCACGCTCCTCAGGCGCGCTCGGCGGGACAGCAACAGCCCGGAACTTTGGCGCGCTCCGAACTCCAGAGTAGAGTGTGGATCGAATGAAGTCATGTACTTGACTCAAGTCGTGAGGAAAAGCCTCCGAAACTCGTCCTCCGGGCACTGCGTGCACTATGGCCGCGCAGGGACGCAACTCTAGGCGCTGCCGGGCGCTGCTCAGGTGACGTCACGCCGACGGCCGGCGTCGTAAGGACGTAAGGACTCGACAAAACGCGGCGGCGCCATGGCGGCGCATGCGGTGCCATCTGATGCATCTGATAAGGCAGAGGCGGCTGCCTTTCCTTTCCACATCTCTGCGATCGCGCGGCACGGCCAGGGCACGGCCAGGGCACTCGGTCCACTCGGCGACCGCCGAGCCCGATCGTAATTTCCCGCCATGCGTGCCAACGTCGCCAACGTCGCCGTGGCTGCCATGCCAACGGAACGGCCTCCAATTATCTACTTAGACCGATATGAGATGAGAGGCTGGCGGTGCTCAAACCCGCACTCGCGACTCCGCTGGAGCGCTCTGCCTGGCTCTGCCCGGTCCTGCCCGTGCCCGCCGCAGATGCAAACGCTTTTCGCTTTCTCGGCAGCGCGTCGCGTCGCGTCGCGTCGCGGGTTCGAATACCGGGCGGCGCGGCGCCTCGCGGTTTCGTCCGCCGGTTTGCACTTTTGCACGCGAGCGGCGGAAGGCTGGACGAATCCAGAATGGCGAGCCGATGCACTGCGGGCCTTGCCGCCTTGCCCGACAATCTCGCCGCAAATAATGCCGCCATTTAAAAGCGGCTCGAAAGGGAAACAAGAAACAAGCCGGACCTAGACCCGGCAGACTCATTCCGAGAGTCGTTTTCGTCGCGCTGTCTCGCTCGCACTCATGGGGCGTGCCGTATAGATGCGAGAGAGACAGAGCGACGAAAACGACTCTCGGTTCGCCCAGGGTCGCTCCGGCTGAGCCGAGCCGCGGCGGAGACAAAAGCTGCAGTCGGCGACACGACTGGACAGGGAGTTTCCCCGGGCGCTGCCTGGCGGCCCCTGCGGTGCGGCCCTAGCGGCCCTGTTCCTGGTCCGGCCAAATTAGGCGGGCCGATCCGATAACGCGAGGGAAGGCCCGGCCTGGGACTGCGGGCCGCGGGCCGCGGACTGCCTGGGCCCTGGGACGTACGAAAACGAGAGTGGCGCGGCCGAGGTGCCGCGGTGCCGAGGCTGCACGCCAGCCAGCCCTGCAGACTGATTCCGAGAGTCGTTTTCGTCGCTCTGTCTCTCCCGCACCCGTTCGGAACGCTCCATGAGTGCGAGAGAGAAAGAGCGGCGAAAACGAAGCATGCTACGCGGCCGCGCCCGGGGCAGTGACCTTGCGCAGCCTTGCCCAGCCAGCGGCAAGCCGCTTCGCGGCCCGGCGCCTCCGGCTTGCCTCGGTCCGGACGCGGCGGGACGCGGTGACACATCGCCGCCGTGAGACTTTTAATCCGATTTAATTAGCGATTCGCGCTTCGCGTCCTGCATCGCTGATAGCCGAGCGAGGCCCCCTGCCGCCCCCTGCCGAGGGCCGCCGGAAGGACGAGGCTGATGCCATCTGCTTGATGGACAGGGACACGGCTTCCGGATCGGACACTCGAAAATAACTCTCGAAAAAAAGCGTCGCAAGTTTTTGTTTTTGGCTTTTTACTCTGAAACGCGCTGGCTGGATTAGGGCAGGCCAAGTGCAAAGCTCTTTCTGCTCCGCAAGTCCCCCCCCGCAGGTGCAATAATTAGCGTTGCCACCTTGCCTTACGTGTTGGCGTCATTGTGTGCGGCCCATCCTGCATTGCACTCGGTGAGTGCGTGTGTGAGTATGAGTGTGTGCGTGTGTGTGCGTGTGTGTGCGCGAGCCCCATCCTGCAGCAGCAACAACAGTGCAGTGGCAGTAGCCTGGCGCATAGCAAGTGTCTGTTCCAGTTGGCCTGGCCCCACTTTCTTCGCCCTCCCCCTCGTCTACCTCCTCGTCCTCCCCGTCCTCCCCCCTCCACCGGCGCGGCGCGGGGAAGGCCTCCTGTGGCTACTTTTTTCCCCAAGATCTGCCTCCCCCTCCCCCTGGCGGGCCGGTGGGGCACAGGCCGGCCCAGCGTAGCCCAGCGGGCTGTAGCGCGTTGCGCTGGGCCCCTCAGTCGCCTCCTTCACTCACTCCTGCCGCGTCGCCTGCTAGCTGTCGTCTGCTAGCTGTCGTCTGCTCGCCGACTACCCTGCCCTACCCCAAGGCGCGCGTCGCCTGCGTCGCCTCCAGAACTCGGATTACCCTCACGCCGCCGCCTGTCCTGCGGTGTCCTGCGGTCTGCTGTTGTCCTTCCGCCACGGTGAGTCCGCTAGTGAGACAGCGACGCCCTCGAGGCCGAGAGGACCGAGAGGACCGCCTTCAGGCGCCACAGGGCCTTCCGGGACGGTCGTCGGGGCAGACCTAGGACACCCCGGATGCCCCCAGGACACCCTGGATTTGCCCCAAGCACACCTAAGGATGCCTTGCCGCTCCCTGTGAGACGTCCTGTAGGCGTCCCAGGACGTCCCCAAGACGCGGCAGGGACAACCCTCGTCGTCACCGCCTTCACGGACACCACCCGTCCCGGCTGCGCGGCCCGAGTTCAGGGCAGCCCCGAGGCGCGAGGCGCGAGGCGCCACCAGCCGCCAGCGGTTTACAGGTTTACAGCCGGATTACAAAATGGGCCGCTTTATCGCCGTCCTCGTCCGCCTCGTTGTCCCCCTGGCGCTGGCGCTGCTGGCACCTGGCTCGCGAATTGCAGCTGGCATGGCGGCCATTGTGTGGCGGCCGGGGCAGGCCTCGGCAGGCCGCTCACTGCGGCCCAGGCCCTCGGCCAGGCCACACTTCGGCAGGCGGCTCTCTTTCCCCTGCTCGCGTGAAAGCAGCACTAATTCCACCTGTCCGTACTGTTCGTTGTTCGTTACCGCCGCCGCGTCGCCGCCGCCGCGCTGCTCGGCGCCGCTCCACATGCCCGAAAACGAACAGCCCGACGTACGCGGCCGGCGTCCCCGCGGAAATCACCTTGGCTACAAAAATTAGCGCGAAAGCGCCGCCGCCGCCGCCGCCGCCGCCGCCGCGCTGCTGAAAGGGGTTCTCCGTATCAGTGCGCGCGCCGCGCCGCTTCGCCCCGCCCCGCCCCAGCCGGCTAAACACACGATGCGCTTTCCTTTCCCCGGCGAGCCCCGAGTCCAAGACCGAGAATTCGGGCAGCACTCCACGCAGTCCACGCAGCCCGGGCCGGGCAGCAGACTGATTCCGAACACTCGGCTTCGTCGCTCTGCCTCTCTCTGTCGCACACCTCCGGAACGCCCCATGAGTGCGAGAGAGACAGAGCGACGAAAGCACTGCTCAGTCTGCAGTCGCCGCCACGCCCCGGTATCCCGCCCGCGCCGCCACGCTCGATCTGACGCGCCGGGCGCAGCGCGCTGCAGCGCCCCCAACAAGTGCGTGGGCGGGGCGTCGCGCGGCGCGGCGGTCGCGCTCGGAATCGCTAAAGGGCGGTCGTGGTCCAGGAGGGCGCCCTCCAGACAGGCCCTCTGGAAGCGCCTTCCGCCCGGGGCACCGCGACGCCGAAACGCGGCGGCGGCACGCTTTCTTTGGGCTCCGCGCTTTGGGCCGCGCGACGACGCCCACGCCGCGCCCTGCCCTGCCCTGCCCT